ATCCTGCATCCGTTGGAACAAAAACGGAAGGTTCCTGCCCCGCATCCAAAATGCCCCATCATCTGCGAACAAGGACCTCCCTACGCCAGCGCCCAAGATGTTGAACGAGCCGTTGACCATTACATTAAAAAGCACCGGGCTATTCACGCTCCCCTGAGGAACCCCGTTCTCCACCCCCACAGAGAACGATAACTCAGAACCCACCCTCACCTGGATCGTCCTATTACTCAAGAACCCCCTAACCCAACGCAACATCCTCCCACAAACCCCGGCCCTATCCAGGGAAATCAGAAGCCCATCCCTCCACATCATATCATAGGCCTTTTTGACATGAAGGAACACCGCCAACACTGCCTCCTTATTCGCCATAGCTCACCTAATTTCCAAATCCAGTGGCGCTACAGTGTCCATCATGGAACGCCCCTTTCAGAACCCACTCTGGTACCGCACCAAAGAGCCATCGTGCTCCAGGAAGTGCACCAACCTTGAAGAGACCATGCGCTCCCTCACTTTACATACCACGGACGTCAAAGCAATAGGTCTGTAGGAGTCCGGGGACCCTGAGGGCTTACTCGGCTTCAAAAAAGGAACAATTGAGTGGGTCCATTAAGCGGGTAAACAGACCGAATCCCACACAGTGTTATTTAAGGCCAAAAGTTCCTCCAAGAAGATGTCGCCTGCATGCAGAAGCAGCGGATACCCCATACCATCCCTCCCAGGGCACGTATCCCTCCCTGATCGAACAGCCGACTTCAGTTCATCCATGGAAAAATAGAGATTCAAGTCACAGGGCACGTCCTCAGCCCCCCACATGTCAGCTGCATGACTGTCAACTAACCATTCTCTGGTAGCACGTTTTTCAGCCGAGATGCCCTCCGAGCTATGAACAACCAGCAGATTCACTTTTTTCACATCCCTTATCGCCAACCCACCTCCATCTCCCAACACAGGAACTCCAGGAAGAGCCCGCGCCCCCGACATCCTACGGAACATGGTCCACAACTTCTGCACATTGGTCCGGGGGCCCAACCCACTGCAGAAGTCCCTCCATCCAGCCCGCTTCACAGCTCTCACCACCCTGCGAGAATGAGCCATCAGCTTCTGATAAGCTAGGACGTTAACCTCCAAGGGGTGCGCCCTGAGTTTCCGAAACGCCCTATTCCTTGCCCGAATAGCCGCATCTTAGGCCTCAAACCCTCATGGGACTAAAGACCTCCCAGTAGGAACACGCTTCTTAGAAATGTGGGCCTCTGCCACCGACCGCACACACCCAGAAACAGCAGAGAACCAGGCGTCCACATCCTCACTTCCCTTCAGCTGGCAGACTGCATCTTCCAAGCCCTGCGAATATAAGGTCCAACGAGCACGTTTAAAATTTAACCCCACAACAAAAGAGCGAGGTTCAGTCGCCAACCCTCGACCAAACCAGCTCAGTACAGGCACATGGTCACTCCCCATAGCAAGGCGATCCAACACCTCCCACCCACCAGCCACCACCACCACCACTGCCAGGTCTGCCGAAACTATTGTCAGGTCCAGACCCAACGGACACAGACTATCTCCCCTAAACCAAGTAAGCCTTGCATCATTCAATACCACAAAGCCCGTTTCGTACAGAAGTTCCTCCAGGACCTTAGCATTCCCATCTGACCCTCGAGCCCCCCATAAAGCACTATGAGCATTAAAATCCCCCACCCATAAAACCGACGTGGAAACATCCTGAAATAACCCACGCAGAGCGTCACCCACCAAACTCAGGCCTAGTCCACACGTAGCCGGGGTTTTTTGAAAACGAATATCCGCCCCTCCAAAAACTTGCATCCACACCACCGCGTTTTAAAAACAAACTCTGTCCACACGTACCCGGATAAATACGTTGTTAAGGACATGCCAGACCTGTAGGCGGCAGTACTTCCCCCGTTCTTAACCTCGTCCTTCGTCTGTGGTCTTCCGCAAGGAGCAGTAACTCCGCTTGCAAAAACAAACAAGCAGAAAGCGCTTGGACAATTGATGGATCGGGTAGTGACAGAGCGCAGCTCTGAGGGCTTCCATGATGCCGGCTAATGTAAACACAGGTCGCACACGTGATGTCAGCATTTTTTGTCGCGGAAAGTGACGTTGCGGACCTTAAAACTCCGGTTTTGTCCGTCCACACGCAGACACCCAAAACGAAGAAAACGCAGATCTTCACTTTGGCCGGAGTTTTTTAAAAGATCCGTTTTCGTGTGAAAAAACTCTGTTTTCGTGTGGATGACAGGCCAAAACGTAGAAAAATATCTACGTTTTGGCAGATCCCCGGCTACGTGTGGACAGGGCCTCAACCATGGGAGATGCAGAGCTTTGTGTGCCTTCCCCTTAAGTAGAGCAGTGCCTGAGTTTTTATTGAAATCACCTGTGTTGCTGCACACACACACACACACACACACACAAACACACACAGAGAGAGAGAGAGAGAGAGAGAGAGAGAGAGAGTGATACAGCTCTACCAGGTTACACTAAGTTGGGTAGAAAATGACTTTTTTCATCATTGATGCAAACATTCAAACTTCTGGTGCGCTGCAGACATTTCTAGCATTTCATTAATCAAATGCAACAAAAGATAAAAACAGTAATCAAAAAACATTTTGCATTAAACATTATATTGGTGACAGACGTGTGAAATACTTTTACTTCTATTCATGTTTTGTTTTACCAGCTGAAATAAAAAAAAACTCTGATTAACAGGAGTGATTAGATTTTAGTCCAGATGGTTTTCAGAAACTAAAATTTCCCTGAATCGTCATTAAAAGGTGATGCATTTTAAACGACTGATGGAACTGTAATTCAATGCCTCTTGTTTTTTGTCTGCTGTCCCATATCTCCCTAATCCCTCATTCATCAATCCTAATCTGCCTATTCTGTGACTCATGAACATAAAACATCAACAGCCCACATATACTCTCATCCTCCCTCTGTCCTCGTCTTTCTCTCAGCATCTCGACAAACAGATGAGCACCTTCAGAGAGATGTTCAGGGCCTTCTTTAGTTTGCTCTTTACAATGAACTGTGAGTGTGACATCGTCTGAGCAGAGGTCAGAGGTCGGATGGTGATACGAAGCCTTTGTGCTCCCTGGGGTAAAGCATAGCCTAACAAACAGCTGCTGTCCATCCTGCCTTCATGCTCTGAAGTATGGATCAGAGCAGCTGAAGAGATTTAAAAGGATTACCTTTCTCTCTTTGTGACAAACACACACATAAACTCCTACTCACACAAGCACAGTGACACATGTAAGTGTGTGTTTTCACACTGCACGGATGCAGAGAGGCTTCCGCGCTGCCGCTTTGTAACAGAGTTTAATTTGCTGCTTTGTTACATTGCAGACTGTCATTGTTTATGTCCTCTAACAAGCTGACCTCACGGCCTTTGCCCATTCACTAAGCACCTGCAGACCCAGTTTACAGGAGAGGTCAGAGGTCGCCATACGGTCACACTCCCAAATGGAGTACTATTTAGCTGCAGGAACACATGTTAGGCATATGCAGATGAAAATGCGGCGTCAGAGCGCTGTAAACATACGTTTTAACAGCAAACGTGTCAGGAGATTGACAGTTTTACACACACACATACACACTACGCTCTTACTGACAAGTCATATGAGTTCAATCAGTCAGAAAGTGATGAGCGCCGCATGAACAATGACTGATCACAATTTGCTAACACTGAGCACGATGGCAAGAGGTCACTCAGCGTGTGTGTGTGTGTGTGTGTGTGTGTGTGTGTGTGTGTGTGTGTGTGTGTGTGTGTGTGTGTGTGTGTGTGTGTGTGTGTGTGTGTGTGTGTGTGTGTGTGTGTGTGTGTGTGTGTGAAGCAGCACATATGTTAACCACAATGAAAATAAGTGAGTCATCAGGTTTATTTTCTCAAGAGTTTCTTAAAGAAATTCAGATGAAAAGAATGTTACGTTTTCTCAAACATCTGGAGAAATTGGTGCACTTCTGTGGTTTATAAATAAGCGAGCAATAAAAAAGATCATGTTGAACATCGTGGATTCAGTTTTGGGGTAAAATACACGAGTTTATCTTGAGTTGATAGAGCTATTTGTAGTTATATCCTCTTATGAAAATAAATTAAATGTCCTCTGAAAAGATGTAAACACAAGTGTGTGAGCGTTTGTGTGCATGTGTGTGATGAGCTGTCACAGAAGATCTGGTGAGAGTCGGCTAATTGGAGTTAATTCACCATCTGTCTTTGTGAGCCAGCAGACAGGGTCATTAGCAGAGACAAGTCCAGCCACAGGGGAAGCCGAGAGGGGGATCACTATCCTTCACTATCCGCCCTTCTGTCTTTAGTTCTCATTTCTATCCGTAATAATCTCAAATCTCTCTTTTCTTTCACCTTATGATGGTTGGAGGTCACTCATCTATGCATTTCTAAACTTCAAAAATGATAACTTTCTTTTACTCTTTTTTGTTTAAAAGCAAAAATATATTTTTTTAAAGATTTGATAAATGAACGAATGATCAGTTAAAGCAAAGCTTCTTTTATTCTTGCTAAAAAAAATCTTTTTTTTAGAGCAACACTGCCCTCTGCTGGGTTTAACAAATACAACAAACTGCAGCGGTCAAACCACAGGTCAACAGGCCTTTACAGCTGTAGTGCACTTTTGTAAAAGGTATTCAAATTTGATACACAACGAATCCACAATTTCCACCTAATTTTTAAAATTCTAGGAAAGAATGTTACGAATTGTCTTAAACTGTGTACAACAAGCAACTGTTTTGATGAGAATTAAAGCAGTTATGGTACACAAATTGAAATAATTTCATATATTTATTATATATATTTACAAACAAAACGTTCAGAATAAACATTATTAATATGAAACCCTCCTTTTGGTTTGTAATTAGCTAACCATGATCTTTTAAATGTCTAAAGTACAATTATACTTTCCAGCTAATTGATTTTTTCGTAGTTATCACTCCCTCCGCTTGGTGGCGCCATTGCTTTCTTCTCTTTTAAAAGAGGGGGGCGCTAGTCGGATGCTAATGTTCATCAGCTAACAGTCGGCATATTCATTGTGGGGAACCAGGATATTCCGCTCGCGTACAAAGATTGAAAGTATATATATATTGAAGAAAACAGCCGAATGTAAATTGGAACAAACATTTTGAACGACATTGGGATGAACTGGCGTAAAAAAACAGACGTTGTTCCGGACGAGGAGGCTCGGAGGTTTTGAAGCTCTTAACTTTGGACAGCGAGCTAATGCTACGCCTACGATTTTTGCTGGATAAACATTTGGGAACTTTTATGAAGTGCGTCTTGTTTACCTATTTGAGAATTGCACAGTTAGCTGTTATTCTGTGCTGTGTTCTTATTTGATGGAATATTTTGTTTGCTACAGCAACATGAATTCGGTTTTGCTACGATACATTCAAGGCTAATTTGCTACCGCTAGCTTGCTCGAATGCTAACTGACGTTAGCGTAACCGGGTCAGATAGCAACTTGAACAGCGAAGTTTCGGGGACATTACACGACTGTGCTGTTGCTCGCAGGCAATTTCTGCTGCCACAAGAAGTAAACTTTTAACAATGTTTCAAATGGAAACACACATATCGTGCCTTTTCCCGGAAATCTTGGCCATTATTTTCTGTTACTTGGACGTGAAAGACAAAGGAAGAGTAGCCCAAGTGTGCGCGGCCTGGAGGGATGCGTCCTATCACAAGTCTGTGTGGAGGGGGGTGGAAGCCAAACTTCATCTGCGGCGAGCTAACCCGTCTCTGTTCCCCAGTCTGCAAACCAGAGGGATCAAGAAAGTCCAGATTCTCAGTCTCCGAAGAAGTCTGAGTTACGTGATTCAAGGGATGCCGCACATCGAAAGCCTTAACCTGTGTGGATGCTTCAACCTCACCGATAACGGTCTGGGACATGCCTTTGTGCAGGACATCCCGTCACTGCGGGTGCTGAACCTCAGCCTGTGCAAACAGATCACAGACTCCAGCCTGGGCAGGATCGCCCAGTACCTGAAGAACCTGGAGGTGCTTGAACTTGGGGGATGCAGCAACATCACTAACACGGGCCTGTTGCTCATTGCATGGGGCTTGCACAGACTCAAAAGCCTCAACCTCCGCAGCTGCAGGCATGTGTCAGATGTGGGGATCGGTCACCTTTCTGGGATGACCCGCAGTGCTGCAGAGGGATGCCTGTCTCTGGAGAAATTAACCCTGCAGGACTGCCAAAAGCTGACAGACCTTTCTCTCAAACATGTCTCAAAGGGCTTAAACAAGCTCAAGGTGCTCAACCTCAGCTTCTGTGGTGGGATATCGGATGCAGGGATGATCCACCTGTCACAGATGAGCCAGCTGTGCAGCCTGAACCTGCGCTCCTGCGATAACATCAGTGACACTGGGATAATGCATCTGGCCATGGGCTCCCTCCGGTTATCTGGGCTTGACGTCTCCTTCTGCGATAAGATTGGAGACCAGAGCCTCGCTTACATCGCTCAGGGGCTGTATCAGCTCAAGTCTCTATCTCTGTGCTCATGTCACATCAGTGATGATGGTATCAACAGGATGGTGCGCCAAATGCATGAACTCAAAACTCTAAACATTGGGCAGTGTGTACGAATCACAGACAAGGGTTTGGAGTTGATAGCCGACCACCTGACGCAGCTGACGGGGATTGATCTGTACGGGTGTACCAAGATCACCAAGAGAGGTCTGGAGAGGATTACACAGCTCCCGTGCCTTAAAGTATTAAACCTTGGATTATGGCAAATGACAGAAAGTGAAAGAGTGAGGTGACAGTTGCCATAAACACCTTTCATCCTGTTTCCATCAGTTGCTTACAGAGACAAACTGCTTGTATTCATTTTTAATTTAACCTTGTACTGTGACTTTCATAGGGACCCACTGGAATAACTTACAGCAATACTACTTTTATTTCGATTTTTTTCCCAGCTGCCTTTGTTTTTGTTTTATCACAGCCTGTGTACAGTTTTCCCTAGCTACCTCACTCAGTGAACACAGGAGTGCCTACTGTTGAATTCTGGGTTAGATGGTCTATTTTTGTGTCTTGTACTATTAAAGATTTTGACATTAAAAAAAATTCTCATTAGAATAAGAATTTGAAGTCAAAATTTAAAGTTGGGAGTTTAGTGCATTTAAAGTTTAAAAATGTTCATGTGAATATTTCTTAGCTTGTTTGTGTTAAATGTCCGACTCTTGACAAATGTGTACTTCAAATTGAAGTGAGCGGATCACTCCTGTCTCTCTGTTTACCTATGTACAGACTTCCTTTTGAATTCCTGAGGAAGTAATTAATATATCAGGTTTATCCACTCGTCTACAGTAATGTGTAGTTATTAACGCCTGCAGAGTCTATATGCAATACTCAAAATGTTCTTTAGTTTGGGGAGTCTCCCTCAACATTGAGCTTCAACAATATTGCAAGAGTATTTGTATAAAGAAGCAGTAATTTAAGATTCTTTATATTCATACAATAGTGATATTTATGAATAAAAATTATTAAAACTGTTCATAAGTTGTTTCTTTTGATAAATTAATATGTTCTTAATTCTGCAGTATCCCTCTACATTTCAGCACCTGTTTTCAGTTTTGATTTCATATCCAGAGTTCAAACCTACACCGTGCCTCATCAGGTGAAGAATTTAAGTAATGAAAAAAAAAAGTATAATTTAGCTAATTTAAAAGGAACACTTCACAAGAAAACAAGGCTTATAATTTATTTATTTACATACAAAATCCAAATAAGTAACATGTTTTTTTTTTTAGTTTGATTTTAGACATGAACAGACAGACGGCAGTACTTTAATTTCAAACAAAATAAAATCGTAGAACAAACTTGACTGAAGCCCCTTTGTCAGCTCTGTGCTCTCCAATAGTTGAGATGATGAGACATTAAGACAGGACGGGACACAGGCCAACGTAACGGGGAGTAAAACACGTCTTCTCTGGAGCTGCGAGGAGCTAAAGGGAAACAAAACATCTTTGGTTCTCCATCTGACACCCTGTGTGTGCAGTTTGCTTTAAAACTGTATTTTTAGATCTATACTAGTAATTTTTTCTCTCACAACAGCAGATGGGGACTTATTTTTATCCATCAGGCTAAAGAAAAAAAAACATCACTGACAAAGAAACAACTAGCATTCTCCGGATAACATAAAAATCACAATTGGTGAAAATACCTTTAAAAAGGACAAAAGTACTCTTCCATCACATAGTCACGGTTTGAAACGTCTAATTCACACAATGTTTTGACACTTTTTCTTTTATGCCTCTTCCCTCAATTTCTGCTGAGGACTCGCTTTGATCAGAGCAACTCGCTCTTCCAATACTCTGTGCAAACATTCAATGCATATCGATACAGTAAACTTTTATAGTAGATCATATTTATTTAAATATCTCCATAGAACATAGACTTTCTGCGAGTTATGGCAGTTACCATCACACACGTACATTTTGTCCAGAAGACAAAATTGGACACAAAGGACAACTGCACTGCTTGTAACTTTTCAGATTTTTATGTTAAGAATGCACAACACCTTCCAAATAACTACCTTTGTTCAGTTACTGCACGTGTTAAATAGCATGTTATTTACAAACTGATCTGTAAAGTCAAAATCTGCTGGAAAGTGACTTTTCTTTTAATGTCAATGCACTTAGTAATTAAAAAACCTAAGCCCTGATTATTAAAAAAAAACAACAGAGGCATCTGAAAATACAAGAAAAGGGGATTTCTTTTTGTATTTAATCAATGAAATTAAAGATTAAATGGGCTTTAAGTGACTCCAGTAGAAACTTTGGGTGAAGATCACTTAAAGTTCTTACATCATGCCATAGCACCAGGATTACAGAGAAATAAACATCCCTGTATTAGGTCCAGTACTGATCTCCATGCATGCTCCAAGGCCACGAGAACGTTCTCCAAAGAAACATTGCATACATCATAAACAATTGAACGTTGTGTGCAAAACCATCTAGAAATAATACAATTTTTTTCCTTTACTCCTCTCTTCTCGAGAACATGGGTTGATCCTCCTCTGAAGCCGATGAACCAGTCGCTGTCAGCTCAAAAACGTACCTAAGCTAATCGGAGCTACGCTGAAATAATTCATGTTGTGCTCATTAGGTGAAAACATGTAGGCAGCGTTACTACGATCAGTGAAACTGACTCAAAACATCTGCACGGCTCCACGCTTTTCCAGCTCCCTCCAGATGTAGCAGCTCCCCACCGCTAAAAGGCTAAAAGTGCTTTCTTGTCCCATGTCGTGATTTTGAATTGAAGGTAAAAGTGCCTCGTCTGGGTGAACCTCTGCAGAGCAAAGACTTCTAGACTTTGTAGAAGTTTGCTTCTTTTGCCGGACAGATTTTTTTTATCCAAACAAAACTGCAGAGAAAATTGTTTCTTCAAAGTTCATTAAGATGATTTTATGTCCGTGTGCTTTAGCCATTCTCCCATTTGCCATAATGTAACCATTAGGATTGACTTCCCTTAAAAAAGAGATTTAGGACAGAAAAGCACTTGTGAGTCTTGAATTAGTTTTGGGGTTATATGAGGAGGCAGAGGAGGAAATGGAACCACACCCCAGCATCTCCTTCCTTTGAGTGGAGGTAGTCGGGGTTCAGGGCTCTGCCTGGTTGTGCTGGAGGTCAGATTTGTCAGCACGACTCCTCCAGGGCGTTGACTACCTGTTCCAGGATATCTGGGCAGTAGTCCGAAATCTGCTGGAGAACCAAGTTGGCATATTCCTGCAGCTCCCCGCTCTCCTTCTCACACACCTCCAGCTCCCTCTCCAACTAGAAACAAAATTAAATACTTATATTTAAATGCATCTTTTACATTTTAAATGTTTATTTATGTATCTGTAAATAACTGCAAATTTAGATGTATGATCCCTAACACACAAACATGCATATGGCATTTGTGGGCGGTGAGACCGTTTTCTGCTGGAATCTTATTTTTAGATATTTTTTAGCTTAATAAACTGGGCTGCAACTCATTCACAAGCTAAACAGTTTATCTTGTAGTTGTTTATGCAGAACCCAACCTCAGACACGACCTAACATGAAAATATTTAAAGAGAATAAAAAACAAAATTTAATCTTCTAATAGAACTCTTTTTAATAATCTTACCACCCTGTTGTTTACACTCTAGTGAAATTTTAGTTTTTATTCACACACATAATGTGGGAGTTTCTTTGCTACCTGTTCGACTGTCATCTTCTGAAGGTCCTCCTCCCAGTCTTCAGGGTCGCCGTGGTGATAGTGAGAGGGTGGCGTGAGCATGCTGAGGATGCTGGGGTCTCGGTCGTGGCAGAGGTCTGTCAGGTGGGCGATGTAGAGTTTGAGCTTACTGCGGGTCTGGGACAAGGCTAGAAGAGGGGGGATCATCTGCTGAGTCCCAAGTGAGAGAGAGATGAGAAACAGGACCAAAAAAAGAGAAGTTAAATCTTTTTCTCCCAGTGTTGAATAACAGACGAGCTTTGGTCCAGATTGAATATAATGAAAACACATCTTCAACATCAGCATGCACCAATCATCCGACTCTTTCTGCTGATCAAAACTGTTATTTAACTTTGAATTAGTTTTAAAGCATCAGCATGCAAAGCTAAGATACCACGAGGTCAGGAAACTTGGTTCATTCATGCAAAACAAACACAATCCCACCCAAATAACACATGAATGAAGGCAACCACAGATGAATACAGCGCACGTAAACATGCCAGTGACGAATGGGACAGGTTTTCTTCTTTTGTACGAGCTCACCCTTGTGAACAAAGTGACTTTGAGAGAGAGGGGGAGAGCAAAAGGCCGGCTACGCCCAAATACCCTCCTCATCATCCTGTTAGCCACAAGGTGAGGCAGACGCAGCGGTAGGAAGGAAAATCTGGTTAGTTTTTAAACTACACTAAAGGAAAGCTCTCGTGCAAGAACTTTTACTTCCTCTAAATATCATTTTGGAGGCATGCAGGCACGCTGACCCACCTGATCTGGAGAGGGTTTGTGATTGGTCTGGTCAGGTGCCGTCCTCAGGTGGTCGTCTTCATAGTTGTCTGCCATCAGCTTCATTCTGTTCTGAGTCTGAAAAATGAAACATTGGAAGGTTTCCCCGCTCAATCTTCATTGAACTGGTCTGTTCATAAACACATGCAGTCCTGGTGGGACTACCCATAATCCCATAATTCCTTTGTGAATACTAACCTGCTGCTTTAGCTGCTGAACCAGTCTGTCCTTCTCTCTCTTCAGCTGAGACACCTCTTCCTGAGTCTTCTTCTTCTTGGAGGACGACAGCTCTAGCAGGGCGATGTTAGCGTCCTTCTCGCTGATGGCGGCCAAAAGCGCCTCCTGCCTGTTGGATGGAGACGGAACAACATTAAACACACGAGTAAACAGTTCAAGCATCATTTATTATTTATGGCTCAGCAGCAGCATGCCAGCTGGGGAACGCCAGATTGGACGACATTTTACAAGATTAAGGGAGCAATCGATAATCCACCCTGCTGTGTGTGTGTGTGTGTGTGTCTTACTTCATCTCCAGCACCTCCTCCAGGTGTTTCCTGCGCTCAGCTCGCAGCGTTGTGAGGTGGGCTTCCTTCTCACACAGAGACTGTTGGGTCGACGCCAGCTTGGCCCTCATGGACTCCAGCTCCTGCTTCACCTTCTCCATGGCACCCAGCAGCTCCTCCATCTTTAAACACACACAAACCATTAACTCGGTAATAACTAGTTCTAGGTATCAAAAAAATGAAAAATAAAAATCAGTGAAAGTGTCACTTAATTTCAATAAATGATGCTTCTAATTAAAAGAGGGACACCTTTAAAGAAAAACAGATTTTAATACCTGTTATTTGTTTTTAAAGGGCACAAAAGCACAAAAAGATGTGTAAATGGGGCTATGTAGTCTAGCGATAGCACGTGGCTAATCGACATATGGAAGAAACCCTTTATGGTGATTATTTGACAAGCAAACAGCAGGTTAAAAATCCTCCTGTGACATTTACGTGGGCCGGAAACAACACAAACACTTTACAAAAACATGCAGTCTGAGCGTGAATCTCACAGCCTGTTGGAGGGCAGCTACGTGTGACTGCATTTAGTCCTATGACTAGCTTATGTTTATGTATTTAGCAGACGCATTTGTCCAAAGCGGCTTACAAGTGATAATTGGCATGTTGCCCTTGAGGCTAACAACAATAACAACAACTTGACATCAATCATGGAGAGGAGGGAACAAGGAGTGGACAGTAGAGAGGGGGGACGGGTGCAGGGAGGGTGCTAGTTTAGAAGATGCTCTCTGAAGAGCAGGGTCTTCAGGAGTTTCTTGAAAATTGAAAAGGAAGCCGCAGTTCTGGTAGTGCTTGGTAGGACATTCCACATTTGTGGAACGATGCATGAGAACACTCTTGATTGTCCTGAGCGTGGTGTAGGCGCTGCTAGCCGACGATCCTGTGATGACCGGAGCGGCCGGGCCGAGACGTAAGCCTTTGCAAGAGGATTCAGGTAGATGGGAGCCGTACCATCTCGGACTTTGTATGCTAGTGTCAGCAATTTGAATTTGATGCGTGCTACTAGCGGTAGCCAGTGGAGCTCAATGAACAGAGCTTAAATGTGTGTGGTGTGTGTAAATAATGAAAATTCAGCTTTAATCATTTTCATTCTATACAAAATCTGCTGATTCTAGAAGCATTAATCTTAGTAGATGGGTATTGGCAAAGATTGGTTATCGGACATTACAGTGAGATTAATATCGGATATCCCCAAGCTGCCTTCCTATGTCCAACAACAACAAGGTAAATGTGGGTTTGAATTCTAGAATCCCTGATATGTTTAATTTATTTTTGTCAATCATCTGAAAAAGTTTCCTTTTTATATGAATCTACCTGACAAACTAATAATCAAACTACTCTCTGCATTGTAAACAACATTCCAGGTGTCTAGGTTGCAGGAACATGACCACTGCTTTCATTATGAGCTGGGCCGGCAAGATGACCTTTATTACAGAAGCACGGTCGGGTCATGATGAAATGACATAAATTCAGGTTAGCTGCATCTTCTGTTACTTGGACCAAGCCATTATTAGTGAGGTCAGATGACTCGGAGCTGCATTCAAGGGCAGCACAGATTCCCTTCTAACCACCGTCCACAGTTATCACCTGCTCATTTTCAATATTCTGCACAAGAGGAGCAACCAAGGTTATCGTAGTTTAATGATGCAGCAGTATAAGGGCCAGGAAAAGGATACGCCTTTGTCCTGTGCAACCACTTTCCATTTAGAAGACGAGAAATTTAATTTTCAAAGTAAAAACAGAAAAAAAAATCCCAAATGTACTAAAAAAAATGTAGCTCTACAGCCCACCCACCATTTTAGACGAGATAGTTACAAACAAAGATGTTGAGTATTAAAAGGTGTGGTGCAAATCCATACATTTGCCGAGGGGGAGGGGGGGGGGGGATACTGGTGCACCATTTCCAGGGACCAGCATTTACCCACATCACAGCTGAGCTTCAGACGGCAGGTTTTGGAGTCTTATTTTCTGATATTTGGGAATCTCTCCTCTGATTGGCTGACAGCAACAGTAAGCTCTACCACCGACTATTCTGCAAAGTTGACGTTTTATCTCCACAAAATGTAGATTTGTTCTTAAATATAAATCTTACTTTGACTTGTTGGCAAGAGTGTGAGCAAGAGTGTGGGCTGCATGGTGGCGAAGTGGTTAGCACTGTTGCCTCCCAGCACGAAGGTTGCAGGTTCGAAACTCGGCTGCAGCCTTTCTGCGTGGAGTTGCATGTTCTCCCCATGCATGCGTGGGTTTCCTCCGGGTACTCCGGTTTACCCCACAGATCACAACACGCCCTATAGGTTATAAATTGTAAGTCGCTTTGGATAAAAGCGTCTGCTAAATGAATAAACATAAACATAAGCAAGAACTGGTCTCGTGTGTCTCTGACGAACTAACAAACTATCCCAGGAGATACCCGACACGACTCCAAACTCTTCAATGAATGGATGAAAATCTTGAACTTAGTCTGAGCAGTTAGAGAAGGCACAAATCTAACACAAGTCAGTTTACTGCTGCATTTATCAGTTTCTGTAACTAATCTGATCAAATCTTTTGGTGAAAATCAATTAATTTATGCAGAAAATCTGATCCACCAGAAAAGTAGAAATTACTTTTCATGAGGCCTGTCAGGATAAAACTTACAGCGCTGAATAGACAGGCCATAAATATTTATACATTTAATAAAAAATCAAAACATCTGGAGGCCAGCCATCAGAACCAGGAGCATCTCACTTTGTTATTATTACATGTGTGGAACCAGCACCTCCTCACTGTGTTCCTACCCTTCCTGCAAACCTTACCAGCTGGGATGGTAAAGCCAGGGGGCAGCTGAATGGTAGCCTGCTGCTGGGAAGGTCTGACAATCAGCTGGGGCCGGGCTACAATCCTTTGAGGCACTGCAAGTCCAGGACGGGGTTGAGTCTGTGCAGAGGTGGCTGTAACAGCTGTGGGAGAGGGGGCTGTGGGTCTGACCATGCTGATGGTGGTGGTGACAGATATGGTCTGAGATGGTCCACATGCTGGCGTGGTTGCCAAACCAGCCACACATGTGGCAGGTGTTGAGGCAGGGATCAGAGGCGGGCTCACGGTGGTGGTGGTGGTAGTGGTGGTGGTTGGAGCTGCTGTTGAGGTTGTTGCTGGCATGACAGCAGCAGAGGAAGCCGAGGACACAGAGTTTATCACCGAGCTAACACTACCGGACTGGCTGGACATTACAATTTTGGACTGACAGTCGTCTGCGCTGGAAGACCCAGTATCCGTGGTGGATTTGCTGTGCTCCTCCTGGGAAGCAGAGGAGATGGTGGCTCCCGGATGAGCCTCCTGCTGGGCCAGGGCCGAGACCGTGGTCCCGTTGCCGTTCTGGGCTATACTGGCTACTATGTGACCGGTCTGGTGGAGTTTGATGGAGTTGTATCCGCCGAGCTGACGTTCTCGCCCACCGCCGTGTTGCTATTCCGCCTCGTCTTTATAGCTGCGCCGTTCAAACTCTTTAGCCGAGCCGAAGCGCTCCTCCTCGGTGCCGCTGTGCGTTTCCTCGGCGTGTTTTTCTCCACAGACGTCTCACCTGGGGCAGCCTTCGGGCTGCGGCTGGATGCGGTCGTGTGGCGGTGATGCCAAAGTTGACCCACCAGACGCGGTCACTGCTGTGACGGATGCTCCATGTGATTGAGAACCGCTGCTAGCGACGTTCGCTGAAGTGGTGGGAGGCTCTCCAAAAGAAGCAGCAGAGCCCGGTGAAGGAGCTGTGACAGTTTTATCCGGACTAGCGTCTTTGGAGTTCATTTCCTGGCGCATCTCAGGTTTATTAAGCTGTCCTTGTTGTTGTGGTGCTCACTGGAGCTGGTGGCGGTTTTCCTAAGTGATGGTTAGCCGGGTCCGCAGAGCCAGCGCCTCCGTTACCGTCAGCTTTACCTGCTGAGCTGCTTTGTCCAGTAAGCTATGACTAACGAGCCCACGAGGTCGCTGACAGCTTTTTCATCCACCTCTGAAAAGAGCATATCTTCCAGGGGGTCTGAGTCGCCCGCCATCTGATCACAGAGCTGCCTTATACCTCACCACTCTGTGCGCCTGCGTGTTACTAGGCATTCTGGGAATGAATTTGACGTCATCATAGTTTAGGAGTGAACGGAAGATGAGCCGTGGAGCACACCAAGAAGTAAAAGACGTTTTTCCCGATTTTAACGGAGCCATTTTGTTTAATTCGGTCTCTAAAATCTCCTACTGTAAAAATTAGATTAAAAATCCGCGATTTATTAGCTACCATCAGTCTTTATACAACGAGACGCCTGTAGGTGGCGCCATTTCACAGATAAAATCAAAATTATGCAGTTTAATGATCTAGTCTAGTCATTCTTTAGTGTCCAAACAGAAATAAAGATTTTTAGCTCCGTCAGTTTGCTTTCTGACCACAGCATGGATGTTTTAAAACTTTTCACCATTACCAGTCCAAATTCAGTCATCTAGCACATTTCACCATTCAGGTTTAGCAAGATACATATAACAGTTCCATTTTTGGCTTCAGCTTTAGATAATTAAAAATCCAATTCATTACAGTAGACACTCATTAGTGTGTGGGCATCTTCTGAAACCTATTGCAATAAAAATGTTGGTGAACACATGCACTCGGCTCAAATGACTACAGCTGATGTAGGTGCAATAATAAAAACAAAGAGTTGAGACTTTTATTTTACTAGGAACCAAACACTTTAAGGAGCACTTAAACAGGTAAGTTTAATAGCACTAAGGAGCAGTTAAACAGGTAAGTCTAAACAGGCAAGTCTAATAGCACTAAGGAGCACTTAAAACAGGTAAGTCTAATAGCACTAAGCAGCACTTAAACAGGTAAGTCTAAAAGCACTAAGGAGCAGTTAAACAGGTAAGTCTAAACAGGCAAGTCTAATAGCACTAAGGAGCACTTAAACAGGTAAGTCTAAAAGCACTAAGGAGCACTTAAAACAGGTAAGTCTAATAGCACTTAAACAGGTAAGTCTAATAACACTAAGGAGCACTTAAAACAGGTAAGTCTAATAGCACTAAGGAGCACTTAAAACAGGTAAGTCTAATAGCACTTAAACAGGTAAGTCTAATAACACTAAGGAGCACTTAAAACAGGTAAGTCTAATAACACTAAGGAGCACTTAAAACAGGTAAGTCTAATAGCACTAAGGAGCACTTACAACAGGTAAGTCTAATAGCACTTAAACAGGTAAGTCTAATAGCACTAAGGAGCACTTAAAACAGGTAAGTCTAAACAGGTAAGTCATAGCACTTAAACAGGTAAGTCTAATAGCACTTAAACAGGCTAGGGAGGTCCTGGCCAAAACAGGCAAATCTAATACTCTTCACCCTCTTCCTCATCGTACCCATCAAGGGAGTCAACTCCCACCTCCTCATAATCTTTTTCCAGTGCAGCCATGTCCTCTCGGGCCTCAGAAAATTCCCCTTCTTCCATGCCTTCACCCACATACCAGTGTACGAATGCGCGTTTCGCATACATAAGGTCGAACTTGTGGTCAAGTCGAGCCCAGGCCTCAGCAATGGCGGTGGTGTTGCTCAGCATGCACACTGCCCTTTGCACCTTGGCCAGGTCTCCTCCAGGGACCACAGTGGGGGGCCGGTAGTTGATGCCAACCTTGAAACCAGTGGGACACCAGTCCACAAAGTGGATAGCGCGCTTGGTCTTGATGGTGGCAATGGCAGCATTGACATCTTTGGGAACTACGTCTCCACGATACAGCAGGCAGCAGGCCATGTACTTACCATGCCGAGGGTCGCATTTCACCATCTGATTGCCTGGCTCAAAACAGGCATTTGTGATCTCAGCCACTGTGAGCTGCTCGTGGTAAGCCTTCTCAGCAGAGATGACCGGGGCATAGGTGGCCAGGGGGAAGTGGATACGTGGATACGGCACCAAGTTAGTTTGGAACTCTGTCAGATCAACATTAAGGGCTCCATCAAACCGAAGAGAGGCAGTAACAGAGGACACAATCTGGCTCATGAGCCTGTTGAGGTTGGTGTAGGTGGGGCGCTCAATATCAAGGTTTCGGCGGCAGATGTCGTAGATAGCTTCATTGTCTACCATGAAGGCACAGTCGGAGTGCTCCAAGGTGGTGTGAGTGGTCAAAATGGCATTGTAGGGCTCCACCACAGCTGTGGACACTTGAGGAGCTGGGTAGACTGAGAACTCCAACTTTGACTTTTTGCCATAGTCAACGGACAAACGCTCCATCAGCAGGGAGGTGAAACCTGAACCAGTGCCTCCTCCGAAACTGTGGAAAACCAAGAAACCCTGAAGCCCTGTGCATTGGTCAGCCTGAGAAAACACAATCAAAAGCCATGAATTACACTTTTTCAGGAAAAACACGTCAACTTATATGGGTGAAAATTTATCATGTTTTAATGTATGCTCACCAACTTGCGAATCCGGTCTAAAACCAGGTCGACTATCTCCTTCCCGATGGTGTAATGCCCACGAGCATAGTTGTTAGCAGCATCCTCCTTTCCGGTGATCAGCTGTTCAGGGTGGAACAGTTGGCGGTATGTTCCAGTGCGCACCTCATCTGAAGAGAAATACCCATTTAAGATCTGCCACTGCAGAAATGGGTGTTCCAGAACAGAATATACTTACCAATAACGGTGGGCTCGAGGTCCACATAAACCGCTCTAGGGACGTGTTTTCCAGACCCAGTCTCGCTAAAAAAAGTGTTATAAGAGTTGTCTCCACCTCCAATCTGTTTGTCAGAAGGCATCTGCCCATCTGGCTGGATCCCATGTTCCAAGCAGTAAAGCTCCCAGCAAGCATTACCTATTTGAACCCCTGCCTGACCAACGTGAACGGAGATGCACTCACGCTGGGAAAGAGGGAAAATAGTTTACATGATTAAAAATTGTAAATTCATGCTAACTTCCTGTGCTTGAAAAAAAATAGGGATATGTGCTAGGCCAGATAGATCACGTGACTCGAAGAGTGGGAAGGAGCAGTTAAGACAAAAATCCAAATCGCTTTTAAACTGCTAAAAAACTTATATGCAGTTAAGAGGGAAACACATGATTAAAAATTGTAAATTTATGCCAACTATCTACGCTTGAAAAACTGGGATATGAGCTAAATGTTTTAAACGGCCAGATAGATCACATGATGCAAAGGGCGGGAAAGAGAGGTTAGACAACAATTGAATAGATTTTAAACTGCTAAAAAATACGTTATATGCAGTTAAGAGGGAAAATAGTTTACATGATTAAAAATTGTAAATTCATGCCAACTATCTATGCTTGAAAAAAAAATTAGGGATATGTGCTAAACGGACAGATAGATAATGTGATAAGAGCGGTTAGACAAAAATCTAAATATCTTTTAAACTGCTAAAAAAAACGTTATATGCAGTGACAAGCTATCCCAATGAACACAGAACGTTAAAAACCGTCAAAACGGACTTCGGTAGGTATTTTCTGTCATGTGGTCAACCAAAAGCTCTCAACAGGAAAAATGATTTAACCCTCTCAGGCTCAAATTAAGTTTTGATAAAAGAACAAACAACTATGTCCTTCAGGCGTACTTCTGAGTTAAAAAATGCTCATGAAATATGTATGTAGAGTAACTAGTAGGTAGGTTTTAATGTTGCAAATCACCTGCCTCTCAGAGGGTTAAATTTTAGTTTTTATCCCTCTACTAAACAAAACTAAACTTGGCATTTAAACTCCTAAAGTTAATGAAGATTCTTACCATTTTCGGTCGAAAGTTAAGAAGGAATCTGCTAAAATAAATTTCTAACTGACGACAATCAGGCGTCCAGAAACATCAACGCTCGCTCGCGCCACGCGCGCCTTTTTTTATACAGAGGATTGTACCATTAACTTTAGAGAGGGTGGACTGTACCACTGGCTGCAAACACATTAAAATTGAAACGTTGATTTTAATATTTATATTTTCTTCCATCAGGGATAACGTCTATATAATGAAATACAAAATGTTTTGAGGTATATCTGAGGTTAACATCTTTATCCGATCAGTGTAGTTTCGCATGATCCACTGTGGTACCAACAAAGGCTACGACAGAGGAAAGACTTTGAGGGGAACAAACTACAACCCCCAGCATTCTCCGCGGCGGGGGAAAGAAAATGAAATCGGCCATGTCGAGTTAAAAATCACGGAACGCTCGAATGTGGGGAGTAGCTTACTTTATGGTTATGTACCATGTATGCCACCCTGAGACCGTTCAGCACCTCTTATGGATCTGTTCACATGCTACAACGTTTTGGAGAGACTTTAGCAGATTTATTATCGGACAACTCTGCAAAGACTTTGTTTTAAAATGGGAAAATGTTGTATTTTGTTTTTTTCGCAAGCACAGAAAGGAAGATGTACAGTATACTTTGTTATAAATTTGTTAATTATTCTAGCTAAATTCTATCTCCACAAATGCAAGTATAGTAACCAAAAACCTAATTTCAAGCACTATTATAGTCACACTCTATCTTACATAAAATTGATTAGTGGATCACTAAACAAAAAAGCTTTAAAAACTATAACTATTTGCACCACCATTTATTTGGATGTGTGTAACATTTCTGTAGTGCACCCCCTGGCATATTTCATCTTCTGTGTTCAATTTTGTATGCAATTTGTTTGTATACTTATAACCTTGTTCAATAAAGTTTTGAAAAAAAAAACTTTATGGTTATGTAGCCGTAAACCCCGCGTTTTTAAAAGCTAAATATTCAATCACTTGTTTAACAGTAAATACATTTTGTGGAAGCAAGTACGTTGGTAAAAGTAGCGGGTAAACATGAGCGGCGGAGGGACGCCTACATTGGCAGCAAAATTAGCCTAATCTCAAAGGCCGAGATCCGCTATGAAGGAATTTTGTATACAATTGACACTGAAAATTCGACAGTAGCTCTTGCTAAAGGTAAGTGTAGCCAGTAATAGAGTGATTACAGCTGTAAAAATTTAGTTTTATCAAATATTTCAGTTTTTTTTTAAATAGCCTCCAATGCAGTTAGCTGGTAGCTTTTAGCCGTCTGTAGGCTAAACTCTATCCTTCACTGGGGGTCCTTTGTTTACTTAAGTTTTTGACTTAATCTGTAAATCCAACAACATAAAGTCGTAGAATTAAAAGCTGTCATATGTTTTTCTGCACTACACATTTTAAGGTAACAAATATTGATTCTGTGCTTTTTAAATAATAGTGAAGAGCTTATTTTTAATCCGTGTTTTTTTAACTGGCACCACTTACTTTCCCACCTTTTAGTATTTTAAAGACATGTGTTAGCCAATGTCTTCCACACAACGGAATCAAGACGTAAGTCTGTTGCAGCTATGGAGGTTAACTCATGAAAACTCACACGGACTCAAGATTCACCGTTTTAGAGCTCGGCGTCAGATGGCCAGTCCTTTCCATCTGGGTACCGCTCACACACCCATCTTTGCCAGAAGCTCGCTTTTATTTACTCATGTCACAGGTCAAAGGGTAACACACATGCGTCACTTCCTGGCCCATAACAAGAACAAACCTCATATACACCTAACATCAGAACATAATACTCAACACTCCCACTTGTTCTGAGGTTTTGTTGTCCCATTGTCTCTGAGAAACATTAATAATCGGATCCAAACATAAAATGGTTAAACTTGACAAGCTTGCAGGTTGTAACAGGTTTTGTCATGACATCTGCAACCATTTGGTCAGTTGGACAATAGCTCAGACATAATAATCCATCCCTTACGGTTGATCTCACAAAATGATACCGTATATCGATGTGTTTACATCGTTGTCTTTGTACGGGATTGTTAGCTATTGCAATTGTCCCTTGGTTATCCTCGTACACCTGTGTACAAGAGTATACACATCCATCAAGATACCTTAGAAAATGCATCAGATACAAACACTCCTGCACAGTGGCCGCTAGTGCTATGTATTCGGCCTCACATGTTGATAGTGCGACAGTGGATTGTTTTCTTGTTTTCCATGAAACTACTGGTCCATTTTTAGAGAGACTTACACAATAACCTTATGTGCTGCGATGATCATTTACATCAGTAGCCCAGTCTGCATCACCATATGCATGTATTCCAAGTTTCTCATCCTCGCTTTTCCTGTAGCACAATCCCTTACTGGAGGTACTTTTCAGGTATCTTAGCACGTGTTTGACTGTGACCCACTGCTGCTCTGTAGGTTCTGCAAAATACTGTGACAGTTTACTTACGACAAAACTTAAATCAGGTCTGGTACATGTAGCTAAGTAAATAAAACTGCCGACAGCTTCCCGATATTTCTTCACATTGTCCATTTTTTTAGCGTCACCATTGTAGTCAAGTTTCTGTTCACAATGAGTAGATCTAGACTTGCAGTTCTGCATGTCATACCTTTCTAGAATACTTTCTACATATCTTGTTTGTTACATCTTAATATAGTCTTTGTCCAGCTTAAATTCAATGCCTAGAAAATAGTTCAGTTGTCCCAAGTCTTTCATTTTGAATCTTGAAGTTAAGGTTTCTTTGATCTCTTTTAATACTTTCTCATCTGTGGCTGCAATAATCAGATCATCCACCCATATGATGAGTATGATTTTGTCATTTTTTGATTGTCTGGTATACACACAACTGTCTACAGGATTCTGTACAAAGTTATTGTTACATAAGAAATCATGCAATGTGTGATTCCAGTTTCTACCAGCTTGTTTGAGACCATATATTGACTTGTTTAATTTCAACACCATGTTGTCACCTTCTGACCTTTCTTCATAACCTTTGGGTTGTTCTAGGTCAGGGATTCCCAAAGTGTGGTGCGCGCACCCCCGGGGGTGCGCGAGCTGCCGCTAGGGGGTGCGCAAGGTGAAAAGTATAATGGCTGCGGAGCTCAGAGAAGTCTGTCAAAAGTCACCATCAGCGTAGCCAGAAACTAATTTGTGGGTGGGCCTAAGAAAATGTAAGTGGGCCCAATAAACGTAATTGAAAACAAGTATATTTTGCTTGTGTGTGTGTGTGTGTGTGTGTGTCCTCCGCACATGCCCTAGCTCAGGGGTCGGCAATCCGCGGCTCTGGAGCTGCATGCAGCTCTTCCATCCATCTGATGCGGCTCTCTGTGCTTGTAAAATAATGAATGGATATTTAAATAAAATGCTTTATATTTTACTGAATTAATTTTACATCTGTAAGCCAATTCTAAATGTAAAGATTGTCTGCATAAACCTGAACAGGTCCAACCCGGTCTGACTGTGAGACCGGGTTGACGCGTCACGCTTGTGCGTAATCATATAGGCGCTTTCTGAGCTGAAGACGATGTGAGATTCTGGGACTCTCCTCAGACGCCACATTGGAGACAGGAACAAGCACAATTTAGCCAACGTTTCTTCATCAGGGAGCATTTTCTAAGTGACAAGTCTCTCTGAGAGACCGGGTTTGGAAAACTCTCGCTTCAGTAGAAGGAATCTTCCCGCATGTGCTCTGGTTCTGCGATGCGCTCCAAGCCCCTCTCCACATCTTCAGCTCGCTGTGCACCTTATGTATGCGCTGACAGTGAGCTGCGCTGAGCGGTGTCCAGCTCAGATGTTCAGAAGGAAATCTTTTCTTGAGTGATTTAGCTACATCTGCGATGTGCGTAACGAATAAAGTGTCAGTTCGTCTGCATGCGTCGGGGTAATACTTTCTATTCTTTCTCCGTCAAAATAAATGGCCAAATACGGGAACTATCTGGTCAACACAAGCCCTGCTTTTAACTGTTTTGTTTTCTTGTGAAAATCGTCGCAAAGAGATAAAATTTAACTTGATTAACACCAGAGCCAGGCACACTGCATCGTTATTTCCGTCGCTGTAAATGAGGGGAAAATAAAATGATCGGATCCTTTTCTGACCTTCCCCACCAACAAAGTTTAATTACAACAATCAAACGTGACAGAGCAGTCTAAACATGTTTTAAAAAGAAACATATGACAAAAGTGGCACCTGCTCAGTAAAACCACCAACAGGGTGAAAAATATCTAAATATTGTAGGCAGAGACGGGCTACAACTTCTGGATCCACTTTATATAAATCGTTTTATTGATTATCTTCTTATGAAAGATAGCTTTGACGTACACGAGCGACCGGTACCGGCTGCTGTCACCTGTTGTGAGCAGCGCTCGGCTGTCTGAGGGTAGGCCCTGCCCACAACGCCGCGGCTGCTGCGGTGTTTCTTTACTGTGGGAAACGGGTAATAATGGCTCTTTGATGGGAACAGGTTGCCGACCCCTGGTTTAGCGTGACGTCTGATATATATATATTGGCGCCATGCCCTGATGTGGGGCTGGGGGGTGCGTCAACATGGTCGGGACATAGAAGGGGGTGCGCGGCTAAATAAGTTTGGGAACCACTGTTCTAGGTATATCTCTAGATCTATCGGTGCATGTTAGTAAGCACTTTTCACATCCATTTGATGTAGACTCAGGCTTTCTTGGGCTGCTTTTTGCATTAACACTCGTATGCTTGTTAGGTTTGCGGTTGGTGAGAATGTTTCCTCATAGTCCAGTGTTTCCCCTAGGAAATCTGATGAGTCTGATGAAACCCGCTGGTTTTCCATCAGGCAGTCACGGGACAGCTCCAACGACCCAGTGGCTGTGGTGGGTCAATGTTATCGAGCTCTGTCCAGCTCGGCCGTGAACGAGCCGAGGCGACGTCATGCTCTGCTTAAGAAGAGGTGTTATTTTCCCGCTTCAGAAGAAGCATCCAACGTGTTTTTACGCTTTCTCCAAGACATGTCACGTCGCTAAGTTGTCAGCACCGCGAGCTAACACGTCAATAGTGCAGCGTAGCCTGCTGGAGGTTTTAAGGGTTCAGATGAAAACACCTGACCTCTCAGGCTGCTCACACATCGATCTTAAGTTGTCACTGTTGCGCTCACGCCGTAATACAGTATTAGATGTGGTTAAAGTCAGACACGAAAAAATAAATGAATTTTACATGAATAAGTGATGCTTAGCCTGGTGGGGGGAGGAGAACCTGGCCTAATAAGCACTGGAGGAAACCCTGTCAAGATCGTCAACACTCATTATTCTTAATGCTATTGAAACATGTAAACCACAAAGCATTATATCCACTGCTACCTTTCTAATTTTAAACTCAGTAACTTATGCTGTAACTTCACCTTGCCCTGCCTGCTCCTCCTTGCTGCCCGCCGGCTGTGATCACAAGCGACAACATAGTAGTTCCCGCTGCTTCTTCAGGAAACAGCGCAAAAAAACCAAAAACTTGGGATCTTGAAGCGTGGCGGTGGGATTTCAGCCGTGGCGGGTCGCCACGGCTACGCCTATGTAAGGGAAACCCTGTAGTCTATGGCCTTCTTTTGAGTAAATCCTTTAGCTACGTATCTTGCCATGAATTTCTCTTTTCCCTCTGTATCCCTCTTTAATGCATAGACCCATTTACCTCCCACTGTTTTCTTGCCCTCAGGCAGGATCTTTAGAGTGAATTTGTCATTTTCTCTTAACCCTTTGATGCATAATGGTCACTACAGTGGACAGGTACTCAAATTGTTATTTATTTGTTTTTGCTATTAATCACAGCTGTTGAAGACTTTATTGCATTTGAGCCCCTCCATTTGTACTTCAGTAAGCCAAGCCACCATATTTCATGTTCAGAATGCACGCTGTCCACTGAGGTGGACATGTAATAAATCATTTGTAAATTATAAAATTGTACAAAAAATAATTGTTGAAATTTGTTTCATTCACACCTAAAGACGAATGAAAAAAAATGTTAAAAAAAATCATGGTTGAAGATTTCATAATTCATGCATCAGAGGGTTAAGGATGACATCTCTTCCTCCATTTCATCTTTCCATTCCTGAGCGTTTTGTGAGTGTACAGCTTCCTCATATGTTAAGGGTACATTACATAGAAGTCTGTAACAGTAATCTACGTTTATCGAAGCTTGATCGTCAGACTCCTCCTCTGTCACATAATCCTGCAGATAGCTTGGTCTTTTAGTGGGGTAACGGGCTGCAGCTTGCTCTGTATCAAGGCTAGGGCTAATCTGACTGCTGTCCTCTGGTTTGGTGACTGGCTCCTGTTTTAATTCCATTTCTGCAGTCTCAGCCACTCCTTTTCTGGTTTTGGGGTATATGTCTAACTCATCCTCATCTGCTGGTACCATGTTTGTTTGCATTTCCTGCTCTATTCCATTTTTTGTACTGAATCTCACTAACCTGTGCTTTTGCACCTGTCCTGTTTGTGGATAGTAAACCAGGTAGGCAGGGCTGTTTTTGTCCTATCCTACAAAAAGTCCCTCCTCACATCTCGAATCTAGTTTACCCTTCACCTGTTTGTATGAATAGCACTTGCTACCGAACTTATGCATTCTAGATAGATCGGGTCGTTTACCACGAATCGTTTGGTAGGGGGTCTGACCGGTGCGGTTGTTAAAGCACCTGTTTCTTGTTATAACTGCTGCCTGCACAGCATAAACCCACAAAGTTTTAGGCAAATTACTATCTATCAGCATGCATCTCGCCATGTCAAAAAGAGTCTGCCAGCTTCTTTCTGCTGTGCCATTCTGATGAGGCGAATATGGGGCTGAAGTTTCGTGTCTTGTCCCATTTTTAGTCAACACCATTTGGTAGCCCTGTCCTGTGAACTCTGTGCTGTTATCTGATCTTATGCATAAAACCTTGCCGTATAGAGCTGTGTCTGCTATGAACTTCTCAGTAGCTTTTACAGTGTCACTCTTCTGTTTTAAGAAATATATAAAAACAGCTCCTGAATAATCATCAGTGAATGATAGGGCATACCTGTAGCCTTCCTTAGTCTCAGGGCAAATTGGTCCAGCTAAATCTGTATGGACCAGCTCTAATACTGCTTTAGCCTTAGCATCTGGTTTTCTATTTCTCATTTGAATGAATTTCCTCTTAATACATGTTTCACATTGATCTTTTTGTTTGTCGTTCATTTCTTTGATATTCATCCCATCAACAACGTTTTGTAGTCTCCTTAAATCATCATAATTACAATGACCCATGATTTCATGCCAAGTTTGTATGCCGTACAAGGCGTTACATTGATCATTACTCACAGTCTGTAGATCAGGGGTGTCAAACTCATTTTAGCTCAGGGGCCACACTGAGGGAAATCTAGTCCCAAGTGGGCCGGACCGGTAAATTAAAAACAACTTCAGATTGTTTTCTTTGTTTTAATACAATCAGTATAAAACAAGGCTGGAGCATGAGGACAGTGTATCCAAAATAGTACAAGTACAACACCTGAAGTGTACTTGAAAATTTGAAATAAATAAATCAATAAATTAAAAAAAACATTCCTTAGAGCTTACAGATAACATGGCTAGATCAGTTCCATGCAGCACTTAAAGTATATTTGACTCGTTTTACTTTACATCTTTTAGCTTTCACCAGCACATCAACATCAGAAGTCACATCCTGAGTGGCGGCCAACTTCAGGATGTGATTCAAGTTCTTGTGTGAGCCTTGAGCGCAGCTTTGTTTTATTTATACTCGTTACAGAGAAAACTTGCTCACAAAGATAAGTTTATTTTAACTCTACATTGTAAAGTATGAAAATAAAGTTTACACAACCATCTCGTGGGCCGGATCCGGCCCGCGGGCCGCATGTTTGACACCCCTGCATAGTACAGTCAGTTATGCTCTATGATGGGGAATCTGGTTCAGTCAGCACATTTTAGCACGTCTTCGCCCTGTTTAAAGAAAATTGTTGCACCGTTACTAGTGGCTGTCTTCACTGAAAAGATGTCCTGTGGATAAGATGGGATGTACAGCGCATGCTTAAGCACTGCTCGGTGTCGTCGTCCTCTGCTGTCTGTCAGAGTAACCACAGCTTCTCCTCTTTTCTCTGCTACGCCCTTGCATCTCGTTCCATCAGCCAGCTCGATGTGATGGGTTTTAGGCTTGAAGTCCTCATCGAATCTCTGGAAGTTGTCCAAGTTGGTGATATGTGATGTTGCTCCTGTATCCACCATCAACCCTGTAACCCGGCTATTCGTCTGGATTTCCTCATCCTCATCCCTCAGTCGAAATACGAATTCCTTGCCGTCGTCTTCATCAGCTGCTCCCCGAGCCACATCCTTTTGTGGTTTTCTTCTGCATGCTTCAGTCTGGTGTGTGTTACTTTTGCAGTAGTAACACCTCATCAGGTGAAGAATTTAAGTAATGAAAAAAAAGGTATAATTTAGCTAATTTAAAAGGAACACTTCACAAGAAAACAAGGCTTATAATTTATTTATTTACATACATACATACAAAATCCAAATAAGTAACATGTTTTTTTTAAGTTTGATTTTAGACATGAACAGACAGACGGCAGTACTTTAATTTAAAACAAAATAGAATCGTAGAACAAACTTGACTGAAGCCCCTTTATCAGCTCTGTGCTCTCCAATAGTTGAGAAGAGATGATGAGACATTAAGACAGGACGGGACACAGGCCAACGTAACGGGGAGTAAAACACATCTTCTCTGGAGCTGCGAGGAGCTAAAGGGAAACAAAACATCTCAACACCAGCTGTGTCTTTGGTTCTCCATCTGACACCCTGTGTGTGCAGTTTGCTTTAAAACTGTATTTTTAGATCTATACTAGTAATTTTTTCTCTCACAACAGCAGATGGGGACTTATTTTTATCCATCAGGCTAAAGAAAAAAAAACATCACTGACAAAGAAACAACTAGCATTCTCCAGATAACATAAAAATCACCAATTGGTGAAAATACCTTTAAAAAGGACAAAAGTACTCTTCCATCACATAGTCACGGTTTGAAACGTCTAATTCACACAATGTTTTGACACTTTTTCTTTTATGCCTCTTCCCTCAATTTCTGCTGAGGACTCGCTTTGATCAGAGCAACTCGCTCTTCCAATACTCTGTGCAAACATTCAATGCATATCGATACAGTAAACTTTTATAGTAGATCATATTTATTTAAATATCTCCATAGAACATAGACTTTCTGCGAGTTATGGCAGTTACCATCACACACGTACATTTTGTCCAGAAGACAAAATTGGACACAAAGGACAACTGCACTGCTTGTAACTTTTCAGATTTTTATGTTAAGAATGCACAACACCTTCCAAATAACTACCTTTGTTCAGTTACTGCACGTGTTAAATAGCATGTTATTTACAAACTGATCTGTAAAGTCAAAATCTGCTGGAAAGTGACTTTTCTTTTAATGTCAATGCACTTAGTAATTAAAAAACCTAAGCCCTGATTATTAAAAAAAACAACAGAGGCATCTGAAAATACAAGAAAAGGGGATTTCTTTTTGTATTTAATCAATGAAATTAAAGATTAAACGGGCTTTAAGTGACTCCAGTAGAAACTTTGGGTGAAGATCACTTAAAGTTCTTACATCATGCCATAGCACCAGGATTACAGAGAAATAAACATCCCTGTATTAGGTCCAGTACTGATCTCCATGCATGCTCCAAGGCCACGAGAACGTTCTCCAAAGAAACATTGCATACATCATAAACAATTGAACGTTGTGTGCAAAACCATCTAGAAATAATACAATTTTTTTCCTTTACTCCTCTCTTCTCGAGAACATGGGTTGATCCTCCTCTGAAGCCGATGAACCAGTCGCTGTCAGCTCAAAAACGTACCTAAGCTAATCGGAGCTACGCTGAAATAATTCATGTTGTGCTCATTAGGTGAAAACATGTAGGCAGCGTTACTACGATCAGTGAAACTGACTCAAAACATCTGCACGGCTCCACGCTTTTCCAGCTCCCTCCAGATGTAGCAGCTCCCCACCGCTAAAAGGCTAAAAGTGCTTTCTTGTCCCATGTCGTGATTTTGAATTGAAGGTAAAAGTGCCTCGTCTGGGTGAACCTCTGCAGAGCAAAGACTTCTAGACTTTGTAGAAGTTTGCTTCTTTCGCCGGACAGATTTTTTTTATCCAAACAAAACTGCAGAGAAAATTGTTTCTTCAAAGTTCATTAAGATGATTTTATCTCCGTGTGCTTTAGCCATTCTCCCATTTGCCATAATGTAACCATTAGGATTGACTTCCCTTAAAAAAGAGATTTAGGACAGAAAAGCACTTGTGAGTCTTGAATTAGTTTTGGGGTTATATGAGGAAGCAGAGGAGGAAATGGAACCACACCCCAGCATCTCCTTCCTTTGAGTGGAGGTAGTCGGGGTTCAGGGCTCTGCCTGGTTGTGCTGGAGGTCAGATTTGTCAGCACGACTCCTCCAGGGCGTTGACTACCTGTTCCAGGATATCTGGGCAGTAGTCCGAAATCTGCTGGAGAACCAAGTTGGCATATTCCTGCAGCTCCCCGCTCTCCTTCTCACACACCTCCAGCTCCCTCTCCAACTAGAAACAAAATTAAATACTTATATTTAAATGCATCTTTTACATTTTAAATGTTTATGTATCTGTAAATAACTGCAAATTTAGATGTATGATCCCTAACACACAAACATGCATATGCAGGGGTGGACATTAACTTCAATACCAACCGGCCAGCCGGGCCGGTAACTCTAAATATTTACCGGCCCCGCCAAGAATCTACCGGCCCCGCTGCTCAGCTGCCAAAACGAGTCAAAATAACAACTGAACCATTTTAAATGTAATAAACCTTTATTTTGTACACATTCACAAACATAATAACATATTCAAGTTTGAATTTGTTTGTTCCCTCAACAACTCGATTTTGTCGTCGCATACTTCCGGCATACAACGCAGTACATCACCAACTCCGCTTTGCTGTACTCGAGCCATTGGCTGTTTTCGAGATGAGCCAGTTCTGCGCAGATTAGACCAGCGGTGATCGGTGCTCAGTGCATGCCGGTTAGATTCGTGTCCGACTTGCTCTGACGTCATGCATACGTAGGCAACGATAACCTCGTGAGATCAAGGAGGCCGCAGATTTTGGAGCAAGGCGCTGCAGTTGCTCTCCCTCGGCTGCAAAACCTAGATGACGGGAAACGCCTGGCTCTCATCTGATCCAAGATCTGATTGGTTCACATTTTGATCCAAACATCCGGTGGTAGAACATGAAATGATAGTTGGTCACATGTATTCTGTAAATCATGTTATGTTGAGGATGACAACTATATAGGCCATAAAGAGAAATGTGATTTGTTTTCTTTTGTCACGTTTCCTATGAGCACACTAAACCTACAGCTGATAACCTTTACTTATTATTACAGTCATGTCTTCATATACAATATATGATATCCACAAGCATGTGAGGATGTGTTTCAGCTGCCAACAGGCACCAGAATTAAAATTGAAAATTGAACAAGTGTGAACGCTCACGCGATATCTTCAGCCATCGTCACCCCCGAGCTACACATGTAGGGAAATCTGTCTGACCAAACGCCGGCTTTCAGCCACTCCCCCTGCTGCTTCCGTCTGCTCTCGTCTGTTTTCCAGGCGAGGCGCAGCTCAACTCGAACACGGCCATTCTCTGCACCTCCCGTTTTCTTTAAACCGCCAAGAATCGTTCCACCTACGCACACGCTTCTCTGCTTCATACCGTTTCGAACTGTCTCGCTCCTCACCAGTTTTAAAGCGTTTTGCCGGAGATTTCATCAAGAAATCCCATCCCTGTGGCGGCGGCATCTCCCTGCGTGCTTGTGTGTTTCTAGCGTGGTTCCACTTCGTCTTTAATAGTGAACTTATAGTTCACGTGACTATAACTAGAATCGCGCAGTACGTGCATGAATCGTACAAGTGCAGTACGTTGCTAGAGGCGCGCAGGTTCACGCGCGCAAAATGAAAACGGCGGCTTCCTACAGGGCGCGGCCATGATGTAGATGAAAGCCGGTGTGTAAATGACAAATAAGGCTTGGGCGCCACCCGGGCGGTGAGTCGTCAAGTATTTACCGCCCGACGAGAAAATTTAGCGCCATTGGCGCTCGGGCGCTTTAAAGGTCCACCCCTGATATGGCATTTGAGGGCGGTGAGACCGTTTTCTGCTGGAATCTTATTTTTAGATATTTTTTAGCTTAATAAACTGGGCTGCAACTCATTCACAAGCTAAACAGTTTATCTTGTAGTTGTTTATGCAGAACCCAACCTCAGACACGACCTAACATGAAAATATTTAAAGAGAATAAAAACAAAATTTAATCTTCTAATAGAACTCTTTTTAATAATCTTACCACCCTGTTGTTTACACTCTAGTGAAATTTTAGTTTTTATTCACACACATAATGTGGGAGTTTCTTTGCTACCTGTTCGACTGTCATCTTCTGAAGGTCCTCCTCCCAGTCTTCAGGGTCGCCGTGGTGATAGTGAGAGGGTGGCGTGAGCATGCTGAGGATGCTGGGGTCTCGGTCGTGGCAGAGGTCTGTCAGGTGGGCGATGTAGAGTTTGAGCTTACTGCGGGTCTGGGACAAGGCTAGAAGAGGGGGGATCATCTGCTGAGTCCCAAGTGAGAGAGAGATGAGAAACAGGACCAAAAAAAGAGAAATTAAATCTTTTTCTCCCAGTGTTGAACAACAGACGAGCTTTGGTCCAGATTGAATATAATGAAAACACATCTTCACCATCAGCATGCACCAATCATCCGACTCTTTCTGCTGATCAAAACTGTTATTTAACTTTGAATTAGTTTTAAAGCATCAGCATGCAAAGCTAAGATACCACGAGGTCAGGAAACTTGGTTCATTCATGCAAAACAAACACAATCCCACCCAAATAACACATGAATGAAGGCAACCACAGATGAATACAGCGCACGTAAACATGCCAGTGACGAATGGGACAGGTTTTCTTCTTTTGTACGAGCTCACCCTTGTGAACAAAGTGACTTTGAGAGAGAGGGGGAGAGCAAAAGGCCGGCTACGCCCAAATACCCTCCTCATCATCCTGTTAGCCACAAGGTGAGGCAGACGCAGCGGTAGGAAGGAAAATCTGGTTAGTTTTTAAACTACACTAAAGGAAAGCTCTCATGCAAGAACTTTTACTTCCTCTAAATATCATTTTGGAGGCATGCAGGCACGCTGACCCACCTGATCTGGAGAGGGTTTGTGATTGGTCTGGTCAGGTGCCGTCCTCAGGTGGTCGTCTTCATAGTTGTCTGCCATCAGCTTCATTCTGTTCTGAGTCTGAAAAATGAAACATTGGAAGGTTTCCCTGCTCAATCTTCATTGAACTGGTCTGTTCATAAACACATGCAGTCCTGGTGGGACTACCCATAATCCCATAATCCCTTTGTGAATACTAACCTGCTGCTTTAGCTGCTGAACCAGTCTGTCCTTCTCTCTCTTCAGCTGAGACACCTCTTCCTGAGTCTTCTTCTTCTTGGAGGACGACAGCTCTAGCAGGGCGATGTTAGCGTCCTTCTCGCTGATGGCGGCCAAAAGCGCCTCCTGCCTGTTGGATGGAGACGGAACAACATTAAACACACGAGTAAATAGTTCAAGCATCATTTATTATTTATGGCTCAGCAGCAGCATGCCAGCTGGGGAACGCCAGATTGGACGACATTTTACAAGATTAAGGGAGCAATCGATAATCCACCCTGCTGTGTGTGTGTGTGTGTCTTACTTCATCTCCAGCACCTCCTCCAGGTGTTTCCTGCGCTCAGCTCGCAGCGTTGTGAGGTGGGCTTCCTTCTCACACAGAGACTGTTGGGTCGACGCCAGCTTGGCCCTCATGGACTCCAGCTCCTGCTTCACCTTCTCCATGGCACCCAGCAGCTCCTCCATCTTTAAACACACACAAACCATTAACTCGGTAAAAACTAATACTAGGTATCTAAAAAAACTAACAATCAGTCAAAGTGTCACTTCATTTCAATAAATGATGCTTCTAATTAAAAAAAGGGACACCTTTAAAAAAATACAGATTTTAATAACTGCTATTTGCTTTTAAAGGGCACAAAAGCACAAAAAGATGTGTAAATGGGGCTATGTAGTCTAGCAATAGCATGTGGCTAATCGACATATGGAAGAAACCCTTCATGGTGATTATTTGACAAGCAAACAGCAGGTTAAAAATCCTCCTGTGACATTTACGTGGGCCGGAAACAACACAAACACTTTACAAAAACATGCAGTCTGAGCGTGAATCTCACAGCCTGTTGGAGGGCAGCTACGTGTGACTGCATGAATCAGACAAGGGTTGCTTTTATTGTGTCCACCCTCCGTAAGTGCTGCTGACCACTGATGGTGATCACACGTAGTGGACTCATACCTTGGACCACTTAATGTGGGAGAGGTCGGACTCATGCATTGGTTTGAGTGAGTGCTTCTGAGAGGCGGTTGTGTAGCAGAAAATAAAGACAAGAGAAAAAAAATGACAAGCAAAGATAAAAAAACTGAGAAAAAAGAGGCGCCTAGATAAGAGGCAGAATTAAAAAAAGAATGAGCAGCAACACAGAAACCAAAAGGATGGTAGAGAGAGCATTTAGGGTTAAGGTCTGTATGTAGCTGGCTCTGTTGATCGATTAGTACTGCCTTACCATGCATGTGTCATGTACCTGTTTCTCCTGCAGTGACCGGGCTGCTTCCTCCTGTGCCAGCACCATCTCTCGCTCTGCTGTGATCTGAACGCTCTCTCTCAGAGCCTCTTCCAGCTCCTCGATGCGTTCGCTTTTCTGGCGCAGAGTGTCCTTCATGCCAGCAGAAATGAGTTTCGTTAGATCTGACAAAGGAGGGCTGAATGCCTAGAGCAGCTTGCGCAGAAGCCTCACCTTGACCTGCTGAGATGATTCAGACATGTTGTCCTCCCTCTTCCGAGCCTCCTCCATCAGCCGAGCATTCCTGCTCTTCTCCACTTGTTCCTTGTGCTTCAGTGTTGCCACCTTTTTGGTCTGGTCCTTCATTTGCCTGTATAAGCATCACGAAACTTTAAAAAAGTCTGATCAAATCTTACACAAATCTACAGGCTCAACATTAGATTTGATTCAGGATAAATAACAGATTATGAAGGCAAAAACAGAGTCGTGAGTCCAAAAAGAAAGTTTTAAAAAAGTCAAAAGGTGCAGAGAAAGAAAAAGGAGGGAAACGAGAAGATGGTAAAGGAGAAAAGGGTGCCAGGTGGGGAGAAAGAAGAAAATACTAACCTGGAGGCCAAACTGGTGAGGTGGGAAATATCCGGCAGAGCAAAGGCAAGAAAGCAGTAAAGAGAAAAGGAGACTCAGGCTAAGAAACTGAGAAAATGTAAAAAACAAACCGCTTTTTACTCCCTGAGAAACCACCACCATCATCATCATTATCAAAGTGACATCTGATTAAAACTAATCTGTTCAGCAGATTACAAAATCTGAATTCAGGCCTCAACATCCAATGTTAAATAAAACTTATTTTTATTCTTTTTCTAAGTTTTCTGCCAGTTTCCCTTTTAAGGGGAACTAGGCAGTTTTAGCTTGTTTTTAGTACCACCTAGTGCCCGTTTGTAGAACCAAAGGCAAAACTTATCTCCATGCTGTGCATTTGTATTGTTAACATCTTAATCCAACAGCTGAAAGGTCTCCCCAGCCTTCCTTAGTGTTTAATTTAGTAATGAATCACTCATGTAAACTAATCAGCTATGTTCGTGATCTAAAGCATACAGGAAATGTGCTGGAAGCAGACTGCAGCGCCAGGTATGTCGGCTCAAGTCTCAACAGAGCGGCCTGCCAGTCTGAAGTTGCAAGTGGAATATTCTGGCCACAGGGGTGGTGGGGGTCTGAGTGACGTTTAATTTACCCTGTAAAGGGTCATTTTAGAACATTCAAGAAAATTATTTAAAAATATGAAAAAGTTGCAAAGTATCCCTTTAACTCATTAACTGCCATTGACGAATAAAGTCGTCATTTGCATTTTTTTACTGGGTGGGCATCGGAACGAGCCCCTGCACCGTGACAACAAACATCCCAGCACTAAAGCCGATCTTCATCCGCGTACGTCACACATCACGTGATCAGGAAGCAGAAAATCCATGTGTTCGATCGTTTTGGGCCTCTGCTGTAAAAAAGGTGAGGCGTGAACCGGAAAAGCTTCTGCCGATCATGATTCAACAACGGATTATGAAAGAATGGATACCGCTCGAAATGCACGGATTCTTCCTGATGTAAGAGGTGAGTTTCCTCTTTGTTTTGTTAATTTTGACGTTGACATCATCATAGAGCACAACGTTCTGTGTAGGGCTGGGGGTAAACGATTATTTTTAAAACGATTATTCGGACGATTATTTTATCGAATAGTCGACTATTCTAACTACTATTTAGACAATCTAATGATTATTTTTCTATTGCACAGTTAATAAAAACCAAAAAATCTAAGAAATTCTTCAAAAAAATTGATCAATTGTTACTGTAAGAGAATAAACACTACAGGCCTTCCATTTTGTATAACACTGCTTTTATTGTGTTGCGGTTGGTTATGTTCTGGTGACATGTAGAACTTGGGAGTGCAGGCTGCTGCCTGAGAGGTGTTTGGAGACGGAGTGTCTCCATGCTGCTTTGTTTTGGTCACTTATGAGCGTGAGGCGAGTGGTGTTACGACCTTTCCTGGGTAGTTTGGCTCGTGTGCAAAAAGGAAGGGACAATAACGTGGGATTTAAAAGTTAAAATGATGATCAGGTTTATTTACAACTACAAAAAAAACATAAATCTTTCCATCCACAGGTTGGGAATAACAAAACTAATTCTGCCTGTGGGGAATTAAAACAAAAGTACAAATAACTAGGGATGTCCCACTGGGCAAAGATTACTGGGTTCTGGACCAAAATAAATATCTCCAAAGGTCCAAACTCTAAACTGGGTGGTTAAACTAAACTCAAGGTGATATTTTAAACTAAACCGAAAACCCAAAACACTCTAAATGTAATAAAAGGGAGATCTACACCACAAAAAAGATGAACTCTAAACCAAAATGTAACAGCTTATCCAAACGCAAGAAGCTGTTAGCGAAAATGCTAACAGTAGCTTTACCAACGTTAAGTTCAAGTTACCAAGTTTAAATAAACCAAACATACCCAGCAAGCAGACCAGCACGGAGGAGAGACTGCTACCACCAAAACAGCTCTCCCAATGTCTGAAAGAAGCTCCTTTATGAAGGGAGAAACGCTCCCGGTGATTTTCTACATCTGCGGTAGAGACGAAGCAGCGCATCTGACCCCGGAAGTTGTTGTCCGTTGCCGGGAGACGAAGGCGGGCAAAACAGGAAAGGAATCTAGTAGCGGAAGGACGTTGTTCCGGGTCTTCGGTATTTGGCGGAGATGTTAGTGAAGGCGGAGAAGAGGGCGAACTAGAGGGAAAACAGGCAAATTCCTCCTCTATTTACAAACTCCTGGGGATGCAACAAGTGGGCGTGGTGCGTCGACTACCGGATCTGACGTCGACAAATTTTTAGAATCGAGCCGTCAACGTCATCGAGGCTTCGCTACAGCCTTAGTTCTGTGACTCTTGAAAAACAGTAAAACCACTAAAAAACGCTGGCAGCAAAGGGCTTTTCTGATCAGGAAACGGCTGGCAGTGAATGAGTTAAGCACACGCGCGCACACACACACACACACCAACACACACACACAGTATCAGCGTCTAAACCCACCTCTCCAGCTCATTGATCTTTTTGTCTTTGTCGTTCTTCTCATTCTCCATTTCCCGCAGTATCTCAAGAAGGCGGTCCACCTCAGCCTGCGCTTTCCCAGAATCCTCTTTGTGACGAGCCACTTCTTGCTCCAGGTGTTTGATGCGTTCAGCCAGCTCTGTGTTGGCTTGAGCCTCCAGCGCTGCATTTTGAGCCTGATGGTCAGCAGCATTGTCGTTAGAGGCCGATTATTTCACATTAGCTTGAAAAGAACGTTGAATTTTCTGTTTGCTATCTCACTCTCTTGAGTTGGTTGTCCAGTTTGAGACACTCCTCCCTTTTCTGCTCCAAGACAATCTCCATACTCTTGAGTTTGGCATCTTTCTTTAGTCCTGAGGAAGCCAGGGAAGAAGCATGCTCCTTCAGGTCCAGCAGAGATGTCTGCATACAAAAAAGTTGATCAATCTTTAATAGAAGATCAATCTTTAATAGAATTAAGGAAGTGAAAATACTCTTAAAAAGTGTGTGCTTCTGCATCCGTTTCTCACCTCTCTGTCTGACAGGTCTCCCTGCACTAAGCTCAGTTTCTCCTTCAACTCTTTCAGCTCCTTCTTGGAGCAGTCAAGCTCCTCCGTCTTCTCCCGGTCGTCCCTGTCTCGCTGCTCCTTAAGGCGCTCGATGATGCGTTCCTTTGATGACATAAAAACAATCATTAATGATGTTCAGCCAGAATGTTAACAGGATAATAACTCGGGCAGAGCCAACGTCTGTGTGGACATGAATGTACCTTTTCTGCCAGTGACTCCTCCAGGGTGGTGAGAGCCGTGTCTGTGTTGGAAGTATCGGCCTGCAAGGACTTCACTCTCTCCTTCAGGCTGCTCATCTGCTTCTCCTTGTCCCTCAGTTGCTCCTGCAGGTTCTCGATCTGCAAGTCAAACCCCACAATGATCAGTCAAAATGAGCACTGACCACACAACGTGCACCGTCACAGGATGAATGCATCTTTGTAGCCATTTCACATCAAAACTAAGAGAGAATCCTACAAATAAACCTTTGTAACTCCACCTTTTTCTGCAGCACGTTAATTTTGCGCTCTTTAACTTCCAGCATGTCTTTTAGGTCATGAATTTCTCCATTGAGGGTTCCCTTCTCCTCTGACATTTCCTGTATCTGCTTGCTCTTCTTATTTAAAGTTGCTTCCTTCTCTTCCAGGCGCAGACGTAAGGCATCAACCTGGACGGGGATGAGGAAGACGACTTAAACACAAAAGAGGGTTCTGTTGCTAGCTTTAGTAAATACAGGGTGTCTGCTGGATGTACCTCCGTCTGTAAGATGGCAGCACGCTGCTCCTTGGCAGTGAGGGATTCTTTGAGGACATCGATGTGCTGCTTGCTGTCTGAAAACTGGTTATTTAGTGTTTCCAGTTTAGTCTGCAATCCGAGCAGCTCGGTGTCCTTCCTAGAGAGGTCCTGCTTCACCTGTTCCATCTGGGGAAAAAAAAAAGAACGAAAACATGCATTTAAATTTTAAACTTGATACATCAGCATGAAGCATGAAAATTAACTCAGCTGAATCCATGTCCTGGTGTCTTCTGACCTTGTTTTTCATGAACTTGGTGTGACTGCGGTACACTTCCATCTGCTTCATCTCCTCCTGACGCTCCTCACAGCTCAGAAGTCCGTTGGACTTTAGCATAAGCAGCTCCTCCTCCATATCCCTCAGACTTCGTTCCATGGAGTTGATTTTTGCATCCTGATGTTAAAAGAAATAGGTCAGCTGATTTGGACGGGCCGGTGTGATGTAAGACAAGACTGATCAACCCCCACCTTCATGTCAATAACAGTCTGTAAAGCCTTAGTTTTGGTGGACTCTGGAGTTCCTTCATATCGACGGTGAAGCTCCTGTTGAATCAGACATTAAACCGAAAGAGCGTGTGTGTTTAAACACTTAGTTATATTATTAAAGTAAATAAACTTAAGATCAACTGGACATTACCTCTCTGAGTGCCGTGATCTCTCGGTCTCTCTGGTCCAGTAAACTCTCAAGGTGATGCCTGTGCATTTCTGCATCAGCCAGCCTCCTGGTCCTCTCCTGGTCCTCCTCTGATGCTTTAGCAGACGGCCCTGACACAACCAAAGTAAGAAGGATCAATTACATGGTTTAAAACACCAAAACTACTCAGCGGAAGCCGCAAAGGCTGAAACAGAAACTGCTCTGCAATTCAGATTGGTTTAAAAAAATAAAGATGTTTAAAAACGTGTGATTTCTTTGGCCCTAAATCTAATGCAAACCCTTCAGGTGTTGACAGGCTTAATCTGGAGTCTAAAGGTGACTCGGGGCTAGCTTATTCAGCGTATTTACATGTAGTGATTTTACACTAATCACATAACGGCTGTATGAGCGTGATAAGCATGCTGGGATTTTGTCAACCACGAGGATCCAGGCTGATTATTAGATTTTGGTAGATGTGCTTCCACCTTTATGTTAAGTTTATTTAGGCAGAGCACTTTTTGTTTTTACAACAGTCACACTGCAGTGACTGATTAAAGGAAGGACTCTACAAGCTATCTGTCTCTGCACACGGAGAGCAGAGAGGCAGAGACATGCAGACCTGAGAAAGCAATATCAAGAATGAAGAAAAATCAGCTTGGCTGAAAAAGCTAGGAAGAAAAATAGATGTTCTCATACACCGACTGACCAGATTCACCTCATTTCATTTATAAACCCACCTTTGCTTTGAAGCATCTCCAAAAGTTTTTTGATGGACTCATCTCTGGCTACAAGTGTTTGCTTTTGCGTGTCGATCCTCAGCTCCATCTCCTCCAGCGTTTTCCTCAGGAGGAAGAGCTCTTTGGCCTGCCTTTCGTACTCGGCCTGCAGGCGCCGGTGGTTCTCCTCCGTGGGTTCAGACGTCAGGGCCAGGTCCCTCCCTTGACTGGCGGGGTCTTGCTGGAGCAGCTGGTTCAGGTCCCTCTGGATCCTCAGCTCATCCTGGAGAGCCTGAACAGTCATCTGGAGATGCTGAAGACACACGGGGGACACTTTCACTTGCTCTGCTTACAAGGAGGTGATTTACACGGGGGTATACCAGGTCAAGTGTATTAGTATTATTTGAATAATGCATCATGTGCAATGGCCCTAGCTTATAGGAACAGATCCTAGGAGAAACTGCTTCACATTAGCAAAGTCTTGCCTGATGCACACATAACGAGCAAGCTTCATGGACAGGGTTACATTTCATGGCCTGACAAACACAATCAGCCCAGTATAGTACTGCATTGTTTGTGGCATCTGACGCCACGGACACTTGGCAGAGAGACGCTGTGAGACAGCAACAGAAGGCCGTGTTACACTCTGGTCTGAACCAGCTGGGAGCGTTTTCAAAAAGACAGAACAAAGAGAGAAGTCAGTGTCTGCCTTCATTTCTCTCTGTCCTCGGGCCCCCTCCCTTTCCTCCCTTTGTCACACTCTCCTTCGCCCTCCACCAGCACACACACACACCTTCTCCTCCTGACTCACTATTCGTCCACCTTCCTTGCTCTAGTCCCATCTCCTCCCTTCGATACTCTCACTTCTCCTTTCACTAACCATCCCGTGACTAAGGCTGACTCACTGCTGTGACTGTGCCAATCCAAACCCCCACATACACACACTCACTCATACACACCTTCTCCCCAAAATATAGCCATAGGCAGAGAAACACACATTCACCTTCTCCATTCCTCAGCCACACACACACACACTTATCTGGGCCTCCATCCAGTTGAAACTGAAGGCCATAATCAGCCTTTGAGAGGAGCAGCCATGCTTTCCCCCGTGCGTGAAGAGGTGGAGGCAGACATGTTTAAATTAAAGCAACCACTGATTAGCCCTCCGCTGGTCGGGAATAACCAGGAATTAGCTTACAGTGTGTTTCTGTGAGTCAGCAGGGGTGAAGGAGGCAAATTATACAGCAGGTCTGCCCATCCATTAGACTTCACAGTTAAACAAAGACCATTTGTCTTCATTAATGAAACCCAATTCGCACAAGTGCTACAACATTGTGTAAGGTTTCATAAAAAAGAGGCCTTAACTGTATTTACCCATTTATAATAGTTAAACACGTTCCTGTTACAGGAATCAGAGCAGATGCATATTCAGTATGTTCTATAAATTATTGGACTGGAAAGTTTGTCTCCATATGCTTAAAGTCCGTGGACAAGAATGGATAAAAATGCAAACATTTAACCCAGAATAACAGGTGGATAGCACCTTTATCTGTTAAATTTGTATGATTGTGCCAGCTTTGTCCAAAAAAAACAACAATATTCCTTCTTAAATGTACGTAACTACATCTAAGCTGATATTTGCAACAAATGTATTATTACCAGCTGCTACAATCGTTTTAGTTGTTTTTATAATCCGCACAAGTCAAACACATTAAAATATCCTTTAATGGTGCATTTTTGTTCTGCCCACCACTTCCAGCCATTTCTAAAACACACAGAAAATGCAAATGCAACCATTAGACTTTGCATTCCTTTCATCTACAAAGCATGAGCATATAACTGCATGTAAGAGGATTAACTAGACATTCAAAACTCGAAGAGAGAAACAGTTACTGAAGCCTACATGCTCAGTCGAATCTGGTTCTGCTGTTAAAAACATGTTTGGTGCAGCCGATTCTACTCATACTGAACACTGAGTTGGTGAAATTGGAAACTGAAATGATGCAAATATGTTTAAACAAACACACAAGCACACCTGAGCTTCGTCTTGAATAATGCGGTACTGCTCCTTCCAAACCGCGATCTTAGAAGCTTCATCTTTCCTCAGGGCTCGCTCCTTTTTTAACTCTGGGCTCCAGAAGGTTTTAATGGAATTCATGGAGGAACTCAGTTTGCTCTCCTTGACTTCCACTTCGCGCCGCAACATCTCATTTTCACGCAGAACCTGAGAGAACGTGGTAAAGGTTTCGCACATAATTACAACAAATCTGAAAAGGTCATCCTGTCCAATGAAATGTCCACATTCCCAGTAGAAGAAATCTGCAAACAGGGAGGTTTATTAGCAAAATACCTCTTTAAGCTGAGCCTGCAGGTCGAGGATGGTGTTGTCTCTGGCCTGTCGTAGAGAATGGGGCACTGTAGAAGCCATGTGGTGGTCTCCAAAAGCTAGTGCATCACCTGCCAACATGCCTGCTGGCAGAACCGCATTAGCAGGCACTGAGGTGGAGATATTTGGAGTGCTAGCTGCTACAACTCCACCACTGCTTCTTGACCCATACGTCACCCTCTGCCTCCCCGTGGCGGTCACTGCCACGCCACTTTTGGGAATGTGGTCTCCTGCCATGGCTACCTCATTATCGCTCAGGTACATTGGTCCTGAGGTGGCATATGCAGCATTAAGAGACTGGATGTTCTCCATGGAGAGTGTTTTGCCTCCTGCTCCTCCAGGACCTCCTCCACTGCCACCGGTGCTGTTGGTCCGTCGGTGTCCCATCCGAGGGGAGCGGGGAAGGCGAGGAGAACGGCCAGATCCCTGATTACTACTACCACCTGCATCTCTTCCTCCACCATGGTTGGCATCACCTCTACCAACAGAGCGGGCACTACCATACATCTTCTGCTAAACTAAAAAAAGGAGCAAACAGCAGGACTGAAGGACAAGTATGTGCAGGTATATCCTTTTAGATTTGGTGGTCCTGTCTCCAAACAGCAGGGTAAATGTGCTGATTATCCTGCTTTAACTGGAAGTGGTGAAAAACATACTCATGATATAAGAAAAGTATGGTTCCCTGCAAAGACAAGAGGAAATCCTTGTAAATTAAACATCAACTGTACCGTATGTAGAACATTCATACAATCTCAGAATATGTGTTAAGTTTAAACAGCATTATCAGATCTCAACATTTGTGACTTTGCCTTAGTCAGCATTCGCTTGTGGATGTAAACAATCAGGGTTTTAGGTTTCGCAGCCCATGAGTAAAACGCTCTGACATCACAAGTGTGCGTGTGCTCATGCTCACTTGTTTTTACAAGCTCAATCACTGCTCTGTGTAGAAGACCACAGGCGAAGGACAATATTAAGGGCATATTTTGCCCACCACTTAGTTAATCCACATCTAAGTAATGTTTTCATTAAAGACGCAGACAATTTTGGGAACTACTGCCGCCCACAGGCATGGCATGCCTATGAACGTGTTTCAAAATGCACTGGATTTTTTTAAATGAAAATGAGGTGGTGTGGACCCAGGTGAGGTGGTGTGGACACAGCCATCTTTGGGCAAACAGGCGGGGTACACCCAGGTCAGGTTGCCAGTCCATCGCAGGGCAACACAGACACACGCAGTACAAACAACCAAGCACATACACTCACACCTAAGGACTATTTAGAGAGACCAAACAACCTGACAGTCATGCTTTTGGACTGTGGAAGGAAGCCGGAGTACCCAGAGAACCCAAGCATGCACAGGGAGAACATGCAAACTCCTTGCAACCCAGGACCTTCTTGCAGCAAGGCAACAACGCTAACCACTGCGCCAATGCGCAACCTACATCTTAATCTGATATAAGAAATATGGTTTCTAGTTAAAAACATGTATAATTTTGCTATTCCAAATACATTTTTCTTAATATAAGGATTTTTATAATATGGATATTATTAAAAGTCGTTACAACAGGTAGTATTTCTGTAAAGATTAATGTTGTGATTTATAATATTCTCTGAATTAAAAGTCATATAAAAATGTGTTAAATTATATATTGAAAATAACAAAAATATGAAAAACAGCTACATTTAAGGAAAAAAGTCAAGAAATGTAACATAGTTGTGTGTGAACTAGGGCTTTACCCATATGTATATCATTAAACTGCATATGTTACATGCTTTGGATTATTTAACAGTTATAATCATAGAGTATCATAGATATGTTCTAATAAGCTAATACATGTGCACTTTTTATTCTGTAAATAAAAGTAATTTTCAAAAAATGTAAGTATTTAACACACCCATGAGCACAGAGAATTAATTATTGTTGCATTTTACTATTTATCTCCAGTCGGCGTTGCCCTGCCAGCTGCTAAACCACATCAACAAACTGGTGCTAATGGCAAAAAGCTGCCTTTGACTTGTCTTAAGCCAGAATTTGAGTTCTTAAGACGCAGTAAGACGAGTTTTTAGATTTTACCCGTGAATTAAATGTCGAAAAAAACGTCCCACTGATTTTTACAATGTGCTCACGCTTAACCTAGCATGGGAGGGGAAAGGGAATTGTCCGTAAGAGACATGGAGGGGGGGAAAGGTCTTAGCTTGAAACGTTTAGTTACAGATAAATAACGATAATAACAACTACCTAGACCTCTGATGTGACAATTTCACAGCAAGGGGTGTCAAAAACAGACACATTAACACACAATTTTAGCGTTTTAGCACGTTCCCAACGGGTGAGTACGGCGTCTGCTTTGGATACACCCATCAAACCAAATCCATTTTCCTCTACTGAACGGTTTTGTCGTCTCCAGCTACACTTCCTTCATTCAGGGGTTCGCCTACATAGCGGAGTCTTCTTATTGTTTAAGAAATATGTAAATCATTAAACGCGTACGCCTAGCGTTAGCTAGCCGCGACACAAGTAAGCTAGTTCGTCCCAAATTCAACGGTCAAGCTAAATCTCTATTTTTTGTCGCTAACAATAGGCAGTAGTAAAAAGGAAAAGGGAAAAAAACCTCTTCAAACAAACTACCTTTCTTGTTGTCTGTTGTCTCAGATCAGTGGCAGAGCTCAGGTCTCTTTTCAAATGGAGATGGTCGTCAGATTGGACATGTTATAGTATTTTTTTCGATAACTGGTTATCTGGTTTTCCCATCTTTTTGCCAGCAGTAGCAGGCTCAGGAGAGCCAGGGCGCCTCAGTGACGTCAAGCCCTCTGCGCACGTTCACGAGTGCCTTTCTCGCCACGCTTGAATTTTAAACGCGCGGTCACGAGCCATATGATATGGCCTATTAGTGACTATGGACAGCGAGCAAAATACTACTACTACTACTACTACTACTACTACTACTACTACTACTACTACTAATAATAATAATAATAATAATAATAATAATAATAATACCATGGACCCTGCAAAGACACTTTTAATTGTCTTTTATTTTTTGTCATTTATTCTGATTTCGTTTGATCTATGTAAACTCATAAAGTACGGTATTGTATTTATTTATTTCATTATTTCAACATTCATTTATTTACGTCAATAGTTAGCCAATTGTTTTTTAATTTATTACGAAATGTATTTGTTAATTTTTAACTGTTTAAATTTATTTATTTACATTTTTATTTCCTCTTTTTTTATTTGTTGTGTGTTTTGGAAGGATGAGTCATCCATAACGGGGAAAATTGGCAGCTTGTACTCAATTGGGAATTAGTAGAAACATAAGGTATGACCCCAAAATAAAGATGCATAAAGTAAGTTATCAGTGATCTTAAAGCTAAGCTTCATCCCGCTTTTTGCGTGCACTCAGATGCTGTCAGTAGCTACTCATAAGGCAGTGCTGCTTGCAGAATATGGTCCCAAACTTCTGTGAACACATCCCATTGTGGCCCGAGTGACTGTAATCTAAAGCATACTGGTAGCATTTTCCATTTGTTCTGAATACGTGCACATCTTGCTGTTTTTAGCACCAAAATGTGACCAGCACAAAACGTTAGCAGTCACTAAGAAAATTTCATCAGATTGGACATTTCATAATTAACACCATAAGCATGCACCACCTGATTATTTTACCTCAGAAATTTCTCATAGTATACACATATTTATATTAAATGTTTTATATTAATAGACACATTCATTGCAAATTGTGACATTATTGCATTCTCTCTGCACTATAGGTTTCTCTTGTTAGTTGAAAACTTTCCCACATATTGTTCATTGCATTTAACTTTTTTGAAACTACCCAGACTTTTATATTTTTAGCCATTTCAATTGGCCCTACAAAAGCTGAGATCCGCATACACCGGGCAAGTGTAGTTCAAAACAATACCACCAGGTGACAGTGCTCATCATAATTTAAAAAGTCATTTTAGTACAAAATATGTTTTACTTTTTTTTTAAGAAAACCAAATCAACGTTCTTATTTGCAAGACGATTAAACATTTGAATTAATGATAAATTATTCATTAATATATCATGTGGCTCTTTTGTGTATAAAAGTGGATGGGCAAATACAAATCTATGCTCTCAACGCCAGATTAATATGTTTCATTGTTGTTCTGAATGTTCTAAATTTGCACATGTGCGATATTTAAGGTGAGCTTTCATCTTCCCGTTTAGCGAACAGTGGCCTTGTTTACAGAAAGACACCGATAAGCTACAGTTACCAGAAGCCTAACATTATCAGGAATTATTCATTGTTATGTTATTAATCTTTGGCTTGTGTTTTGTTACTAGTATTTAAAAACAAAACGAAAAATTGTTGCATTAATGTTGAATTGAGACTGCAATATGAGATGGGACCTCCTTCTTGGGCCGTGGTATGGAGAGTTATGGTAACATGTAATCAAACCAAACTGTGGTAACATATAATCAAACCAAACACTTTCCATGGTCCTTTTTGAAATATTAATAGAATAATCCATCTCTAGTCCAAAGGAATTTTTTGTTGTTCAGAAACAACATTGGCATCACCCAAAATAACAGTTTTTTAAATAATTATTCTACTACGTATCTGTAACTGAGATTGTATACTATGGTAGCTGTTGGATATACCTAACACCAAACAATCTCAGTCAAAAGAATATTTTTTTTCTGCAAGAATGTTTTTCGATCATTTTAGATATCAGAAAATAAAATACTTTACAAAGATGAACTAACATATTGGACATCTACAGTGTAACTAAAATGATACCCTACCAGGTTTCTTAATAGACATTTAGTGTGTGCAACAAAAATGCTGTAAAGAGCTATAAATGGCATATACAAATTTTCCTACCAATCAGGTGAGCCTTGTCAATGCCCTAAACAATAAAATCAGCCAGTTTAGATGAAAGCAGTAAAAATGGAATGTGCAGTGAAAGATTAGATGAAAGAATAAGAGAGATGGAAGTGTGCGTTTAACATGACATTTGTATCCTAATATTTCTCATTGTTCAGCCTTTGTAATGATATGAATACTAGATAAATTATATTTGTTAGTATAAAAAGTTAGTAAAGTCATCAAAGTTATATTTGAGAAGATTATATTTGTATTATAAACAATAAGATTGGATATTTATTTAAAGTTTTTTCAGGTTTTCACATTCACAACCCAAAAAATACACTTTTTTAAATTATTACGCCCTCTGTAGAAATAAATGATTGACGTGTTGTATATTTTTCAAGGAAAAACAATGCTGGAGGTATATGAAATTTTTAACTGATTTAACGAACGGCATTTTAAAAAGGCTGAAATAACAATTTTGATCTTAGTGGAGTAAGTACATCTGCTTTGAAAATTACAGATTATATTATAAATTGGCTTTCTATACAAGACCCGCCTAGCTAACGTCTCTTTGCTGGGTAGCTGTGGCGCTTTTTGTCACCGCCTTTCCAACCGACGTTCACACCGGGTGAATGTATCCGGTGCGGGGTTAATCACTCCGGGATGGAAACTGTACTTCGATACGGTAAAGTTGCGAGATATTCTCATTTACTGGTGGTTACAGATGATGTTAAGAGAGTGATACGACGTTGATTTTATTTATGGAAAGCTGTAAGATGATTTACAGGGCTTCATAAAATTTAAGAAGACATGATGACGCGGAAATTAGTCATCGTTGGTTTTCCTGTTAAAGGATTAGCCAACGCCAGCTAACTAGCTCTGTGCTAGCTGTAGTGGTTAGCCTGCTAACAAAGAGCCTTTGCTCCGCTTCGCTTTGTAACGTTGACTCTGTGTTGCCATTTCAACTGAATTTGGTATTTTTAACACTATTATTAAAACATAGGTACGTTACTATCATCAAATTTCTTGTATCATCATATTTTTTAAATTTCGTCTTACAGTGTTTGTTTATTGTCTCTGCAGCTAACATTTCTGACATTTATGGTTGCGTACGCTGCCTATGACCGCAGCCACGATAGGAAAAAGGTTTAATATGTAACAACATTGTTACTGCAGGTTTGCACAGCTAGCAGATGCTAATTTGTTTATTTTTTGCGGAAATACTGAAGGTAACGAATGCTGTGCTTGTGTGGGTCGTGCGTTATGACTTGTATTGCGGTTGATCGAATGAAATTGTAGGCATTCTTAACGATGTTTATTTCTCAACAATCCATACATGTTATTTATTCATGTCACTGGTTATCTGTGATAATGCGTTGTCAAATCTGCTGAACCAGACACGTAAGACTCTCATTAAATATGAGGCAACGATTTACTGGTTTGTGTATTGGGTTATCATACATTAAAAAAAAATGGCATGAAATACTTTAAGTTATCTATATGCTAGTATGTTTACTTTATATTTTTTGCAGAGATAAATTATTATAATAAAGGCAAACCAGCAGAAATCATATCAGAAAGAGGCTTAAACATTACGATCATAAATAACCATTTAAAACTGAATAATCTATAGTAATGCTCTTGAAATCCAGTTAAAATGGAATTAAATCATAAAAGTGTAGATGAAAAGTTTATAAGAACTCTTTGGTTCTGTAAGTCATCTCAAAGCTATGCTGGTCTCTGAACCGTTTGTGTTGACATAATGTTGGTTACATTTAAATGAATTGAACCGTGTAAAGCAAGCTTTTGTTTTCTGTTTTTATTGCAGAAAACGTGGAGTGGAGCACATTCAGGCTGTTGGCTTGTCCTGCTTTTGCCCCGAGCGGGGTGATCAGTGCCAGTTTTAGGCTGCACACGTTTGTTCCTCACCATTGATTCCTTATGCTTGAAAGAAGCTGCACCCTGTGTCTTACAGGATGGATGGAGTGAACTTAAAGAGACTTTTGTGTCATCATCAATACTCTACATTCTGCTGTGGTGTTCGGTCTCTTTCCATTCACAAGAGAACACCCCCATCACATATCCCAAGTCTCTGTGTTACATATATAAAGACACACTTTGAACAGTGAAAAAGGACGGCACCAGATAGATATTCTGAGTTTAAATTTTTCTTTTTGAAGCACACATTACTACATCTCACTCAAGCCTATGTGACAGACATGGAAAACTTCTTGTTTTAATTTATTTTTGTTACTGTACCTTCTTAGTCTGGGTGGTGGGATGTCGGAAAAGCCAGATGACAAAATGGTGAAGTTCCTAGCTCCCCATCAAAAAAGTGGAAATGGCCCAAGTTCTGGATCTGACTCAATGGTGAATGAGCCTCGATCCCTAGAAGTGAGACGCCGGCATCACACCATGGAGCGCGACAGGTGTAACCCTGAACATCGATTTTTACGTCGAAGTGTCATCAGTGATTCCAACGCTACGGCGTTAGCCCTTCCTTTACCTAGTAAAATTCCCATTTTGGCACCTCAACGAAGTGAGACGCAGGAACCCGTTCTTCAGCGACAAAAGGCCGCTGCCGCTCAATTATCAAAGGCTGAACTAAGAAAAGAACAAAGTGAAAAATATGCTGAAATTGAAAGAGAAAAGCAAGATAAGGATTTAGAAATAGCCAAGGTAGATGCGCCTTCAGCACAAGAGTCTGCTCGTGTACTAGATCTCTGTGATGGAGAGGCGTTGGTAGCGGCTCACACTGCACCATGCCTAGTAACAGAATTGCCAATTCACTCAGAACCTGTAAGCACCACTGAGGTGAAGGAGCCTCCTGTGGATGAGGGGGAAGAGGAAAATAAGGGTTCTGCCAAGGCACGGGCAGAGGCAGAGCAAAGAGAAGCTGAGAAAAGAGAGCAGGATGACATTGAAGAGGCAGAGACAAAAGCAGTGGGAACATCACCAGATGGACGATTCCTGAAGTTTGATATAGAAATTGGACGTGGCTCTTTCAAGACCGTCTACAAGGGCTTGGATACAGATACCACAGTGGAGGTGGCCTGGTGCGAGCTGCAGGTATGACATTTTCCATTTTTGGTATCATATGATTTCCCTAATTGCTATACATGACGCTTTAACACATTTTTTGTTGTAGCTAAGGGTAAATGGCCTGTATTTGATATAGCGCCTTCTAGAGTCCTGTAACCCCCCACCCCCGGTGCTTTACATCACAATCAGTCATTCACACACATATTCACATGCTGGTGGGGATGAGCTACTATGTAGATGGTAGAATGAAAGCCTTTCAGCAGGTGGTCTCCCAAAGACATTAGAAATACAGAAGCTATATTATAATTCGATGGCTTTACACCCATCTGCAGGATGTTTGAGATAAACACGACTTCCTTTGATAGTTGAGCTTTTTTTCCCCGCCAAACAAATGTTCGCTTGGCTCACATCTTTAGGATGGGGAAAACATTGATCAATCTCTTTTATTATAATTTGTTGTCGGTTTTAGATCTTCTGTGTGAAATAGTCAACACCTGCAGCCTTGAACACTGACTTGTGTGCTGGGATTTTGTTTAGACTTCTCTTGCATTTGTCATATCTAGGGATGGGTTTTATCAATATCAATGCCATTGTTAGGTCTGTTTATCAATCAAATTCCTTATGAATTCCCTTTTCAATTCCCAAGTGGCAAATATTAATTGCACACTGTCTTCTGAATTACAACTGTCAGATTCTTAACGATAAATAATCAACTGTACCTGGTATCGTTCAGAAAAGATCTCTGTTCTCTAATGCTCCTCTTGAAAGGCAGTCTTCTTCTTGTTCAGTGAAGTTTTGCTGTAGCCTTTGCAAAATGAGCCAAATATCACCGCAGGTCGTACTTTAGTTGCTGCAGTCTGCTAGTGTGGAGGTGTGTAAATAAAGTAAATGACGCTAACATTTTAGCCAGTGTTAATTGATAAGTTACCTGCAGTTTTAACAGGAGAGACGTGCAAACGTCACTGCTGCTGCTGAGTTGAAATTCACCAGCCCAGGTGGGTCAAAAACACGACATTCACTTTAAGTTATTGCATATTTTGTGTGCAAGTGCTTTGCATACTCATAAGCTGTTTTTACAGGACCATGGCGTTTGCAAAACGGGATTTGCCGCGGCTCCCTGGGGAGGATAAAGGTCGTTTATAAGATCAGACCGTGGCGGTAATGTGGCGCAATCGTGGCAATTTTATAAAAGATTAGGTGATGGCTAGCCTAGTGAACTAGACCAAATTCTTGCTTTGCAAAGTTTAAATAATACATTTATTTAGTCTGGCTTGCCAGGCTAGGTGATGGCGGCATAAAGGGGGTATGGGGCGGTCTCTGCGCTGCCGCAGACTTCCGTTTATCTTGGACATAACTTGCTTTTTATTGCGATTGAAGCTGTGATCGTTAAGTTTTTTTTTAACAAGCAGCTCCTAAAGGTGTCTGTCCCCATCAGTGCCTGTGCATTCTCTGGTGATCTGACTTTCAACTCTAACAGAGAGGCTCATGGAGCACTGTGGCGCTCCAGTTTGCCATCTCAGCTGATTTTGTTCAAAAAGCAAACCTTATTGCCCGTGTTTACTTTCTTTTTCAATAAATTTGTCAGCTGGAGCTCAGCAATAACTCCCCACGTCATCATGACATCTGCCTCTGTTGCGCCAGGGCGCATGCGACAGACCATTACCACAATATTACTACCAAGCGAGGCGGAACGAATGCCGTGAAAGTCGCGCAATGCCGGCATGGCGCGTTTATAGACATACCATTGCTGTAATATTACGCCGATTTGTCGGCATGGTCTGTCTAACAAAAGAGGCTATAGTGTTTCCTCCTTTTGATGAAATATCTACTTTGCAAGAATTGCAAGTTGCCCTGTTGTCGTCCTTTTTCGAAAAGTATAACCAAACAAACGTTTTTGTCGCTTAGGCGCAATGGTTCCTGCTGAGTAAATGCGTAAGCTATGCAACGTACGTGGTAAGTTGCATAGCTTGTGCAGACTGGAATTGATAAGGGAATCGTTTGCTAAAATGATTCCTTGTAATAGAAAGTGGGAACTGGTTCTCAGCAAGAACCGGTTTTTGATTCCCTCCCCTAGCTTATCCGTTGGATGGCAGAGTTACACGAGCATTTCCTCCACTGTTACCCAAGCTGATAAACGTGGTCATCGTTTTCCTTTTGATTGTTATAAAATGCATCGGTCATAAAAGCACAGTGAAGAACTTCCCGTTTCCTGTGTTTTTTTCCCCCCAACCTACTTCAAAATCCTTTATAAAAGGATAGTCTTTTAAAGTTTTTTTTTTTTTTTTACATTGTCAGGTTATAACAACTAGCTTTTTCAATACTGGACATTATACTGTTGACTAGACCTCATTTTTCCATATTTGCATTTATCGTCTGAAGAACGGTATTCATTTTGGTAAATAAAATGATAACTGGCAGGCGTTTACCTTCAGGAGTTCTACAACCCCCCAAAGCACTTTACAACACATCAGTCCATCAACCCATGCACGCACACATTCACATACTAGAAAAAATAAATAAACAGTAAGTTATCCTAGTTATCTTGTTGATAACAGAAGATTGCATGTATATCAACTGCACCAAAAGTCCCATAAATACAAAGATTAGATTTTTTATTTTAAATGCGTAAATGAACGATGATTATAATTAAAGTTATATATGGTGAAACATTTAAAATCAACATATATTCTTTGCAGATTTGATATTTGACCTAATTTGAATTCGATTTTATTTTGCCTCTGGTTTTGTTGAGTAACTATCTCTGATGCGAGCCTAACCATAGCAGCTCTTGTGCTCCACATGAATGTTTTCTTGTACGGTTCTTTTCCACCTGGTCATGAAAGCGAGTAGTTTCGCACAGCAACAGATCAAACCATCGTCACACAAGCAGGCTGTTTTCAGAACAATGTGAAGATTAGACACGTGCCCCTCCCCCCTCTCACAGACCAGATCACACGCATGCTCACTGCATTCCTGCTACTAAAGCTTGTGTGGATGTAAAACGGGTCACATTCCTCACGGAGGAATCTCCTGTGTGAAGCACAGCAGGCTGACCTGCCAAGTCTTGCTTGGCTATGCTAAGCTAAGATAAATATACCACAGTGAGCTATCTGCAGCTACTTTGATAGCTTGTGTTCTTTTGTTGATAATGATTTGTATTTTGGCAAAATGAAATACTAAAATCTGAAATAAATAATGTGATTTAAATTTGTTGACGTCACACAGGAAGAGATTTGTTTGATTTCCAGAGATTTAGTTAGAAAAGAAAATCATAATTTACTTTTCTTGTTAGTCTTAAATCCGCAAATAGCTTCAAGATCGATGCAGCTGAGTTGCTTATCTATGTCGTTATCAGATCAGAACTGGGATTGAATTTGATCTGTTTCTTTGAGTGATATTACTGTTAGTTTATCGTATAGTAATGAATGAATAGTAATACTCTTTGATTGGATGGTATAACACTGCTGTTTTGCTGTTTCCATAATCAGATGAGTTGTAATTTCAAAGGTATCAGGTTGATGTCTGTTTTCGTTCATCATCCTTTTGGATATAATTGAATTTAGATATGAAGGAACAGAAGCCTTGGCCTCTTGATAGTTTAAGACTAAATCAGATGTTGTTTAATACATTGATAAAAAAGTAAGTATCTTCTGTAAATTCATTCTGTTTTTCTTCTGAATGCATTTTTAGGTTGGTTTTTTTGTAACACAGAAATTTTTATTTTATTTTTTTTACCGTGCTGACAGTTTTGATCAGCTAGCCGCTAATGGCGGCGTCACCCTTCTTCGTTAACTGCGGGCAGCAAGAAAACCTTTCCTGTGTTTAAAGCAAAAAACCTAAAGATGCAATAAAAAGGTAAATAGTTTAAATAAAATTGTTTTTCCCCTATAAGCATGGGTTTTAGGGTCAAGGGAATGACCCCAAGCTCTAATTTACTAATTTGACTCTTAATTTGTCTTTTGGGAAATGAGCGTTTGCTTGAAGCAATAACGATTCCAGTTTGATGAAACAGGTCTGACTAGTTTTCTTTAATTGTGCTTTAACCTGACTGGAGGATGAAGCCAATTTAACACTTCTGTGCCAAAACGTTTACCTAAAACATTATTATACTCAATCCTGAGATCATAAAATGATGGACAAGTGGTATTCTGTCCTTTAGTCAATATCACCTGTCCTTAAGGAAAATTAGTTGGACACAAACAAATTTTTTAGTTAATTAGTAAAAATTATATAAAAAATAAGAATTAGAACATTAGTTGGAGACAAACTAATTAATTGGAGACGACTAACAAAGCCTCCTGAGGCTTTGTTAGTTGCTCAACAAAAATATTTCACATTCTGTGTAAAAGGTTTGCCTAGAGTCATTGTAAGTAATCTGTCATGGTTCAAGTATAAAAAGCTATTTGTTCTTAATCTCTTAAGAATTTTAGGCGGATGCCCTTTTTGACTTACTTCTGACCCTACTCATTAGTTTCGTGTCTCATGTTTCAGGCATGTCTGAGCAAATAAGTAGGTCAGCGCAGGGAGGAAGTTGAGGGAAAGAGGGAATACATTTGGAACCTCCTCCCCTTTCTTCATCACACATCCATTTTCATTTACGTCATCTTTCACTCACTGCCTCCCCAAATCCTTATTCCTTTGATTGCAGCCATACTTCAGAGATTAGAAGGACACCAGACGTCCCTCCTGTCCAACTGGCCAAAGACTTGTCTCTCACTGTTAAGTGTTCAAGATTTGTTTCCTGAATGCTTGCCATAGATGGTTTCAAATAGTAGATTTGGTTGTTTTAACAGATTTTGAACGAAATGTAACATTTATCAAATTTAATGCCTTGCCAGTATCCCTCAAATTAATGAAACATTATAAATTTCATGGCTACCACTCAGGAAACATTGTATAACACAATTATTTTTTAGTAAAAACAGCTAAGCTTTTTAGCTAAAATATAGCATTGAATCCAGAACATAAAGCTGAGCTGTTAAACATAATGCAGCATTTTTAATTCTGAACCTTTAGTAAGGTTGTGGCCTTGTTGAGTGAATGTTTTCAATGTTTATTTGCAAATGCATTGCCCTGGTGACACCTATAGAGCTCCGGGAGTTGACGTCACTTCTCCCGGCATGCAACAGTTCAAATCGAAACGGCGCCATATTGGCATGCAGAAGCCGGCAGCTGGACTATTTGTTATTGTCAGAAAACTTAATCAAACGGGAAATATGGTAGATTCCTGTTGTGCCCCAGGATGCAGAACAGACGCGGACGACATAAGGAATGAGCCTTCTACAGGATTCCCCAAGATCCAGAGCGCCGCAAACGTTGGATCATTGTAATAAAACGCGCTAGTGACCGGGCAAAAATGAAGCTGTGGGATCCCGAGAGTAAAGGTTTTCACTTATACAGCAACCACTTCATATCAGGTACTTAAACCAACGTTTCCTCAACTGTGTATGGTATTTATTTTAAATGCTTTTATTATGATTCTTAGTGGGCTTCCTAAACTTATTTTGGCGTGGCTTTTTCTGTCTTATTACTCATAGCAGCAAGTAAACATCACGTAAAACGTTTCCTCGTGAGTTCTGCGTGCTGCCGTTTACGTGTTTTATGATCACAGCAATTAACCGGCTAAGCTGTATTTAATTTTTAAGCAATGGTTGATCAATTGTCAGATCACACATAAAAAGCACTTTGGATTGCTATTATCTGTCTCATCGAGACTACTTACGTGTAAATCTGTTATTTGTCCGTCCATCCATCCATTTTCATCCGCATATCCGGAGTCGGGTTGCGGGGGCAGTAGCGTGACTTCCCTCTCCCCAGCCGCAGGAGCCAGCTCCTCCAGCCGGGGGAATCCCAAGGGGTTCCCCTGGCCAGGTCCGGTGTTGTGCCGGTAAGAAGTCTGCTCCGACAGCTTCTGGCGTTTTTAAAAAGTATCCCAGGGGCACGGTAAGGGTCGGAGATGTTTAGTCTATTTAATTTCTGACTATATAAAACGATTTCTTCTGTTTTAAAGTGTGAAGTAAACTCCGACGAAGTAAAATCCAAGCGGATCCCGTTCATGTTCATGGTTACATCCGTGTTTGTTTACCTTTTTTGCATGCCAAAATGGCATCCACTAACTGAGAGTCACGTGGGGTCCGGAGCTCTATATGGGCCGGAAGGATTATAAAGTGATTACATTACGCACCCAGCGGTGCTGTAATCACTGAAGCCTACAGGTGTGTAATTGAGGTAAAACAAAAGGTGTGGCCTGACCTATGGTTTCCATGTAATAGATCACAGAAGTTGTTGGGTTTGTGGCTGTTTGCCACACTTTGCCCTGGTTCCACATTTGCTCTAATTTGTATTTACAGTCTGACGTATCTGCTGCCATTTTTACAGTTGATTTGTGTTTTATTAGGTTGTGAAACACTGGTTGTGAAACTGAGAAAATGCCCATTCCCATGTGCAATGGCTCACTAGAATGTTAATGTTAATTCAGTCTACTTTATTACAATAAAGAAATTTGTGTACCAAAACCTGAGACGTTCTAGAATAAACCTGCTAAACAACCATAAAAACATAATGTTACCCTATGTTTTTGACTCATTGTTGGCACCTTCATATAACAATTTAGTATGTAGTGTGGTGTTTTCATGATGAAAAATGAGACCGTTTTTAGCTTTCTTAGTTTATTCCTTACTTAATAATCACAGCAGTTCAGTGCCAGCATCAGTTTAAGAAAACCTGATGAATAACAGATCAAAACTCCTAGAACCCATGCCAAACCATCGGATGATGATGAGGGATTAAGATCCAGTCATTACAGTTGAACATCTGAGGAGGAAAATGTATCGCACCTTAAGCCCTTCTCACCTTCTTCTGTGATTACGGCTGGAAGCAACGCCTTCCTTTGTGAATGCACATCTTTAGCCCAGCTGTCGGATCTAAAACACATTGTTTTAAAATTATTCTCATGTATGTTATTTACATACGTGTAAAAAAAAAATATATATATAAAATATTTGTATGTATGTATAAATGAGAGGCAGGCTCAGCAAAGGAAAAAAACATGACGTGTTGCCTACATTAAATCACAGTATAGGGTAAGACTGTCGCTTTTACAAATAAAAAAAACTATTCAAGCCTGGAGATCTGTAAATAATATATATTGAGCTGAAGGACAATCAACGAGTAAAGCAGAAGCACTGGAGCACTCAGGTGAGCAAGGACTTTTTAATAGGTGCAAAATCTAGCGTTTCGATGCAATGTGCATCTTCGTCGGAGTGTATTGCTATTGCTACAGTTTATCTAGATTTCTAAGATAACATAATTCCTAAAAAGGGGAAACTCCTGATTGCTGCTTCAAAAACGGGATGTTCACTGTGATTGGATGGGGTTTTTCTAGGATTGTACATTTCAGAGGTGATTAAAATTGTTCTTTATTTATTTTATTTATTTATTTTTGACAAAACATTTAATTTATTGGTTGCCATCCGTATGTGAAGAGCATTTTAAGCAATATAGCAAAGGTGCTCCAGCACAATTACTTCCACACCACCTTTTACACTAAAACAGTGATATTCAAAGTAAACCACACTGGAATAAATCATGCTGAGTCTTCTGATTGCTAAGCGTAGGTACATCTTGTAACATGCACACCACTGCCCCAGGCTCTAGTTGGGTTTTTCCACTAAAACCCTTCCAGAGATTGACTAAAGATCGTGCAACAGCAAGTTTGTAACAGGTTTTACAAAAAAATTACCAAGATTTTTCTGTTCCCTGTCACCACCAAGCAACAACATTATCTAGCTCTAAACATCTCCTCTGCCAAGTTTGATCTTTCTTCTGATGTTTCTGAAATTTTAAAGGAGATTTTCTTTTTTTGGCAGTAAATGTTCTTTACAATGCTCTTTTGAAAATTTCACAGTTGTACAGCACTAACAAACAATGCTACAAACATTAAAACTTGAACCGGAGACCATGCAAATGAGAAGAGATTTTTGATGAATTGTGTAGTATTTGGAACACGGAATCTTAGTGGTCTTATTCCAAACTGCATTGGACTAGATTCAATTTTACCACTTTAGAAATACAAAAGGACCTGTTCTGATTATCTGACATTTGATTAGCAGTTTTGCTGATCTTTCTTGTTATAAGTCATGCGATCATGATGCCAACATAAAGCCACTCACAGTTTGGCTCTTACCTAAATGCACTCAGAAGAGCCTCCTAGCATTTAGTCTTGTCATGTTCACAGACCTTTTCCTCCCAGTCTAATGTAGGGGGTGTTGAGTTATTTATGAGGGCCTTTGCCTGGAAGCAGTGCTTTCCATTTCACTTTGTAGTTAACAGTAGATGGGATTTTACGATGGAATTAAATGCCTAAAATCTTATTAGAAGTATAATCTAAAATACCATCAGCAATCATCATATAGCAGTTATTTATTTGGATAGGTGGAAAACAAAACTCTTATTTACTCATTGATGAAGGGTGGCCAAGCTTTAAGAGTAATTCACCTGACTTAAATGTCAATTATTACATTGCAGAAATTACAGTTGATTTTAGAACATCACTCTACACTTGTTTTTTTAACCATTCAAAATCTACCTGACTATTTTGGTCTTTGTAGAGGGATGCATTTGTTTATAGACAGCTGTCAGTGTATAAATCTTACTGTGGGATGTCTGAATGTACATCTGTGGATGGTTTGCATTCTTATTTTGAGACAGCATGCAGAAGAAGCATGAAGGGCTGCAAATAGATTTAGTAAATATGTCACAAAACTGGTTCTTTTAGTCTGTTGCCCAATGAAATGCAGCTTACTTTGTGTTTGCTGTTGTTGGTTTTAAGCATAGTGGCTTTTTTGCCCCTTAAATATTTCAACTTATCATTTTGTCTGCCCAGTGTTTTCTTTAGACATGAAAACTCCCAGCATCTCTCCAGCTAAAGCTGTAATCTGAGTTTCCTTTTTTTTTTTTTTTTCTTTTTTTTTTTTGGGACACTGGAAAGTTTTCCCATCTTCTGCCAAGTCAGAAATTCCTCCGCTGCTCACAAATGGGCTGAATTTCCTGGACAGCTTGGCATGTGTCCAGGTCTCTTGGGGCTTCTGGGGAGGTATTTGGCTATTGGGTTTCATGTGGCTTATCCAAGCTTCCAGCCCTGTAGTCATGCATTCTGTAAATGTGGGTCATGCTAGGCTATGCTAAGTTGGGAGGGGTGGTTCAGCATGTTTCAGGGTTTTTATTAATGCAGAAAATCTAATGAAGCAATGAATTCAATATTTGTTTGTTGTTTTTTTTCAGTTCTTTAAAAAATTAAGATCAGTAAATTTATCAGAAATGGGAAAATTATTATAGCCTCTTTTTATTTTATTTCTTTTTGTTGCTGTCTTGGGTTGCTGTGATGGATGACATGTTTAAATTAAAATAATTAGCTAAGAGAAGAGAATTGTGCATTAAAGTGAATGTTTCAAGCCAATAGGTGGTCAACGGATATAACGTGGGATCAACCTCATTAAAATGTCTTTCTGGTTAAAATTAATATTTATTTTCTCCACAATAAATAAACAATTTCATTGTGTCATGTGATTAAGTGTAGCTACTGTAATATAATATTGAAAAAGGTTAAAAAAGAACAGCTGCTAACTCTTGTTTTTTTTTTTTTTTGATGGTCTTTGTCATTTTTCATCCTTGGTTGCTTTTCTGATTTTGGTTTGTTTAGAATGTCTGCCCAAGTCGGACGCATTCTTTTGGTTTTCAGTCCTTGCCAGAGAAAACTAAACCACATCCTCCTGATCTGAGCTGGATCTGATTCAAAGCACAGTCATTTTTTGTGTGAAAAGAAGGTTTCCTTTAAAGTTTTCTGCAGTTTGAAAACCCAAATAAATAAACTTTTAAGATACTAAATTTCAGCAAATGTACTTAATTTTACAGCAGCATATGTTACACACAGCTAAAGACATGGTTTGTTCTTGTTCTTTAAGTTTTAAAATGTTTTTCTTGTTTTTCTGCAGGATCGTAAGCTCTCAAAGTCCGAGCGGCAACGCTTTAAGGAGGAAGCAGGGATGTTAAAGGGACTGCAGCATCCCAACATTGTTCGCTTTTATGACTCCTGGGAGGGACCTTCCAAGGGAAGGAAGTGCATTGTACTGGTCACAGAACTCATGACGTCTGGTACACTCAAAACGTGAGTCTGAACTGTGACGGATTTATCTGAGATGTAATCAAATCTATTTAGGCATGGTTCTTTATGATCAACACCATGTTTTCAAAACCAATTTTTTTTACTGTTTTCTAAAAGTACAGTTGAAAATATTACGCAAGTTCTTTTTCTCTGTTATTGACTTATATCAGAAAGCTCATATTAGACTATTTACTATCATTCCGTGTTCTGTGGATCTCAGACAGTGTGTCCCAATTACATTCTGTTCTCTTGTAGCTATCTGAAGCGGTTCAAGGTGATGAAAATTAAAGTGCTACGAAGCTGGTGTAGACAAATCTTGAAAGGACTCCACTTCCTTCATACCCGGACCCCCCCAATCATCCACAGAGACCTGAAGTGTGACAACATCTTCATCACAGGACCAACAGGATCCGTCAAGATAGGAGACCTGGGACTCGCCACGCTCAAGCGTGCATCTTTTGCCAAGAGTGTCATAGGTATGAATCCCAAGTCCATTCAGCCTCCTGACCCCTGTGGGACAGTACCTTCTTTTAAAGTTGTGACTATTACGTCTCATGAAAAAAAGTTATTTTTCTGACTGTGTGGTTCAAAACAGACCACAGTGTTTCAGCTGTCTTTCAAACCACAGCTCAAATGGAGGCCAAATACTGTGGTGATCTTAGGCAGATAACCACAAGACATTTCCTCTTTGCCGACATTTATAAATTTTGGTCCATGTAGAGAGCATTTCTGTTCTGTTTCTCCAAAAAGACAATCCTGTTTTTCCCAGGCATCTACTGACTGTAAGTAGCGCCTAACGTTTCTCCTTGTAATAATGAACAATAATATCATTAGTTTAATAGTCGTCATGCCGTTTTGGGGGCATTAGATATGACCTTTGTTTGTGTCTTAGACTGGTCTTTGTTCTGTGGTTTGGAAATATGTGGTCTGTTTGCCAGCGATGATTACAATTTTAACATCTCTTTGTATGGGTTTTCCTCAACAGGTTATTTTTTCTAGTGTTTGTCTCTTGCTGTCTTAAAATATTGCAGGACTGCAGTGTCTTTTTTCATCTTTGTGTCCAGGGAGGTCTCCCGACATTCTCTCTGTCAGCATTTTACATTTTCTTTTCCTTATTTTTTTTTCTTTTCCTTTTGTTTTCTGTTCACATTCTTTAGTATGTTCTTAAAACGTAGGCTCTAGCCTCAGCTGTGCCCCATTCTGCTGTTTGGAATGAATAGGGTACTGCTGGTCATTGAGTAAGTATCTTTTATGGGCCTGGTAAGTCTGACTGTGTGCTGTAATACACATAAATTTCAAAAACAATTACGATTAACCAAATGAGTTTTTCTGTGTAGGACCTGAGATTTAATCTAATATAACCCTTTTCAAAAAAGCCGATGTACAGGACACATTCAGCTCTGTAACTAGCTAATGAATCTGCTTCTGTCAGCCTTGGCCATAACTGATTTTTCCCGCAGGTCAGGAGGAGATGGTAAGTCAAACTTCCAAAGGTAAGTGTACTATAAAGGGTAACTGTTTAAAATAAGGTCTTGACAAAAGTTACTTTTTTAGCTAGTCGTGTTTTCCTTACAGAGCTAATTGGCTTTGTCACAAACATGTAATTCTGCTCTGTCTTGAGGAAAGTGAGTGCCTTGAGTTTGAGCTTCATATAAATTAAAATTTTCACCAAAAACTGTGTTCTGCACATTGGTTGCCATAGTCACCCTTTTGTATAGCAACATGTCGAGGTCTTACACAGACAAACACGTCCGTTTCTCTCTGCAGTCTAACTGAGCCCACTTTCCCCTCCTTTTTTGTTTTTGTCTCTTTTTTTTTTTGCTTTCCTTTCCTTTCCCTCTCTTTTTTTCTTTCCTCCAACTTTCACCTCACAGATTCTACTCCAGGAGATGTCATCCGACCGGTCACTCTTCTCATCCTCCTCTTCCTCAACCCCCCATGGGTTAGAGGAGCAGAGGGGCAATGGGTTGTGAGAAGCCCACTCAGTCAGTAAGGGAGTTCCGAGAGTTCTGAATGGTTGTTTTGATTTAAGGTACCCCTGAGTTCATGGCGCCTGAGATGTATGAGGAGAAGTACGACGAGTCAGTGGATGTTTATGCCTTTGGAATGTGCATGCTGGAGATGGCCACCTCAGAGTACCCTTACTCAGAGTGCCAGAATGCTGCACAGATCTACCGCAGAGTAACCAGCGTAAGTCTCCTCTTCAACCCTCCGTGTCACGCCTCAGCCATGCCTTCACCTCCTCCTGTGTATCAAGAAGGCTGTTGTCTCTGGAGTCATTTTCCATTCCTGTAGACACTTTTTAGTTTATCTTCTATTTCTGTCCTCAGTCCACTCCTATCTTTAAAGCGAAAATGTGCTTTGTTCCCCAACAATCTCCATTACTTCATTATTTTTCCTTCTTTTTTTTTATTCTGAGTCAAATGGTTAGCTAACCATACAGTGGAGTAATAGGCTCAGCAAGCACAGTCCTGCTATCTCTGTTTCTCTAAAACATTTAACACATTATTCATCTAGTTCATGTTGACATACTTTCAAAATAGTAACTGGTGATTCATTCATTTTCTGGAAAGCTGCTTAGATAAGGAGCTCAAACCGGTTTCTGGAGTTTTCTATTGTAGTCATCCATCATCTTTCCTCATCAACCATCTGTCTCAAGTCCTTCTCTTTTTATTTTAGTTTTCGTGGAACCTATTCAGTTGTGTTTTTTTTTTTTTTTTTTTTTTTTTGCAGTGGTGGTGTGTCTTTAGGATGTATGACCTTTCATTTCCAAACTGAAATGTATTCAGATCCTGACTCCGGCTTTCCACCAGATGTGGAAGCGGTGCATGATGTCTGCTAACTGCAATATGCAGCTAGTAGCTCCCATTATAGCCAATGGGTGTGTTTCTATTGGATGCACAGTGGCACGTCCCAGAAGCGTTGTCACACAGCAAATCCTAAATTTGCGCACCTGGGGTCTCATTTATCAAACATTGCGTAGAATCCTTACTAAAACCGTACTTAAGCTCAGCAAAAAAATGTACTTACGTCAAGCAGGTTTGTGATCTATCAAACATGGAGTACGCAATCTCCGCTTCATAAATCAGAGACTAACGAGAATGTTTCTCAGTGGCATTTTAGTCACATCCCGCCCTCACCACGCCCACTTACTGCCATAAATAGTCAATGCAAAGTGCCTTGTGGATCTCATGCATATACATAAGCCGGCTGTTGCAGCGCTCCGCCAATGACGATGGCGACCATAGATCAAGGCAGATCAAGGAAGCGCAATTTCACAGAAGCAGAAACTGAGGTACCTGTGGGTGAGGTGGAGAAATGAAAGGAAGTGCTTTTGCAAAACAAATAAGAGAAATTCCACGGAGTGGCACAGCATTGGTGAATCTGTCAATACTGTGAGTTATTCAGAGAGATCTGTGGCGGTTATAAAAAAAAAATAAAGGTCCGATCGGGAGTCGATCCCCAGAATCCCAGGTGAGAGTTAGGCACGCTAACCAGTCAGCCAAAGGGAGATCTTCCTTGGCCAAGTAGTCAGGGCGCATGGTCGATTGGGTCACAGTGACAAGACGCTCACACTGTCACAGACATTCTGCCTCAATCTGCCCCCCTGCTGATATTCTGCATTCCGTATTCTCCGCTTCAGGCTGTGTGTGCCTGTGCGCGCTCGTGTGTGCATGTGGGGGGTCTTGTTCTGTGTGAAAATGAAGCAGTACAAGTGATAATGCTGCAGGATTTCATAATTTTATCCTTCTCAGCAGCACTGCAGGTGCTCTCCATGTCCAAAATGTGCGTAAGCCAGGTCCTTAGTCAACTTAAAGTTGCATACATTTTTCCACTACGTTTTCTTTCATAAATCCCAATGTTTGCGTGGAAAGTTGTTTACGCAGTTTTCCAACCCCGTTTTGTGCGTAAGCAAGCTCGATAAATGAGGCCCCTGGTCTGTTTTTTTACGCTTCCAGAATACGTCAAGCTCAGCAGGTCAGATCAGGGTAGACAGGGAATTACACATGGGAGCAATAAAGCATTCCAGAATAAAAGACTTGTGCAAAAAAAAAATGCCTAAAGACTAAATAAAATATGCCAGCAGTAGCATAACCTCCTTAGCTGTTATCATGTGAAGTGGCTAAATTAAATCTCCTTTAATATTATGGTCTTATGGGACCAGCTGCGTTTATCGTGAGCTTCTGAAGGAAGGGCCGCTACGCTAAGCTCACGGGTAAAACGTGTATTACGTTGCGTACCGCTTACACATCTTTTTGGAAAGCCCGGGCTAAAGGAGGTTTCTTTACTTATTTTATTTGAAGAAAGGTAAATATTGAGGTAAATCTTTAAAGGCAGAAAGTTTGATCCTTTTTAATCTTGTTTGATCTACGAAATTGAAAGGAGGTTAGTTCGTTACTCTGTGTTTTCCAGACAAATGAAAGGTACGTTTTTGAAAGTAGTAATCATTTAGGGTTCTGTGTTTCCTTTAGGGGGTGAAGCCAGGCAGCTTCGATAAGGTGGCCATTCCTGAAGTAAAGGAGATCATTGAGGGATGTATTCGTCAGAACAAGGATGAGAGGTCACCTATTATAGGACATAACTTCAGGATATTCATTTCTAGGGGGGTGGACCGTCCTTTGCTCACTACACTTACCATCCATTTAGGTACTCAATCAAAGACCTTCTGAACCACGCCTTCTTCCAAGAGGATACAGGTGTACGGGTGGAGCTGGCAGAAGAGGATGATGGAGAGATGGAGGCAATCAAGTTGTGGCTGAGAATTGAAGACGTAAAGAAACTTAAGGGGAAGTACAAAGACAACGAAGCCATTGAGTTTTCTTTTGACCTCCACAAAGATGTCCCAGAGGACGTGGCTCAGGAAATGGTGAATTGAAATGACTTTTTACTTTAGATACTGCTTCTTTCAAGCAGGATTGATGTGCTTTTTATTTGTCCATTGGTGTAGTTTTACATATTTAGATAAAGGCAAACTGATGGGGTTGTGGTCGATGCGATGGAAGCGTGCAAAAAGGAAACCAACTAGAATAGCAACAGTTTAACAACATTTTTTGCACTGATATGTTGTGGAAAAAGGGCCAATGACTGAATGTGTTGGTGAAAAATTGTTCCTCATTTAATCACTAATGACTTGTATGTTTTTCTATCATAGGTTGAGTCTGGTTACATTTGTGAAGGTGACCACAAAACCATCGCAAAGGCCATAAAGGACAGGGTGTCTTTGATCAGTCGTAAGAGGGCACAGCGGCAGCAGGTAGCTCATGGTTTTAGATAATCTTATCAGTCAAAGGGTGATTATTTATGTACTTTGATGTTCCTATCATGGTTGAATTGATTTAAATGTATTTCTCGCTGATTATTTTGTAGGTCAGAGAAGATCAAGAGAAGAGAAAGCTTGAAGAGGAGCTACAGAGTCAGTTGTCATCACAGCAGCCAGGCCAGCCGTCCTGCGTTGAGATGCCCCAGTCTCAGCCAGTACCACAGCCTGCTTCGTATGTAGCTCCACAACTTAACCAGCACAGCTCACAGATCAGTGCCCAACCAGCTTCTCAGCAAAACCTCCAGAGCTACAGCTCTACTCAGTCCACCCTCCTGACCGGCATGTCCCAGGGGGTCCCTTATGTTCCCCAGTCAGCCGGGCAAGTTCAGGTCCCAGTTCAGGGTCAGAGTGTAACCGGTATCCAGCCAGAGTCAGAGGAACCTGAGACTGACCAACAGCTACAGCACACAGGAGGAGGTAAATATTTAAAATCTCTGCTTCAGAGCACATTGGTTAGCTTTCTGAAAGATTGAGGTCTGTTCATCTTTTGTCTCCTGTTGAAGTGCGGGACATGGGGGACAGGCTACCTGGTACCTCTGTCCTTCCTGAGACCCTGCCTGCTCAGCCTGGAGTCTCCTACGGTGCTCCGAGTCAGCACCTTCAGACCCAGGTGCCATGCTCACAGATTCAGAATGATCCAACACAACAGTTGGCAGCGGTGAGGAAATGTAGCTGATTTAGATGTTTTATTCTTAAACCCCTAAAACTGTTTTGTAGTTCTGATAAGAATCAGAGGCAATAGTTCTGTTTACTGTTGTTATTGTCCCTGTTTAGCTTTAGTTTATAAACATTTTTATTACTGATGTATTGAAAAGACATTAGTTAGTGGCTGGAACACTTGATAAAGCTGTGCTTTGGTTGAACTGGTAAACCCCCATAACTGCCACTTAAATGTGTGTAACCATGTGTAAAATTAATTGAAAACAGAGGAAGGAACCCTTAGGTGAGATTAAAAGCCTAAATATTTGATAATTGAAACATAATTCTCTTATTTTTGCCCCCTATTGGGTGGCCAGCCTCCTCCGTGCCCTTATTTGCAGTAAGAAAATGACTCTCTGATCCTCAGTTTGGCCCAAATATGCCTGGGAAACGCTGTATAAGATATTTTATGAGAAAAAAGTTCTGAAATGAGCTATAGTATAAAAAAATAATAAAAAATAAGGCCTTAAAACTTGTGCAGGAGACTGAAAATAAAACTAAGCTAGTCTAAGTTGGTTAGAAATAAAAGTGCTATCCATAAAGGATCAAGCGCGACTTACCAGTTTTATTTGGCGAGAGTAGACTCGCCTTAGCTCTGCTCTTTACTTTCATTCCTGTCTTGATTCATCTAGCAGACTTTTTTCATCTTTCTTTTCTCTAAGTGTATGTGCTGCTGTAGCAAGTGAATGCCCCCACTGTGGGATCAATAAAGGCAATTCTATTCTCACCATTCGCTTGTTTGTTTTCCACCTACAGATACAAAGTGTTCCGCCTGATGTCGTCTCCACCAACCAGTCTGCTTCAGTTGCACCTGCACAGGTATGTTTTATACAGCAGGAGTGTTTTAATGACTTGCACTTGGGTAGGATCTATTGCAAACACCTTATAATTATTCATGTACCACAACAGCAAAGATGAATCATAAACATCCACAAAAAAAAACCTCTCCTAAATAGTTTTTTTGTACAAAGTCAAAATTCTTGGCTTTAAAAAGTTGTGTTCACAGCAGATTCTTAGTTTTCCAGTCATCCCAGTTACTTGCTTTCTGTTAAAATCCCATTAAAATCCCATTAACACACTACATATAGAAGTTATAACTCTGTATGTCTGTATGAAGTTTGTAAATTATCACATTTAAAGTGTGCATGCATGTAGGGAGTGGGGTTGGGGGGTCCTGGCTTGTCATGGATAGGAGCAAGAGGTCCTCAAAGAAAGGTTTTTGGAAACCACTGGTCTAAAGCAGAGTGTGTAATAAAGGGCCAAAGTATTTGTACTGTTGTTTGGTAGCCTCTTTTTACAAATCTGTGAAACGGGTTCGTGGACTCTAAACCTAGAACAAGAACATTGTTTCTGCTGAGCCTTGCCTTGCAGCTAGTATTTCTAACAGATGACCTAGCTTTATTGTAATGTTGTCTAACAGGTAAGCTTCAGAACTTCAGGTTAGAAATAATTCAGGCTCTCAGAAAGCAACCTATATCCCAGCATTACCTTTTGTCTTTAATGTTTATCTCTTTTATTCATACAGATTCCTTCCCAGCAGGTCGTGATGCCCCAGCCGTCCCAGGCGGCTCTTCCTCTGCAGCAGCAGCCAGAGACCAACCTCACACAGCCACAGGCTGGAGCTCAACAGCTGCAGGTGCTCATGTTTACGATTGACTTTTTTCTTCTTTTGTTACTTTTGCTTTAACTCCTACTCCTACATTCATATCAGTCTGTTCTAATGTCAGACCAATGTCAGGAAAAACTCCTCCCTGTTATCCAAAGGGCCTAAAGGATCTACGGCTGTTGGCTAATTTGTCTCTCACCACTCAGCCGAGCAGTTTTGATGACTAAATAATCACTTCCTGGTTTAGTCATAATGTTGTGGCTGATTGGAGTGTGTGCTCTAACTCATAATTCTCTCTGCTTCACTGAACGATATGAATGTCATGCTGTCTGTTTTTGTTTTTCCTGAACATTCAACCCATTTTTCTACATCTGTCTTTTTTTCTACCTTTTTCCTTTTGGCATGCTGCTTGTTCTTGCATGACTTTTAGTCTTGGGCCAATGATCCAAGTCCTCCTATCATGTCTCCACCAATCAACGCAGAGCACCTTTACTTCCTGTATCAGGCCTCGTGCCTCTCTGTCCTGCAGGTATTTCACAGAGCACAATCCAAGTTGCGTGTGCACGCTCGCACCTGAAGGAAACATATTTCTAGGGTTTGTAGCTTATGTAAAATGTTAGTGGGAAGGGCTCATACAAAAACCCAAAGTAGGCTATTTCAGTTTGCTGAAATTCAAATCTCTATTAAACCAGTAGATTCATGCATATTTGCATATTTTAGGCAGTTCATTCCAGTCGTTTCATTGCTTATTACACACAAGGCCACATGTTGGATTTATGGAACAGTCACACATTTAATAGATAAAAATAGCCATATTTACATCTCAAACTGTCATGGCCTTCAGAACTGTCGTCATCCTCTTGCACAGCTCCCCCTGGTGGTTTGTGCTGTGAAAACGTTTAAAATCTTAGGTTTCCATTTTAATGATCATTCAGTTTATGCTAACTGCTGTTTTGTTGCGTGTGTTCTTTTGCTTCAGGGTTCTGTGACGATGCCTCTGTCAACACCAGTGGAGCAGTCTGCTGGAGCTTCTGCACTCGCACCCCCGTCTACAGACAGGTAAGACGAACAACAATATGTCTTTGGGAATATTCTGATTTCACGAGTTTCAAACTTTTATATCAAATCTGTTTCTCCTAGCTGCCTGTCAGATGCAGCTTCAGGTCTCAGTGATGGAAATGAAGGAAATTCTGCATCCGGGGGTCGCCATGAGGGGCGTTCTATGAAGCGCCATCAGCGACAGTCGGTTCGCAGTCGCTCTCGACATGAGAAGACCACGAGGGCAAAGCTGAACGTTCTCAGTGTATGCGTTTATCCTCACGTTCATTAGTTCTGCTCCTGGCATCGATAATTTCTGCTTACATTTTGTTTTACAGATTTCTAATGTGGGAGACAGAGTAGCAGAGTGCCAGCTGGAAACGCACAACAGGAAGATGGTGACCTTCAAATTTGATCTTGACGGCGATAACCCAGAGGAGATAGCAAAAATCATGGTAGTGAAGTCACACATTCACACTAAACCCTGTATTCATGTGTGACGAACGTTCTCAGTAACACATCTAATGTTAGCTTCAGCATCTAAGCTTGTTTTGATGCATTCAGGTTGAAAGTGAGTTCATCCTGGAGAGTGAGCGCGAGTCCTTCATTGAGCAGGTCCGTGAGGTCATAGAAATGGCTGATGAGAAAAGAGAGGGCTTGAAGGAAGGCTTCCCCCAGGTCTGTTTGTTCCACCCACCATCTCATCAGTCTAATTAGATGGTTTCCTCCTACTTGCCTGCAGAAACTAACATCTGATCTCTTTGCAGATTGGGGATCTCCAACAGCAGCCACAGCTGATTGTTCCCATGGTGCCAGGTTAAAAGCATTTCAAGTTTGATACAATTTTCAATTTACAATCTGCTTTTGTTTTGTGACAAAATCTGTTGGATTCCTCAGGTATTTCCCCCAGTACTACGTCTCAAGTGGTTAACTCAGGAGGAAGGAGGTTCATAGTCAGTCCTGTCCCAGAGTCTCGTCTTAAAGAACAGTTCTTTGGAGCCCCATCTGCTAATACGTCTGTTAGTGATGATGGTAAGAGGAAAAAGATGGCTTCAGTCTGTTAAGACCATGTGTTACCTGGTTGGTTAAATCTATCTGCTGTTCCCGTAGCTCCCTTGGGCCTCTCTCTCTCTGCTCCATCTGGGACTCTGAAGCAGGCCTTTAGTGAAGTCAAGCAGGCTCGTATGGACAGAAGCAACACCTTAGATCCTGCTGCTATTGAGTACGAGCCAGCCGCTGCTCCTCCCACTGATGCTTGTCCAAGTTCTAACAGTGTCCCGACTCCTCCAGAAGCTGTGGCTTCCACCCCTGTTTCTGTACCATCTTCCACAACATCCCCACCACCTGCACCAGGTGGGCGGGTTTCACCTTCACCTGCATCAGTTACACCCCACACTGTAGTTAATGAGTCCAGTCCACCACCCCCGTCTTCACATGAAACGGCTCACTCACAGGTTCCATCATCTGCTACTGTCCCTCCTCCATCCTCAACAGTTTCTCCTCCATCATCACAGACCTCCGTCCCCGTGGTTCCTGTGCCTCAGGCAAACACCTTGGTCTCTTCTGTAGCTGCTGGTATCGCCACTTCTGTAGGAACCGTCCCTTCTTCAGAGCAGCAGCCCTTTAACAGCACAGTTTCATCCTCTCAGCCTATCAATTCTCAGCCCCTACCTCCTACTTCATTACCCAGCCAGACCCAGGTGGAGTCAGAGGGACCTGACGCCCAGTCTAAAACCGCCGGCAGAGACGACATTCAAACTCTAGATATGAAACTCCGCTCCCTCTTTAAAGACCAGAGCACCGCCTCCGCAGTGCCATTGGATCACAGTCAGAGCACCGGAACCTCCTCTCCTCCTACTGGAACCTGCTCTCCTCCACCTGGAACAACCACATTGCCCCCTTCTAACCTTCCCCTCAGTTCTGGGGTACAAGATGTTCTAGGCTCCACAACAACACCAGCAGGACATGTCCAGACCCCTTCTGCTAACGCCAGGGTGCAGGTGTGTAAATGATGCAGCACTCAAAAATAAATCTAGCTTCTTTTTTTGTTTGGGGGGGGGGGGGGGGGGGGGGGGGGGGCTGTGGCACAGGAGTTAAATGCTCGCTCCGTAATTGGAAGGTTGCGGGTTTGACCCCGCTCAGTCTGTCACTGTCGCTGTGTCCTTGGGCAAGACACTTAACCCACCTTGCTTGCTGATGGTGGTCGGAGGGACCGGTGGCGCCTGTTTACGGCAGCCTCGCCTCTGTCAGTGTGCCCCAAGGCAGCTGTGGCTACATCGTAGCTCATCCCTACCAGCGTGTGAATGTGTGTGTGTGAATGAGTGAATGACTGATTGTGTTGTAAAGCGTCTTGGGGGGTTCCAGGACTCTAGAAGGCACTATATCAAATACAGGCCATGTACCATTTTTAAATCTGGTCAAACATGTATATATTTTTTCTTTACATTTCAGACTTTACCTACTGATTTTGATCCCTCTGCTACACCACCTTCAGAAGTTCTGCCCCCATTCCCTGGACCACCACAGGTGAGATCCACTAACCCTAATGTTCCAAAATAAGTTCTTATTGAAAGTAGGAGGTCATCTCTAATTCCAGACCAAATGGGCGGTTCCGATCACTGCCTTCTTGGCCATGTCACACGTCTCGTCATGCCCAAACAATCCAAAAATGGGCAAAGAGGTAGAGCTGAGTCCGCCATTGTTCCCAGCTACAAGCTAACCGAAGCTAACAGGTTTTCAGGATCTTGTAGCCTGAAAAATGCGGTTGAGTGACTTTAACGTGAATCACCCATCTCACCAAGCTGCGGAGTTTCTGTGGTCTCCGTCAAAGAGCTTCACAGGCAACAAGCACAGCCTCAGACCGCGCTCTGCACCTCTGCAGCGGTCCCTACTGCGGTGCTCTGGCTGCAAGTCTTGGTACCCAGCCCTACCTACACGTCATATTTCATCCCAGCATTTGACCCCATTCAAGCAGCAAAATAAAGTACAGAAATATCATTGTAATTAGCAGTACCAATAAAAATGAAGCAGAGACTAAAGATGGTCTGTTAATGCAATCAGTACCACAGCTTGCCATCTTTGTCTAATAATTCCACGATTAACATCCAAACACAAATACACAGAGAACACAATTGTCTAAATGACTAAACATCTCTTAACGTGAGGCCAAGGCTGAGGCTTTCCCTGAGCTAGTGCTAGCTCTGATGGCTCATGCCATCTGTCAGTCAGTCAGTCATAGTTTAAAGCATTTAATTACACCTAAACAGAAGAGTTACAAAGAAATCACCCCCTCAGACTGTAAACTAGACCTATTAAACCTAAACCGTTTTTGTAACAGGCTGTTAACATGCTTTAACACAAGAATTTGCTCTGTTTTGGACCCAATCCCTAGCGCACGAGGATCCAACTGCAATTTTTGTCACTTCCTGGTTGGCTTCACTTTTGGCAGGCAGAGTTTGCCCCTTGGTTAAAACCATGGTTAAAACTCACTAAATGTACCCAGTACTGCCCCCTGTGTTGAAAATAGTATATTTACTTCAACCCATTCAATATAAACTCTGACGCCCCTTTTCCTCCAGTTTGGGGTTGCTGGGTATCGGGCAGCATTACTTATTTTGGTTGGATTTTATTCAAAAGCTCCTTCATTTTTATTGTTTGTGGTTATTGGATTTTTGATGTGTGTTATGGTGTGTTTTAAATGTGTTTTTGATGTTTGTGTGACCCCATAGTCCCAGCAGCTTCAGGGAAATGTGGACGCCCAGCTGAAAAGAGCTCCAAGTCTAGAAACTATCCAAGGGGGGGACAGTGTGCTGATCTCAGCTGCAGGTTTGCCTCAAGAAGGATTAAAAGTAAGTTTCAGACACATCTTTATGTAAACATTGTTCATTATCACAGCTGAACTTCCTGAAACTTTGTGATCTCTTTCCTGACCTCCAGATCTTTGATGGTGCACCTGGCAGCACTCTAGAGCCGTTGAGTGTTGTTTCTTCTTCATCCCTCACACCATCCTCCACTTCATCGTCCTCTTCATCGTCCTCCTCTGCACCCTCCAGTCCAGAAAACACTCTCCACAGGTCGTCCCCTCTGCCCAAAGAATCCACTGAAGCTGATGGAGTCTCTTCTCTCTCTGACCGACCCGTCGGTCACACAACTAACATTGGACGCTTCCATGTGTCCAAGAGCAGCATCCCCACGTCTGAGCCGTCTCCTGGGGCTAAAGTGGGACGATTTTTTGTCACAGGTGCGCTGCAGGTTGAAAACAAACTAGAAGAGATGGTCTGAGATTTAACTGTATCCTTGTATAAAAATGGCAGCATGTAATACTGCAAGTAAACCACTTTTAGATGCATCACAACTAAACTGCACCATTCAAAGAATAAGTGTGTTCTAGGTGTGAACATTATATTTAAATCTCTGCAGTGACCCCAGCCCCAAGCTCTAGTCCATCACGTGGCTCCAGCATGCAAAATGGACCCACCTCCGACCCTCAGAACACACACGCCCATTATAGCAGCGACAACGATGAGGACTCGGGCACAGAGGACGAAGCCCTCCAGAAAGAAATTAGTCGTCTCAGAGAAAAGTGTGTTATATTAACTCACCATCTTAGTTACCAAAATCTCTCCTTTATTTTGCTGAAGCACAGCTCTCATCATTCCTTCTGCAGACACATGATGGAGATTCAGTCCTTGCAAGCTCGTCAGAAGGAGGAGATAGAAGCTCTGTACACGCGAATGGGAAAAGATCCTCCGTCCGTCTTTTCTCCTGCTGTCGCTATGGCCGGAGGTCGACGTAGGACCAAAAGCAAAACCTACAAAGGTCGCAGCAGTGGACAGCCCAGTCCCATACACTCAGGTCTGTGTGGAACATTTAGTTTTAATAAGTGATGGAAGATTCAGAATATTTTCCTGGGAAATGTCAACTTATTTTTTGGTACCTTCTGATCTGGACTTCAGCTCAGATTCTTGGATCTGAGTCTTCTCCAAAGCAGGGTTTACCTTCTGCCACAGAAGCAGCAGTAAGCAGGATGCCTATAGAACGTTTCACAACGTCTCCATCTCTGCCGATTCTCAGCAGCGTCTCTACTGGTATGTTGCAGCTCCCATTCTACTCCTTAATTCACTTTCTGACTCACATCTCACTCATTCTTCTGTGTTTCCAGGATCAAGTGGGACCAGCTCCACAAATGGATCTGGTCTTTGTCAGAATGTCTCTACTTCAGTTTCCCAGGTGACTGGACTTCCTCCTTCTGGCTCTCAGACTCAGAAGGGGAAGGGCACCTTTACTGACGACCTACACCAACTGGTGGATAACTGGGCCAGAGATGTTATCAGCTTGTCCCAGTGCAAGAAGGGGCCTAAAACTGGAGCACAAACCACGCTTGAACATGAAGTAGGCTTCCAGGATTAAAAATACAGCTGTCTTAAAGCAATTATAACAGTTTTTTAATTGTATGTTTGGTATTTGTGTTTGATTTTACAGGTTATTCCTTCAGGCAACGTGGGCCGTAAGTTTTCTGCTCCAGGCTACCTCTGCCCCGCACCCACACCCTCCAACAACACATCCACCACCACCACTCATCTCTCCAGCACTACCAATCCTACAGCCTCTCTGGGGCCCCGTAAAGGCTCTCTGCAGCCAGTCGCCCAGAGCTTTGGATATGCCTCTGGCCCCTACAGTGCTCCTCAGTGGGCAGGACCCACAGGCACATGCCAGGTCAGCGTGCATAACCCAGCACAGCCAGTAAAACAATACCAGCCACAGACAACAGCCTCGTCAATTCACCAAGGCTACCACATGGGAGCAACACCAACCAACCAGATGTCAGCCAGTCATGGAGGGGCCAACCTGAGGCCCACGTAGCCCAGATGGATCCCTCTTCAGGCTGAGATGAAGGGCCAAACAGGGAAGAGAACTCAGACCGCCGCCGATCGAGAACCACAGCCTGCTTGCTTTCTGCTGATTACCCGGCTTTATAGAGCTTTTTTTATTATTATTATTTCAACTTTTAACATTGTTTATCATTTCTAGTGAAGAGATGACCTGTGTGGTTCGAGCCGTCTCAGGTAGATCAAGTCTATCTGGCAGAAGAGTGCAATATACACCCACAGCACCAACGTCCCCATATTTAGCCCGCCATTAGCTGTGGAAACAAGCTGTGATGAAGGTGGTTGTGTCCTGAAATGCACCAAAGGCGTAACCAAAAGCTGCCAAAGGTGTCTTGAGAGCAGATGTTGCAATATTGTCATTCCTTAGAAGGGGAGAGGAAATGAAGGGATATTCGTTCACATCCAGACTGATGAGATAGATCTGACAGAACCTGTTTAATGAAGTGGTATCAGTGAGTGAAAGGAGAATGTAAGTGTACAGAAAGAGAGATAAAAGTGGGACAGCGAGTTTGTCCAATAATGAGATGGTGTTGGGTTAAGAGAAGAAAAATGTCGGTAAGTTAGACTCATTCATAGGGTTGCAGTACGAATAGATCCCAGTGACTACTACGTATGATGCAATAATAGTGAAGTAGATGAAATGTCCCTTGTAACTGTGGCCTTAAATCCTCCCCCGAAAACATTTAAACATCGGCTTTGTATATAGAGATTTCTCCACTGGGTTACGATTCTGTATTTAACATATTTCTGTCTCTGTGAGAGTCTGGTGGTGGTGTGATTTAAGTTTTCTATCGTACAGATTTATTTCTGCCACATTAGACCATCGTCCTGGTGTTGACCGCCATGTTTGCAACTGACAAAGTGACGCTGCTGAAGTTCCCAGTCCGGGCAGACTGGTGTGTTTCCAACAGTTGTGATACGAACTGTGAAGTGTGCTCATATCTAGGATGGTATTTATACAAATGTTTCAGTTTAACAGGAAGTGTCACTAAACATGTCTCCCATCAAAAGTGTCCTGGGGGGTGTTTTCTCTGTGGTCTGGTTTTGTATGCGTATATTTAATACAACAGACGATGTTCTTTATGGACCTGTATTCAGTCATCAGATTTTGATGTTGTTTCACTGTAATTATTATTAAAGGTTGTTAAACAACATGTAGTTAAATATAAAAAAAGTGCAATTGCAGGGTTGTTATGAATATCCTTCTCACCATGCAGGAATAATCGTGTCATTTATTAAGCTCTTCTTCAGCCCTGCACCCCTTTTCTATTGTTTTTGTATATATGCTAGTGAGGTAAATGCTTTCACTTCTCCGTCACTAGAGTATGCTTGTGGTGACCCACTCAAAATGCACACGCACTCTAACCCATAGATACAAGGAACACTTAGTGCCTTGCACCCTTACTAATAGGTTCCAGATTAATCCAGTCCACCAGCTGTGGCTGCTGCAGAACCAGTAATCGACGTTAAACTCCAGTTCAGAGCATGCAACACTGAATCCGACGCCAGGACTGCAGAACAAAGAGCACACGGAGTAAAGTGGGAAAAAAAGGTTTCTTTTCTCTACATTTGTGTTGGCTGCCTATTTATATTTGGCTCATGGTAACGTGGATTTTGCTGACATTTTTTGTGGATTTATTATTAAATTATTTCATGGGAGCACGTGTTCAAGTAGCGACTGAGCTGTACAAAGGTTCAAGTCATCCTGCTGACTCAGCTGTTGTCTCACCACCTCGCAGGAGTGCCATGCTGCTGTTGACTCTTTTCACCTGCTTGTAGATTGAATTATCTTCTCTAGAGAAAAAAAAAAGTTACTGCAATGCAGAATATGCAATGTTTAAAGTTTTATAGGGAGTAAGGGGTGTTTGCATTTGCATGCTGATGTGGTGATACCATCTTTAATGTTTTTGATATCAGAAAAAGGTTGGGTTTATTTTTATTTTGCTTTTCCTTGGAATATTGGAAGATGTCCGGCAGTCATCTTTTCAGTTTCACAGGCACAACTTCAGCATCTAAATATCAGCATACAAGCTCTGCATGTTTACTTGACTGGTGTTTAATCTTGCATTAAAAACTTAACTCACCACTGTACAGCACAGAACTGCAAAAGGTTAAGATCCGTGAGCTCATATGTCCACTCAGAACCGCTCCAGGCCACTGAAACAGTTTAACTCTCATTTCTGATCTCTCCAGACTCCTGTGGTTCCACGTCTGTTTTGTGTATGTTTTTCACATTGTACAAAATGTAAAAAACAAATAAAAATATCAAATACAAAACTTATTTATTTGTCACATTATTTGGTGCAACGGTTACCATTTCCCTGCTAATTATTAAAGCACGTTTAACGTTAGAATAAAACATTAATAGCAGCTGTTTGGTGCAAATCTCACTTTAAAGTAAATAAAAAATAAATACAAGTTAGCTGCTAGATCACACATTTTGAGTTGTGTGAATCTCAAGGGTCCAATCTGCGTTTTTTCATCTGCTGCCCTTGTCTGCACGGACTGAGGGTTTCACCTGAAGCCTGATCTGGTCTCCCCTGATGAGGGGTCTGGTGGTGGGGTCTGTAGGGCTGGTGTGCTCTGCTGCAGGACGAAGCCTCTGGAGGTTTGCTTTGAGCTCTCTGGGGAGTTTTACTGCGCGTCTGCATTTTGTGATTCCCAGGAGTGCTGGGCCTGGACCCTTTGGAAGGAGATTCACCAGGACCATCCAGTTCCTCAATACCATCCAGAGTGAAATCCCAGAGATCTGGATCATCTGTAGAGAATTCAATATGTGAGAGGAACGTCCAACTGAGCAAGAGCGACACAGGTTTACAGCACCTGTTAAATCCTTGCTGCTGGAACTTCCGTTTTCAGCTGTGGCGCTGCTGGTAGCAGGCTCACTACCTGTAAGAAAATACATTAAATTGGGATTTATTAAAATATAAACATAAAATGAGTAAATCTCAGTTCTCTGATAAGGTTTCATAAGTGTGTCAGATCCACCTGTAACACGTTGGAGGTCACTGACCAAAGTTAAACATGAAACTATGAACAGTCTTCTGTTAAATTTGGTCTGATTAATAATCACTTTTTGCGATACTTGCAAATTAGAGATTTTTCTCGTAAAACACTTGCTAATTTTCCAACTCTTTTGTCTCCTTCCTGTTTAGATTTCTTATTAAGGGTTAATATGGTGAAAAATAATAGAATATAATTTATTTATTCCTATATTATGGCTAGCTACAACATTTCTATTTCACATATTCGAGAACAGTGGGGAAAATGACTTGGAAGCCCGATTATCAGATGAGGAATGGGATAAGGCTTCTTCCATTTGCTCAAGACATGAAAGTATTACATAGACTGCACTTTTCAAACGTTAAATTAGCAAAAATATTCCCAAACACTGATCCATTGTGCGACAGATGTAAACAAACTCCAGCAACCTCCTGTCACATGTTCTGGTCTTGTTCAAAATTGTCTCCTTTCCGGTTGTTGTTGTTTTTTTTTTAAGTTATCTCTAACGCTTATTCTTACAAAGTCTCACCTCCTTTGTTGGCAGATTTTGGTTGTTTTTCCAGTACGAGACCTGTACCACCAGCCCATTTAAAAAGAGTCACTGCCTTTGCCTCTTTACTAGCCACACGCTTGATTTTATAAAAATGGAATGATTCTATCCCTCCATCACAACACCACTGGATCACAGACGGTTATGCAAAATGTTAAACTGGAAAAAATCAGATGTACACTCGATGGCACCATCAATTAATGCCACGAAACCTGGGACCCTTTAAGAACCTATGTTGATAATCTACCGGGCTAACCTGGACCTTTGATCGCTTCCACCTGCCCCATATCAGTCTTGTAACTACTAAAGTTTAGTGCACTTTTTTTGGTGTTCAATGTTAAACATGAAACTTTTACCTCCGGAGGATTTACGTCTAACAGCAACCTCTGCCTCTTCAGAGTTTTCCTGTTTCTGTTGCAGCTTCTTTGCCTCCATCTCTCTCCTGAACTTCTGCTGAAGCTGCTGCTGTCGGAGCTTCCTCAGCTGTTTGGGGTCCGTGTGTGCTTCAGAGACGACATCGACAGAGTTCACGGCATATCTTAGAGGAGAGGAGAAAAGCAACTATGGTGGATGACCACTTGTAAAAGAGAGAAGCAGATTGAGAGCCGTTTGTAATGTTTACTTGATGTTCTCATTCACCCCGCTGGGAGCAAAGCCAGCAGCTCCAGGGGTGTGAACTTCTGAATGGTTCTGGTAGAATAATCTGGGCTCTAGTGGCATTCGGGCAGGTCCGGCTTTTAAAAGTGAATCTTCCTGGACCAGACTGAAGAGCCGAGCCTTCTCTACTGATGGCTGACCGTCGCACCGTTTAGTCTGGGTCGGGTCAGGAGGAGGAGGAGGCTTTGTGTAGAAGAAGTCAAGTTTTAGAAAATTTTATGGATTTGAATAATCCAATTTAACAAAAAACCTAAATTGCCGACTGACCTGTTTTGGGATCTTGTTTATGGCGAGGAGGTAATCTTTATTTAGGATGCAGTTTCCAAGGGCATTACCAAAACATCTCAACATGAGAAATAATATTTTTGAAGAGTTACACAAATTTCTCGCATGAATCAAAGTTACTAAATATAAATCTGTAAAGGTCTTTACCTCAGTGCTCTCTTCATTCCATCTGTGACAGCTTCCTTTCTCGCCTTTTCTAGGGACAGAGCTTTGGACCTCAGCCCCTCACTCACTCCGTATCCCACATCCTCATGAAACGACCCATCCTAGGAAAGAAAAAACACCAGTTACACTTTACTTCGATTACCTGTAGAGGCTCACAGGAAACTGGAGCTGATGATTAATATTGATGAGACTGTGAGTCAACCTTCAGCTGCACTTTGACAAACGCACTGACTCCTACATAAAACTTCCCATTGATCAGGTCCACAAAGTCTGGAAAAGAAAAAAAGAAGTCATTTTTATAACACGTTAAAACGTAAAATATTTGAAGGATCCATGTGCAAATGATTATTTCTGACTGTTTTTCAGCAAGTAATAGTTTTTAGGCACTTGTTGCAAATGCAGATGAGTCGTACCAACATTCTGCTGGGAAATGGAATGCGACCATCCATTGTATCCAAACATCTCATTGGCCAGGCTGACAACACGGTGGCCTTCAATGTAACACACCTGTTTAAAACAACACTATTAGATCATTACAATACCTTTTTAATGATCAGTAAATTCAAATCCCATCAGGAGACTTGGGTTTTGTGCTGAGACATGTTTTCTGCTCAAGCTCTGAATCTCAAGCTTCATGAATGAAACCAGGCGTCTCACGTTTTTGTCACAAAGTAAAAGAAACACTTGCTTTTTGTCCCCCTCCAGCCACTCTGGAACTGATGTACTCTGGTCCAAGTTTCTGTTGCAGGGCATTTTGCACCGCCTGGTACTCCTCAGCTGTGTAGGTGCACTGAAAAAGTCAAACAAATTCATCTGACAAAACCTGAGCATCTGTGGGATTAAAACACTCATTATTTATTAATCTAATATTATAATTTAAGTGTAATTCGATTGAAAATTCATCTAAAATAGTTTCGAGTTCTGCAATTGTTTGATTTATTTACCTGTCCGAAGTGCCTGGATGACGTTGGGATGCATCCCTCGTTGTTGCTCGTCATAGCTGTGCAGACATACTGAAACACACATACAGCAAAACGAAACAGTAACACTCATTAGTGTCTTCTAGGCTTTTGAAACAACATTTAACAAAACAAATACTTTACTTAAACATAGAAGTGACTCGTTGGGTTTAAGCTTTAGTCTTCGTAACTAGCTCAACCTAGCTAAAAGCTGCTAATAAAAAAACGAGTAAACGTAAACTCACTGCTTTAAATCCAATAAATGTGGTGTTTACGTCAAATTAGCACGAAGGTGTTAGCTAGTTTAAATTTACAAGCAACTTCCCGCTTGGCTCACCGGAAGAGGCGGAGCCTCGTGCTGCCTTCCTGACAATCGGAAAATTAACCCTTCAACATTTCTGCAGAGACACCATTACCTTTTTAATAACAGAATGAGAGGTATTTTTTCCTAACGATTCCGGAGAAAATGTATCAACATAAATAGTAACAAAATAAAGTTGAAGTTAGAAACGAAACGTAGTGATCGTAGTATTCAAAGTCCCACAGTCATCACACAGTGGTGGCGATCTCCGCATTTGACCCATCCAGTGGGAAGCGGCATTATTTGGTGGTTTAACCCATATATATATATAATGAATAACATAAATGGAAACCGTGTTACCTTGCCCGGACGTGGGTCACCGGGGCCCTCCTCTGGAGCCAGGCCTGGAAGTGGGACACGTTGGCGAGTGCCTGGTGGCCGGGTTTTCACCCATGGAGCTGGCCGGGCACAGCCCAGAGAGGAAACGTGGGTCCCCCTTACCTGGGCCCACTCGTGGGAGAGGCCAAAGGGGTCAGGTGCAGTGTGTGACGGGTGGTTGTCGAGGGCGGGGACCTTGGCGGTCTGATCCTTGGTTACAGAAGCTGGCTCTTGGCACATGGAATGTCACCTCTCTGGTAGAGAAGGAGCCTGAGGTGGTGTTTGAGGTGGAGAGGTTCCAACTAGATATAGTCGGACTCACCTCAATGCATGGCTCTGGCTCCGTAACCAGTTTCCTTGAGAGGGGTTGGACTTTCTACCACTCTGGAGTTGCTCACACACACACATATATATATATATATATGCTGTTATATGCTGTTATTGGTTTAAACCCCCCCCCCCCCCAATCCAACCCCTTAATGCTGGGTGTCAAGCAGGGAGGCACTGGGTCCCATTTTTTACCCTCCCACTGTCTTTATGGGTGACCCTGCGAGGAAAGTTGACCATTGAGCAGGATTGATGGTTTATCCCTTGGGCCCATGTGGCAAGGGTGAGGGCAGCGGGAGGGTTAAAGACCCAGGCAGACACTCTACTAGGCCGAGAAGGTAGTAGTAGTAGTAGTAATAGTAGTAGTAATAGTAGTAGTAGTAGTAGTAGTAGTAGTATCGCTCTGAATTAAGTTAATTTTGTTGCTAGATTAGACAATAATTTGGATTTCTGTTGGACATTTTAAAATGTGATTTTAGTTATTTTAGTATTTTTTTTACATCTTTTTTATTATGGTGAACCATAATGTTTGTGTATGTTTACGGTTCCTGGGTCTCTGTTGTCGTTACATCACATTTTAAAATATGAAATACTTTCGCATCCCTTCAAAGTTTCATTTTTAATTCCAGTAATACAATTTTTTTAAAACATTTTTATTTACATTCTGGATAATTCTATCACGGGTTTCCAGCTTCAGAAACACGGCCACTAGCTGTATTCAACGGATCTATGAATTCTGCTCTATAAGAAAAATCCTGAAAGAAAATATCCGCCATTGAGCTTAAACAAGCTGTTTTGGTAAACTAAAACAAATCTGCACAGGCCAAAGATCCCCCATAGCGATGATCTGCAGTTATTCCATGCTTAATTCAGTCACTTAACGTTTCACAAATAAAATTATGAATTTTAAAATTCATTATTTTATTTGATTGTTTTTAAATTACTGTATTTATTGTATTGCATGTGGTTTTGGTTTTCCACCACAAAAGCATAATGGGCCCATCTGCATTAGCAGATCGTTGCTTATTTCCTCCCTTTTTGTAAAACCACAAAAAAGCCAGACCTCCTCCTGCTGTCTGGCTATCTGTCTGCACACCTCCGGTCTGTCTGTAGTCCACATAGTTCTTATGGCGTTTAAAGCGTGCCACAACCCGTGCACGCGCATTGGGTCCACAGCGCGCGTGTGAACGGGACTCGCGAGCGGAAATATACATGGCGAGAGGTCATTTGTGCACTGAGAGGGAGCAAACTGTGTCTGTGAGCGCACAAGGATGTGCACAAGTGACAAACCTGCGTGCGCGCGTTGTCAACGAGCACACGGCAGAGGAAAACGTGCGCGCGCGGCAGCCTCTGTGCGCGCTCGGCAGCCTCTCTGCGCGCTCGGTTTCTGACTCCTGCTCGCTCGGCTGTAAGGGTTTTGGCACTCTGGAGGCGTGGCCTGTGGCAGATCTCCTCTGTCCTCTGATTGGTTAGTGTACCCCGCACTTTACCCTCTACCTATCTATATAAAAAAGTCTACTAGTCAAGTAGTTGCTGGCATAGCTCAGTTGGAAGAGCGGGTGACTCTCGCCCCGGAGGATCCGGGTTCGAGGCCGGGCAAGGAAAATGCAGTAGATGTCATGTTAATTTTTCTTAATTTCAGGTATTTTACAGTTGTGACCGTTCAACTGTCATTAAACGTCCGAATGTTTGCTGGGCAGTGTTTTAAAAAGTGCACATAAGCTAGATGGTTTTAACCATATAAAATTACATTTTTTGTGATACTGGAAAAATACATACTGAAATAAAACTACTGATTGAAAACTTTATGACTGTGGTTGTACAATATATGACTCACTAATACACTGCAAACTCCCTTAGAGTGGGGCTTCCAGAGAGAGAGAGAGAGAGAGAGAGAGAGAGAGAGAGAGAGAGAGAGAGAGAGAGAGAGAAAAGTTCTTGCCTCATTAATGAATTGTTTATTTTTTTCAGTATTTAATTGACAAATTATCCTTTCAAATAATTAATTGATGAGTTACATAATTGTCCATTTAGAATTGTTGAATGGACTGAGTCAAGTTTGGTGCACTTTATATATTTCAAAACATGTTTTTTTTTTTTTTTTAATGATGCATATAAATAATTTAAATGTTAATTTAATGAAATATTTCTATTTTTTCATTACCTCACCCTTGTTTTGACAAAAACGGGACCTTGCTGGATAATATCATGGAGAAACTATTTGTTCACAGTACATGGCTCAGTGAGGATCTGTGTAAAGGAGGAGATACTCAGAAATCTGTCTGCAGATTGTTACAACCCAGACTGGAAGTGGTGGGCTGTAATAAGAAAGGAGACCAAACAGAGGAGTGGGGGTTCAACAACTGATTTATTTAACAAAAGTAAGGATTTACTAAAGCAAGTTAGTGAACAGAAAATGGCCATCTCAAGGTTTTACTCGGATGTCCCTCAGCAGGGTGCAGCACTGTTGAAGGTCATCTGAATGAAAGCTTGATATGCAGTTTCTTTATGAAAGTGTGTAAATATACAGTGTGGTTGCCGTACATATGTTGAGGTTCTCAGACATCAGGCTTCTTTGCCCAGGCCTTCTCTAGTGGGCTATTTTAAAAGTTGGTAAGGAGAAAAACCACAGCATATAGCTGATTGTTTACAAATGCAAGGAGGGGAATAACAATCAAAATGCTTGTGTTCTTGGACCAGATGAATGGAGCGCTCCACATGCACTCAGAGATGTTATGGCTTCTGTTTCTATAACTTTACATGCAGACATTTGAGGTTTGCCAGAAAGGAAAGCTGGCCTGTACACTTTGCAGGGCACAATGTCATCAATGAAGAAACCCCTGTCTACCAAGATGACCATCTCTAGTTGTAGCATTTTCAACACACCAGATTCCCAGGTTGGTCGCTGATAGTTCCAGCATACAGTGCTGAGACAAAGGTCACTGGCCTATGTGGCACAATCCAAATGAGCCTCTTCAGAGTGCAGTTGAACTTGAGGAAAATATATGACTCTGGAAGAGAGGGGAATATGGCCATTGACACCTCAGATCAGTGCAGTCAAGAATTACTGGTGTTTGGGTAGTCCTGAACGTGTTGTGATGCCCCCACCATCTCATTGGGTTTTCATTTGTGTTTAATTGTCTTTTTCTTCTGTTGTAGGCAGCTGGTTAAGCAGCCTTGGAGGCACCTGGGCTCAGGGTGTGGTGCTGCCTACAAAGCCTACTGTTTTTCTGCTTTCACTGGGTCTCTCCTGTGTGGTGGAGAGTCCTCACTGGCCATTTTCTGTTCACTAACTTGCTTTAGTAAATCCTTACTTTTGTTAAATAAATCAGTTGTTGAACCCCCACTCCTCTGTTTGGTCTCCTTTCTTATTACAGCCCACCACTTCCAGTCTGGGTTGTAACAATCTGCAGACAGATTTCTGAGTATCTCCTCCTTTACACAGATCCTCACTGAGCCATGTACTGTGAACAAATAGTTTCTCCATGATATTATCCAGCAAGGTCCCGTTTTTGTCAAAACAAGGGTGAGGTAATGAAAAAATAGAAATATTTCATTAAATTAACATTTAAATTATTTATATGCATCATTAAAATAAAAAAAAAACATGTTTTGAAATATATAAAGTGCACCAAACTTGACTCAGTCCATTCAACAATTCTAAATGGACAATTATGTAACTCATCAATTAATTATTTGAAAGGATAATTTGTCAATTAAATACTGAAAAAAATAAACAATTCATTAATGAGGCAAGAACTTTTCTCTCTCTCTCTCTCTCTCTCTCTCTCTCTCTCTCTCTCTCTCTCTCTCTCTCTCTCTCTCTCTCTCTCTCTCTCTCTCTCTCTCTGGAAGCCCCACTCTAAGGGAGTTTGCAGTGTATTAGTGAGTCATATATTGTACAACCACAGTCATAAAGTTTTCAATCAGTAGTTTTATTTCAGTATGTATTTTTCCAGTATCACAAAAAATGTAATTTTATATGGTTAAAACCATCTAGCTTATGTGCACTTTTTAAAACACTGCCCAGCAAACATTCGGACGTTTAATGACAGTTGAACGGTCACAACTGTAAAATACCTGAAATTAAGAAAAATTAACATGACATCTACTGCATTTTCCTTGCCCGGCCTCGAACCCGGATCCTCCGGGGCGAGAGTCACCCGCTCTTCCAACTGAGCTATGCCAGCAACTACTTGACTAGTAGACTTTTTTATATAGATAGGTAGAGGGTAAAGTGCGGGGTACACTAACCAATCAGAGGACAGAGGAGATCTGCCACAGGCCACGCCTCCAGAGTGCCAAAACCCTTACAGCCGAGCGAGCAGGAGTCAGAAACCGAGCGCGCAGAGAGGCTGCCGAGCGCGCACAGAGGCTGCCGCGCGCGCACGTTTTCCTCTGCCGTGTGCTCGTTGACAACGCGCGCACGCAGGTTTGTCACTTGTGCACATCCTTGTGCGCTCACAGACACAGTTTGCTCCCTCTCAGTGCACAAATGACCTCTCGCCATGTATATTTCCGCTCGCGAGTCCCGTTCACACGCGCGCTGCCATGTATATTTTCGCTCGCGAGTCCCGTTCACACGCGCGCTGTGGACCCAATGCGCGTGCACGGGTTTTGACAGGGGTATGACGCGATAAGTTCTGCTTTACCCCAGAGACTGTAGAAAAAGATATTACGATATTAAAATTACCAACCCAGCCCTCACGCATTTCTGTTGAAACCTGTTTACATAGGCTACAGGTATAATACTGCAATAACCACAAAGCGCGTTCGCGTGCTTTATGCCCGCGTCCAGGTTTTCTCTTTTTTTTTTTTTTTTTTTTGCATCTCGTCAAAACAAAGCGGGGGCGAGCCGCAGCCAGAGAGCGAGCGAACGGCGGTTCCTGTCTCATGAATGAGAGGTCGGACCTTCCGTCCTCCTGCTCCCTGATGCCCGCAGGGCTGCGCACACTGGCGGGGAAGAGCCGTGGAGCCTCCGGCCGATGAGCCCGTACTGCAATCGCTGGTTTCTCCGTGCTACATGCCCGCGTCATCCCACCGGGAGCAACACGAACAGGAACGGTGAGTGCGGGCTGTCGTGGGCGGGCTGAGGGCGCGTTACACACGGCAACTTTGTGGCCATTGTGCTCCACTTTTAACACACCGCTGTTTATAATAATACGCTTATTTCTGCGTGCGTGTCCTCTCGGCGTTGTTTACTCCAACAGGATGCTCCGTTCTTTCATTTACAGGTACGGATAAATAAAACAGAAAATAAAAGCTACACGTACGCACGACTGTGAATCCCCCTCTTTAGGATAAACCACTCCGCCAGCGCGTCTGGTCTGATCGATTAGGGATTTTTAATGTGGAGTAAGCGATGTGTTTATGAATACGTCGGAAGAAAAGGGAATTAAAAGTGGCATCGATCGGATCTGAGTACAGCAGACGAGGAGAAGGAAGATGAGGAGGAGGAGGGGAGAACAAAAGCAGAAATGCCCAGACTGGCGTGGCATTTCATTTAGTGAGAGCACTCAGTGTTTCTGAGAGATCTGACGCAAATACAGGCCAGGACTTGTGAAAACGCAGCCCGTTTACCACTAAACTAGAGAAAGGTGTCACGTTGGTGATTATTCTTTGTGCCAGAGCAGGGGACATATGTCTCCACAGGGAGACACCCTAGCCTGCACTGTAACTGTAACTGTTAGGCCACACTCAGCTTTTACAAGAACCACTCACTCACACATTTCCTCTTTTTTCACTGTCTGATGTAATGTGGGATTCCAGTAAAGCTACATATTGGAGTCTGATTGCTAAATTCTCCCGTTGACACAACAGAACACAAACAGACCTGTAAAGAAACAGAAATAGGTTTGCTTGCATGCATTTATTTATTAAGGTTATTCTCCCTCTAAGGGAATTGAAAGCATCCTGTTAATCCTGCCTTAACCATTTTGCCATCAGTTCATCATCTCCCCCTCCTCCTCTGCTCAGATGCTTGATGGACTCCGGCGGAGGCACGCCTCCCGGTCCTCCCCCAGACCCCTTTCCCTCAACTTCAGCACCTTCTCCGCCCCTCCTCCGAGTCCGGACATGGGCTGCAGCAGCAGCAACGGAAACGAGCACCCAATCAGGAGGTGAGGATCAGTTTCCGCATGGGATTAACATTTCACAACATGCAGCATCCTTGGAGGGGTGGGGGGGATGCATGAAATATTTATTCATTTATTCTGGCCCCAGATGATTTTCTTAACCAGCTGAGCTTCAACACACGCTGGCCTGATAATGATACGGTTGGCTGATTGCTCATCTCTTTGTGTGTGTTTATCACATCAGTTTGTGCCTTGTTCATGTTTTGTGCGTGTGGGTGTGGGGAGAGGGTCTGTTGTTTACGGCCGTGCTGTCAGCAGCAGACTTTCAGGACTGCGTGGGTGATCAGGACTCATCGTGTCTCCTCTTTTCAACAAGTAGCTCCTGGAACTAAAACAAACTTTCTTTTAATTCGTGTTTTATGTTTTAAAACATGATGGCGCTAAAACATTACAATCAGGGTACGTACTCCGGAAACAAATGAGGATTAGAGAATCACGTCTCCTACAGGGGTTGTCCCATATAGAGATGGAGCAATAAATCAACCAAACAGCATCAAACACACCCTAGTTTTCCCTTTTAGGCCTGATGGAAAAAACACTGATCTCTCTTATTCTCACTAAGATATTCTAAATTTAGGGAAATCTTGTGGGGACGTAAACTTCCTGTCTCTCTTTCATTGTGCTGCTTTTGTTATCCTGGACAGCTCATGGCCAGCTGTGGAGGAAAACCCTCTTGTCCCATATTGTATCTCTGCTTCCTATCCCGTTTTTTTGCTGTTGTCAATAAACCAAACAACTTCCTCCTTCTCCTCCCCCTGCTTTCAGCGCAGCTACTGCTTCAGGTCTGCTTATCCTGCAGATCCACTGGCATCTGCATAAATATTTGTTTGCATCAATGGCCGTATTGTACTGACAGGAGAAGGAGGACGAGTGTGCCCCCAGCAGAGCATGAGCTATTGTTTTCTGCTGTTCTGAGAGCTCAGGCGGCGCAGTGACACTGTGCTTCACCTCCCAGCTGGACTCCACCCATCCTGCTCTTAGCGCAGAGCCCCGTCTCTCACCATGCACCACTCTGTCCTACTTCTCTCCTCCTCTGTCACCGGCTGCTCTTTGTTTCATCTCTTTCTTTCTGCTGTTATTCTCCTTCCAGCGATCTCCTCCTGTTTCCTCTGTATATGTCGGCTCACTGTCTGACCTTCTCCCTCATCTTCTGTCCTCTATCCTTCCTTCACGTTTACCTGATGAGGACCCTGCATCGGCTCAAGCTGATGAGCTCTCCAAGTCTCAGCGAGCTCGGGAGGAGTGAGAAAAGTTCACCAGAGGACAGAGGGGAGAAGCAGAAGCGAGCGGGAGCCAACGCCACCTGGAACAGGTACACCTGATGATGCAGTCCAGATGGGAAGCAAGCAGATTTTAGTGCCGTGACCGTTTTTATACATTGTCCTTCTGTTGCAGCATCCACAATGCTGTCATAGCAGTCTTCCAGAAGAAAGGCTTGGCTGATAATGAACTTTACACACTTAACGAAGGCGTCCGGTAGGTTCAGTTACACACACACAGACGCATGCACACACATACACAGACACACCATGAGAAAATAGATATTTTAGGGTGCTGATCTCATTTTGTGCTATAATGTGTGTAATTACAGTCTGTTTTGTGATTGCTTTGCTGCTGACTGGATGTTTTCTTGTCAATGACCTTGTTTGTGTTTGTGATGTATGTGTGTGTGTGTGTGTGGGACGGAGGAGTCATGTGGTCACAGCAGATATCTCATTATCTTCCTGAAGCAGACCCATCACTTTTATCTGGCTGTTAGAGTTAAAATATGCGCAGAGAAGCCACAGAGACACTGGCACACAGTGAGCATTATGTACTGTAAAGATGGCAGGCTGTTTTCTTTTGTTTTTGCTGGTTTACATATTTTGGTTTTACCAAATCTTGAAGTTAAACTGAGTAAAATGTTTCACTTCAGGCCTTTACACAGTTCCAAAATATTTTATTATGTTTTAGTAAGTAAGCAGTGGCGTCCCCATAAAAGTTTTACGGGGGGGTCGTGGAAATTTTGGGGTGGCACACCAAATTGGTCCCTATGGTAACTCTAGGGGAGTTTAGCCTGTAGCTGTGCATTGCATAGGGAGCCTAAAGGTTGGTTTATGCTTGACGCGTCCGCGAGGTCCGCACGGCTCCGCGCGGAAAAGTTGCGTCATTTTAACAATCACGCCCCTCCACCGCGCCTCCGCACGGCCCAGAATTTCCGCAACGCGCACCTCGGAAAATTTCAAACCACGCGGACGGACATACGCGGAAAAACATGGCGGACTGGCAAGAACTAGTATGGCAGAGGTTCGTAAATACAGACATTTGTATGATTCAGCTCTCAGAGGTCACCGTGATCAACATGTTGTTAATAATTCTTGGAGAGAAATAGCTCGCACTGTCGGAAAAGACGAGAACGCTGTTAAAAATGCTGAAATGCCATGTTGATGATGTTGTAAACAGTAATTTCTACTTCTACTGTGGTGTAGTGTTGGATGCATGCCGTAGAGCTCCATGCTGCCCCGTTCAGTTTGGGAGAATATTGGCTCACCGCAGAGATGAGCCGCACGAACCATAAAAGCTGCGAGTTGTGAAGCGCGTTCCATCCGCGAGCCGCATCACCGCGCGGAAAGTGAATGCGTCAAGCATAAACCAAGCTTAATGGGCCATTCCCATCTGTACCTGGTCGGCCCTGCCCGGATAGCTCCAGTTGGCCCGGTTGATTCCACACATCCTTGCTTAGGTATGCAAGGAATGCAGTCAGAGACACTTTCAGCTTCTAGGTGATCAGCATGATAATGAATGATAATGAATTGAGCATGCCTTAAGCCCATGTGGCTGATTCGACCCACCAATCAGAGGCTTGCTCTAATGGAAGGTGTGAATTTGCTGTCAGCAGTGGGTGTGTTGGCCCTGGTCAGCCTGAAGCAGACCACCTCAGAAAAGCCCCATTCCCATCTGTACCGGGTCGGCCCGGGCCGGGTAGCGTAGGTTGTTTACATATCTGGGTGGCCTGGAATTTTCCCAGGCCAACCAAGGCTCATTCTCAGCCCTCTTCTCGAGGGGGTCTGCTTCAGGCCGACCAGGGCCAACACGCCCACTGCTGACAGCAAATTCACACCTTCTATTAGAGCAAGCCTATGATTGGTGGGTAGAATCAGCCCACATGGGCTTAAGGCATGCTCAATTCATTATCATTCATTATCATGCTGATTACCCAGAAGCTGAAAGTGTCTCAGACTGCATTCCTTGCATACCTAAGCAAGGATGTGTGGAATCAACCGGGCCAGGCTGGGGCCGACTGGTGCTACCCGGCCTGGGCCGACCCGGTACAGATGGGAATGGCCCAAAAGAGGGCTGAAAAACAGTCTTGTTGCACCCTGAAAAAAGGCAGGCCACCAAGATATGCAAGCAAGCTATGCTATCCGGGTCGGGCCGACCAGGTACAGATGGGAATGGCCCATTAGTCTACTTCTACACCATGGGTCCCCGGAAGAAGTCAAATGGGGCTTGTCCCCCCCCGAATGAAGGATGACACTTTACTGATGAAGTTTTGGATTTTATGACGTTGACCCTCAATTTCACCGTAAGATCTGGAGATGTGTACAGAAAAAAAAAACATGTAAATAGATCCACACTCTTACATCAATACAACTGTTATTAACTGTTTACAACATACACCATAAATTACAATTTCCTTAGCTTTAAAAGATAAATCAATGCATTTGGATCTAACCATTTTATAATGAAAAAAAATATTTAAAACATTAAGTACATTAATTTTCTAAGGTTGGCCATGGCCCCTCTCCTGGGCTCCTCTTGGTGTAATTAAACATCTTGATTATTTGTTTTCTCAGACATCTATTGAAAACTGAGCTGGGGTCGTTTTTCACTGAATACCTTCAGGTAACACACCTCTAATTCCTATAATTATTTTGACTTTACATTGAAACTGCTTTAATGTAAGACTGTATTTCACATGATTCTTGTTGGTTTTTCTCAGAACCAGCTGCTGACTAAAGGGATGGTCATCCTACGGGACAAAATACGGTTCTATGAAGGTATGACTGGATCTCAGGGAGCTGTTTCTAACAGACATCACCAGTGAAGATGGTCTAATCAGCTCTTTTTACTCATTTGTCTGCGATTCGTGCAGGTCAGAAGTTACTCGACTCTCTGGCGGAGACCTGGGACTTCTTCTTCTGCGATGTTCTCTCCATGCTGCAGGCCATCTTTCACCCAGTTCAGGTGTGAAACCACATGAAGAGCCTGCTTGTTTTGCAGTAACCTTTTCCTTACTGTATCTGGAACCTTTCCGTGTTTCCTGCAGGGTAAGGAGCCCTCCGTCAGGCAGCTGGCCCTGCTTCACTTCAGGAACACCATAGTCCTGAGTGTGAAGCTGGAGGACGCCCTGTCTCGTCCACGGGCCCGAGTGCCTCCCTCTGTTACACAGATGTTGCTCATACTACAGGTGAGCCTCCAGAAAGCTGATCCGTGGCCATTTGTGTGATTATTTTGTCGCCCTGGACAACTTATGAATAACACTTTTAGAAGCAGTCCAATTCAAGATGGCCACCGCAGCCAATTGACCAGCATCAGAGGTTTGACCTGTATCATAGATAAATTCCACATTTCGTTGCCTGTCTGTGTGGTTCAGGGGGTCCATGAGTCCCGTGGGGTGAATGAGGAATACCTAAGACTGGAATCTCTAGTTCAGAAGGTGGTCTCCCCCTACCTGGGCACCCACGGCCTTTACTGTGGAGACGAAGCTGAAGATCACTGCTGTGTTTTTGGTAAGGGTTCACCAGAACGGTTTGTATCTATAGAGAGATGAATTGTGACAAATTCCTTTTTAAGATGTAAATGTTGTCCTCCAGAAAAGCGTTTACCTTGGGGCTGGCCAAAGTCTGGAGACCAGCTGTCTAAAAACCCAGTGGTACGATCCAAAAGTTACAATATTCCTTTGCTGCTGACACCGGTGGCTGAATACGACCCAGACGCCAGCTCGGTTGGCAGCGGAGGAATCCGGCGCCACTCAGCTTGTGAGATTATATCATGCCTGGAGGAACAAGGACTGGCCTACTCTGACCTAGCTCCAGGATCTGAGCTGTCCGGCCCCTCCTCCAACAGACTGTGTGTGGGCTCCGAGTTTATTGGTATGACAGACGCTAAGATGTCTTCTTCCTTGTCATTATGATAAAGTCCATAATAACCCGGGGATGCTTCGTTCACAGGAGCAGGAGCCGGTGCCATGGACTTGACGCTGTCATCTCCTTCCATCCTTCATTCCTCAGGACATCTCCATGGCACCGAGGCCACAACAACAGTGACTGATCTAAGCAAGGGGGCATCCTCTTCACCGCTCAGTGACTCATCCAGCCCTGAAACCATAACTGGTCAAGTGCTCGAGTCTGGCTCAGACTCAGACGGGATATTTATCGATTTCCCACGTCTCTCTTCTGAGGCAATGGGGCGCAGCCATGAGGACAGGCAGAGCGCTGTGTAGCTGGTTGTGCAGGAGTCTACAGCAACATCTGAGTTGAAAAATGGGGGGAAACGTTTTTACAACATTTCAACAAATGGGTACCATCTTCCTTTTTACTTTTATACCGTAATATTCAACGACAACTTTTCTTCCAAGTGCTCTCACTGGTGAATGAAAACTTTTTAATTCAGCTGGACACAAATTGGTACTGAATGTTACAGGACTAAAGGTGTGATGGTTCTATTCATTTTTATTATCAATATGACCAAATTTCTCAATGAATTCACACTATTAACAAACTCCAAAAAAGTATCAAATAGTACAAGTTGCACTAATGGTCTTATTTCTTAGACTTTATGTTTATGTTTATTCACTTAGCAGACGCTTTTATCCAAAGCGACTTACAATTCATAACCTATAGGGCATGTTGTGATCTGTGGGGGAAACCGGAGAACCCGGAGGAAACCCACGCATGCATGGGGAGAACACGCAACTCCACGCAGAAAGGCCGCAGCCGAGTTTCAAACCTGCAACCTTCGTGCTGCGAGGCAACAGTGCTAATCACTGCGCCACCATGCAGCCTTATCCCAACTAAACACCGATGGAGCATCAAATATGGATTCATCTGCAAATGCACAGTCCCCATGATCATGTGCAATGGTGCATGTAGTTTGCAGCTACATTTTTTGCAAACAAAAGCCCTTAAAATCGTATTTAGAAGCTACATCTTAAGCATCGTCACAAGTAGGAAAAACAAATTTTCACTATCAGATAAAGGAAAATGTAAATTATTGAGGCTATTTTTAATTTTTTTACTCATTGAGAATTTCCTGTTGAGGTTAAAATTTTTAATTACACTGCAATTTGTGTTTTCTTCTGATGAGGAAATTATTAAAAAAAAATGCCATACTTGTGTCTTTGCTCTGGTTTTTGCTACTTGGTGGCAAAGAGATAATCTGCTCTTAGATTTTCTGCAGCTGTCAGAGTGTCTAATGCAAAATTATCACCTTTGTGACATTTGCTTTTCCATATTCACTTTAGGGATTGACAAATATGATTATTTTTTACATTTGACCAAAACAGGAACATTTCAATTGAATGTTGTTTCTCACACTGTATTTTGCACCACCACTACCATGTAAATACAAGCGTGTTGCTGTTTTTTTTAAGGAAAACTTGATATTGTAAAGTGAGAAATCATTGTAAAATCGAATTAACTTTTAAAAGGGCTTTTTGAATTAATCTTTTTTTAATGATGTTTTACCTCAAGTATTTTGTACCTACTTTTATGACAATCTATGATGTCTATTGAGTTGTATTTGTATTAATTTGTTATACTAGCCTGGTAAAAATAAATGCATTTAAATAATAATTAAAAATATGGAAAAATATGGAATATCTCCTAATTTAAAGTGAACTGTTTTGAAATGTGCATTAGTTATGACAGAAGGAAGTGGGTAAAGAGATTACTGAGGAAAGGGTGAAAAGGAACCTAACATTGAACGGGCTAGTTCTCATTTCATTTATGTATTTACTGCACTGGGATTGTTCTTAAACCAAGTTACTAGACACCCACTTGCATTCATTTAGATCTTTTGATCAGTAGATAATTAGTTTAGTGACCATAAGGACATTTTAAATGGTCATGGGGTGGGGTGGGCTCGGGGGCAAACACCAACAAGAGTTGATAAATCCTGCTTTTATTTTGAAATTTGTCTCCACCGGAAATCAGTTGATCCGGTATTTTAACCGGAAGTCTTAGCAGAATTTAGCAAAAAGCTAACGATATTTACGTGATAACTTCGCTGATAAAAACAATTCATTGACAGTGTGTCGACTTTCGCTTTCTAGATGGAGAATTTTTATTTTAGTTCTTAATTAAAAAAATAAGTTGGCGCGTTCTGCATTCGGGAAAACGCCGTTTAACAGTTAATGTTTGTGCTAATGCTCATATGTAAAATTGATTGTTACACGTTTGAAAGTCTGAACGTTGGTTCTGGACGTAAGTTACTTGTTATTCTCTGCGGGTTTTACTAGAGGAGGACCACAGTGTTTGATATTTTTGTTCTTTCAGATTTCTTCACCCACTTCAGTCTGCGGAAGACCCTGGCTTGTTGCCATTACTTCATAGATGAAGATGTCCCTAGCTCAGCGAGTTCTCCTCTCCTGGATCTTTGCCTTGATATTCCTTATCATGCTGGTCCTCAAGCTGGACTCCAAAATCCATTGGAATTGGTTTCTAATCTTTCTTCCTGTCTGGGCCTTTGATACCATCCTTATCCTAATGCTGATTGTGAACATGGCTGGACGCTGCAAGGCGGACTTTGACCCCCGGGATGGTGAGCAGAGCCTGAAGAGGAGGATCTGGTACCTGATAGCCCTGTTGTTGAAGCTGGCTTTCTGTCTGACACTCTGCTCCCTTCTGGAAAGCATCGCCAGCGTGTTGGTCAGTGTTGTGTGCATCCCTCTTTGGGTGCTAATGGGTGGAGCACTGGTGGAGCTGGGACACAGTGTTTTTCACAGCAGAAGAGATTGAACTTCACTTAAAAAAATCTCATGATTGGAGAATAATTTATAATATTTAAGCCTCTGACTGCTGATGCATAACCGAAGGACAATTATTTACCAAATATTATAAATCCTGTTGTTTACTGCCTGTGAGGAAGTGACTGCAAGCTGCAGATTTAGTGGGCTAGGTGTCCCACTGAGTTCTACACATTGGAAATATATATATATTCCCCCAACAATGGGGACTAAATGGTATTTTCTGCTGGAATTGGTCCTAATTTAAAAGTTTTAAAAACAGATTCACATGGTTTGGTGTATAAATTATTTAAATGAAGTTAGTTTAGTGGTTGTAGCTGGTCATGGTGCAGTTTGTAGACTAGATGTACCATTTGGACTCTGATGTCTATAGTGTTTGTAAGTCAGATCTACCACTTTCAGATTTGGACGATCTAATTTTCTTCTCTAAAGCTATAATTCAGATGGAGCAGAACTCTACTATGCATTCATAATAAAACTTTTACATCTCCAAAACATTTCAAGGATTTAGGGATTTTTCTCAGATGGAAATAAGAAAAAGTTATTGGACAGTACCTGTAGAAATAAATCCCACAATGTCAAGATATTGTAAAATCTCAAGTCTTGACAGGAAATTTGACAATTGTGTTACATTTCAGATGACAAATCTTGATTTTAAAACAAGATACAAAAACACAAAATTAGAGACATTACGTGGTTTTGTCAATGTTTTGAACCATTTATTGAGGTTCTTATCAGAGTATAAATCACACTACCAAGTCTTATCTTAGGAAATAAAATGTATTTACAACAAATATTTCACATACATTGGTTTTCAAATAAAAACAGACAGTAAATGATATAAATAAGTTCTATGGAAAATAAAACTTGTCTTACAAAAAATATATGCAATTTCTGTATACATTTCTCACATTGGTGCTAATAACATCTATGCTGTACAGTTTTGGTACATACAGTATAATTTACAGCCCTGTGAGAGTCAAACAATCCAGTCTGAAAACAACCACTCGTTCAGATTTAGGAGTGATATAACACATAAAAAGGAGTTAGGAGTTCTGTGACTTTCTAATTCAACCTCAACAGTGAATGAAGCCAATTTAAATACAGGGAGGATTTATTTTAAGACTGGCTAGACCGGTATTTCGGATAGGTGCTTTCAGAGCAAAGCTAACTAGTGCACAGGCACTGACACACAGGTCACAACATTTTATATAAAGCCTACTTACATCTGCTAACAAACGTAAAGTGAGCTACTTAGCTTACATTCTTAGATGCAGAAAAAAAATACTTGCATCCTTGTTTCAGGGCATCAAAGCAACGTTTTCACTCTTATGATTTGGGTGTGCTCATGTCCAAAACAAAGGCGGATTTTCTAATTTTAACAAAGCCTAGGCAGATGTTGTACAGTAAAAAAAAAAGAAAAAAGGATTAGACATTTAGACATTCATGTTAAGAAGTCTCTCTGTGTTTGGTGTGTTGTTTTCAGAGGGTGTTTTATCAAGTGCTGCTGTGGTGCAGTGTCCTGTAGCGCTGAAGCAGGCTTCCCCTGAAACGTGTCTTTTACTTTTGGTCCTTTGGAGGACACAGCTGTCCTAGAGTCTGATCCAGACTTTGAGGAAGAACCTCGGGAGTCACTGTGATGTTGAAGTTTAGGTCTAGTGTCTGACAGGGAAAGAGCCAACGTTTGGTGAGCCTCCATAGGTTTAAAAAGGTCAAAGGTGAAGAGCGTCCGTACTGGTTTGTGTTCTGTCTGGGAAGAACTAGAAGCAGGTTTTTTCTTTTCCTCCTTGCTGCTGGCATCCCTCTCTTTTTTACCATCCTTCTTAAGGTGAAGGTTTGAATGTTTGTGTGTTTTGCCATCTTCCTTCCCGGTCTTCCTCTGCAGACTTGCTGTGTTGCTGTCCTTTCCCTCCCTGTGGCTGCTCTTCTCCTTCTTCCCGTGTGAAGACTTGTGTTTATGAGTGCAGGAGTCTCGAGCCTCCTCTCTGTCTGGTCGAGAAGAAGGAAGTGCCGCCTGTGAGCCTCCTCTGACTTTGTCATGCTCCTTGTCTTTTTTGGCATTAGGCTGCATTTTAGAGTCCAACTTCTCGTCCTTTTGAGCAGACATGGGGGGCTCTGAGGTCTTACCTTCGTTCTCCTTCATCTGCTGCAGCATCAAAGTGCTCCCCTCTCTAACCTCCTGCTCTCTTACTCTGTCCTTCTCTCTATCCCTGTCTCTTCCTCTGTCTTTTTTATCCCTGTCCTTCTCCTTATTCCTGTCCTTCTTTTCTTTAGTCCTTTCCTTTTCATCTTTCTCTCTCTTTCCTTTATCCTTTTCTCTTTTGATTTGGGGTGAGTTGAAAGTGCTTGCTGTACTTTTCTCTTTGAGAACCTGGCTGCTGTTTTCCTGCTGTTTTTCCTCCCCACCATTTTCCTTCCTAGTTTGCTGTAAAGGCTTTAAGGTTGCACCCTCTGTTCTAGCCTCCTCTGGACCCTTCTGCGGTGTTTGAGCGTCTACACCTCCTCTACCACCCTCTGTTGCATCTTCGGCACTCGTTTCTATTAATATAGGTTTGCATACAATCTCATCTTTTTCACTGTTGACTGACAGTAGCAACCGTGTTGCTGATGACTCCATCTCGCCTCCATCGCCTTGCTCTTCCTCCTTGAGATTCTGTGTTAGTGTTTCTGAGGGTGGCCCCTTCCATCCCTCTACATCCTCCTCCTCCTCCTCCACCTTCGTCACTGTCTGAAGAGCAAGGTCAAACTTATTCCTCTCTTCCTCCTCCTTGATGTGAAGCGATGGGTTTCTTGGTGAACACTTATCCTCCTCCTCTTTTTGCTCATGTTGATGGTACAGCTTGAGTCGGATATGCCAGGCCAGACTGCAGACGGCAGACACGGTCTTGAACTGGTGGACCACTCCTCTGGGAATGAAATAGATGTCGTCGTGGTACAGTTGGATTCGGGCATATCGGATCCCCTCTCTCCTCAGCTGGTTCAGTTTGGCGTCATCGATCCACTGAACGCACTGTGGACAAGAGTACACGGCATAAAAAAAACATTTACTTAAAATTACTTTATAAAAATAAATTAATCAACCATGTTCACAATGGTTATACAATAAGTTGGAGATTTCATGAAATGTCTGAGTAGGAACCACCATAGGCTATGTCTGTACTGATCAAATTAAACTATTTGCCTGTTTTCCTTACAGGCAACACCAGATGATGCAGCTTTTAGGTGATCCAGAACATGTGTCTCAGTCAGGTGTGTGTGCACGCATGCGCACACACACACACACACAAGTGTCTGTTTTTCTATCATAGTGAGGACCCTCCATTGACTTCCATTCATTTTTATGATTTCACCATGCCTAACCCACACCCCAACCCTAAACATAACCAACGCTGATCTGATCTATTCCTAACTCAAACTTAATTCACACTATACCTCTTAACTGGTATAGTGAGCTCACTTTGTAGGGAAAATGGTCATCATGGTCCTCAGTATGAACAAGAACACACACACACACACGCACGCACGCACACACACACGCACACGCACACACGCGCGCACTATTTGAAATACGAGCCCTGGCTTTGTCTGTCTTAGTGCAGTCAGTAAAAGGGGCAATGTTTGCATTTTAACAACTTCTAAGTTATTCTGGGGAATAAAGCTCTCTGAAGATTTTGTAGCAGGTGCAGGAAGTTCTCCGGTGCAGTTTTTCTTCCCTCATTTATCGCAGTTTGCCCTGGATGGGGTTGAATGGTGTTCTGGTTGCAGGGTTTTGTTCCAATTGATCCTAAGCATGTTTTTCTTTTTTTACTGAGACCATTTATGCAGTGGGAGTATCATGACCTTAAAGTCACATCATTAAGTTGTCATTTCTACAAATAACAGTCACTTACCTTCTTATATCAAACTTTTTAAAGTTACTCTTCACATCTCAGCCTCTCTGGTGTCGCTTTTTATTTATTTTTTTGTTTCAATAAATAACAGAAAACTAATCTACAGGATCAACCAAAACATTCTATTCATCCATCAATTTTCTTCTGCTTATCCGGGGTCAGGTCGTGGGGGCAGTATCCTAGCAGAGGCCCAGACTTCCCTCTCCTCTGCCACTTGGGCCAGGTCCTCTAGGGGAATCCCAAGGCGTTCCTGGGTCTTCCTTTAGGTCTCCTTCCAGTTGGACGTGCCCGGACAACCTCAGCAGGGAGGAGTCCAGGAGGCATCCTAACCAATGCCCAAGCTCCTCTCGATGTGGAGGAGCAGCGGATCTACTCAGAGCCCCTACCAGATAACCAAGCTTCTCACCCTAAAGCCCGATTTATACTTCTCCGCAAGGGAGAGAGACACGCGTTGACAGAGACGTTTTGCTCTCGGACTTCTTTGTCACCTGGGGAGTGTTTACAAAGCACCATGTCCCACCAGGACAGCAGAGGGCGCAGCATAACACTCATGTATCTGGTCCACGATAGTATATTTACTAATATGTTTATACATTTTAGAGGCAAACAAATTTGTCCTTCATTCTCCTCCACCTCTTCATGCGGTCGCCACCTCTAAACCCATGTTTCCCATCATTTCCGTCCACATTTGCTCCATATTTTTTACTCCTTCAGTCACGGTTGAATAAATGTTCATATTTTCAGACTTTTTCCGCGATGCGTTCTTCAATCTGTTCTGGGTCTGCCGCTAAATATCTTTTTACTTTTTAACAGAGGGAGCAATGGTGGTGCTAGTAACAAATTTACAAGATGCGGCGTCCTGACCAATCACAAGCTTGCGTTCTCTGTCACTTTTGGCAGACGTTTAAAATTTTGGGCATGTCTCCATCACTCTGTGAGCCCATAGGAGAGCCCTTGCACCAATGTCTAATGACGTTGTGTGTCTCCATACCAACGCAGATGGAGAAGTTTAAATCAGGCTTAACTCTAAGAGGGAGCCCAGACACCATGCAAGGAAAACTCATCTTGGCCGCTTGTATCCCGTGATCTTGGTCTTTCGGTCACTACCCAAAGCTTGTGACCATGGGTGAGGGTAGGAAGTAGATCGACCGGTAAACCACGAGCTTCGCCTTCCGGCTCATCTCTCTTTCCACCATGACACACCGGTACAACATTTGAATCACTGTAGATGCAGCACCAATCCGCCTATTGATATCCCGGATTCCAACATAATTATATACTGGATGGTAATTTTATTTATTCAGTCCATTGTCTAGATTTTTCTGAACACAAAGGTAAACGGGCCCACCTGAGACAGCGGGGGTTCATGGAGGTCCAGCTGCAGCCTCATGACCACATCTGGGAAATCTCCAGCGTGGAAGCACACGACATCTTTGGTGATCCGAGGAAGAGCGTCGCTGCTGCAGGAAAATGCATAAAGTCCCGGTTTACTCAATTCCATCATAGCAATGCTGAATGTTACGTAATCTCTTTACACCAAACAACCATTTTTTGTGTTGTTAATCAGAACGCTCATCTCATGGTTTTATCTAAGCAAAACTATCACTCTGGACTCACTCCTCTCCACAGCGCACAGCCTTTAGCACTCCCACAGCAGCAGTCGTTTGTCGCTCGAAGCCCTGACCGATGTGGTCGGCATGAGCTCTAGTTCGGTCCTCAAACAGCATCTCTCTGGGCTCGCTGGTTCTGGGTAGATACTGAAGGTTCTTTATCTCATTGGTGGACCTGAAACACATCCACTCACTGCTGTCAGGATTTATTTACTGCATGTGTGTGCTAAAATACAGACAAAAAGTAGTAAATGTGTTTATTTTAAAGGAGAAATGTTATTATGATAAAACAAATAGTTCCTTCAGATCAGTAAATTAATGCTTCAGCCTTCCAGATGTAATATCTTTATGTTGTTATGATGGTGTCTACCATATCGGTGCATATAAATGCAATGTTGAGGAGTTACTATGGTAACCGGCTTTAGAAAACAGCCAAGGCTCTTGATAAGTGAGGATCCAACTTATTTAAATATTCCTCATTCATAAGAAAGGACTCCACATCTGGAGTCCTGCCCACCTTTTTCTTTTGAAGGGTGACTTTGGCATATCCGCCACTGGGATCATCTGCTCTCCAGGCCTGACCCACATGATGGGGCCGTCGTCGCTCTCTGTTGGGCTCTGCACCCGCAGACTGGAGAACGTTCCCCAGGGGAGCGTTCGCTGCACAAACACAGGATGAGAAACTTCAGGTTACATGATGCGATACGGTAACAAACAGACACGTCTGTGAATATAGGAGTGCACTAACCGCCAGGAAAGGAGATTCCTCCAGCATGCTGATCAACTCTGGGAAGTAGTCTCCGACCTCTTCATCCACAGCTCCGACCAGGCTCACCTGCCGCATGGCCCCGGCTCGATATGTTCCCTGGGAATAAGTCCGCTTCACCTGCAGGTCAAACCCCAAACAACTTCACATCTAAGAGACTAAACCCAACAGGTTAAAACATGTTCTAGGTGACAGATAAAAAGTGTGATGTAAGTGTGATCTGCACAGATCTTCACCATCCTCCTAAATTTTGGGTTTGTGTGCATGTGTGTGTGGAGGCTGCAGTCATAAAGCCATTGTTTATTATGCCAATCACCTTTAACACTACCATATGCAATATAATTCCTTTTACACATCAATGCCAAAGTTTTATTTCATCAAACTGTATATTCTGCTTTTTTGCTGATGAATAATAAAACTAATTTAAGCTTTAACACGATTGAAAAAGACTTTCTGGATTTTCTGGAATTATTTTGCTTCCTGGGTTATCTAGTAAACAACAGGTCAGGATTAAGTGAGCAACTTAAGTTTGCACCAAAACATCTCCACTGTTCTGCTGTTATCACGATCTCATCCAAAACAAAACAGCAGCACAGCAGAAATATGGTGACACGCACAGCTCTCAAATATGGCATAAAGTTTCAAAGGCGTTTAAAAAGATGAGTGTTAACAAGTCCTTATCCTGTAAGATTTGTCTCTCAGAATGGTGCTGGAACATGTCAACAGTGAACCAACATCCCGACGGCTGGAAAATTAGTCCTGTTGTTGCAATACCACCTCTGAACACCAGAGATTGCCAGATTGTCCGTGTTCCATAGACAACCTTTAAGGTGTGGAACACTTGTTAAATCAGTACATTTGCAGATGTCTCTGGTAGGAATGAATGCCTTGTAAGTCATAGCTCTGATGCACCATAACAAAGAAGTGAGCCACATCACAGCTGACCTTCAAACGATGGGATTTGGACTCTTATTTCCTGATATTTGGACATTTAACCTCGGATTGGATAACAGGAACACAACTTTACCACTGATTCCATTTGCTCTGCAACGTTGACATTTCATCTCCACAAGTAACACGTATGGAGGAGTTTTGCTGTGTGGTGGAGTTGCTAATGCCAACGGTAAGGTTCTGCTAGCCAACATGTTCTCTGCTGTTTCCTAGATGTTAAACCAACAACGGCCTTTCCTGTGGTGAGTCAAGATGGGTGAGTTTATTAACGTTAAGTGATGTAGATCTGTCAGGCTTTTCAAATCCTAGCATTTCACCGTCTATTTTCTATCAGAAGCTACTGCAGGAATAGGGTTGTCACGGTAACCGGTGTAGCGGTAAACCCCGGTAAAAAAGTTGACAATAATAATAACCGTCTTGTTTAAAAAAAAAACTATATTATCTCTGTGGGTTTACCGTGGCTGCGGTGTAGGCGCGGTGACCCTTACCAGCCATCTGCTGAACTTGCCGGCGGCACATGCGCGCTTTATTGTTTACAACCAAAACTTTCTTGAAGCTAAAGCTGAAATAATGGCCAAAAGAGGAGACGGCAGCGCTCAGGACATTTTTTATCCCTCAAAGAAGACAAAGTGGGAAGTACGGGCATTTTTTGGATATTTGAAGAATGCTGAGGGACAGTTGATAGAAGATGGCTATTCTGTTTGCAGCACGTGCAGAAAAAGTGTCTGTGAAAGGCAGCAACACTTCAAATCTCATGACACATCTGCGTGACCATCACCCACAACTCTACAGTCAACGCAAGGCAAGCTAACGTTAGCATTTTAGCTAAAATGTGTGATCCGAGGATTTGGGTTGAGGGAGAATGCAACGAGTCGCTATATAAAGCAGCCGCAGCACCGCTACCTGCATATAAACCGTGTCGCGGACACCCCCATGTTGAAATGACGCTATGCATTACGGGGCTCCCAGGGGCAGATATGAGTTGGTCTCTCTCCGAGAATCATTATGAATTTAACAATGATTACTGCCCGATGACATTTTCCCTTAATCTGCAAAGCTCACTGGAAGGACACAAACCGAGGACAATATTTTCCTGATATAGGGTTTATTACTCAAGTAAGGGTAAAAAGTATCTGATTAGAAGGCTACTTGAGTACTGAGTGTCATCTGATCTAATATTTTTAAAATGATGACATCAAACAGACAAAAAATAAGAAGTTATGGGCAAACATTGGTATTTTAAAGACTAAAGGGAAAAATGTAAACAAATAAACAACATAATTACAAAATAACACATTTTAGGCAAAATTTAGACGCAAACTGAGGACAATATTTCCTGACATACAGGGTTTATTTAATTGTGTGAAAATGTAGCACGTTAAAAAAAAAATACCGCAATAATACCGAAAACTGTGGTAATTTTGGTCACAATAACCGTGAGGTTAAATTTTCACACCGTGACAACCAGGGTCCGAAATTAACACTCGCCACTCGCCAAATGCGAGCAAATTGCTCCACTTGGCGAGTAAATTTTTTAGCTCTACCTGCCACCTGGCGAGTAAATGCTTGCACCAAATTAGTTATGTTTATCAGTCATCTTCCATGGATTTCTGATAGTCCTCCCGCCTGCATGCAACGTACACAAACGTACGCGAAACGTGAACGCCGCATCCAACATCATTTCCACCTATCCCATTCAATCAGTTTATCAAATTAGCAGTTAGCTTCATGTTAAAACTAGCGGTGAAATGTGGCGGTTTTTAACTGGAGTCAGCCAGCCTTCCAAAAGAAAACTCGTCGAACTGGAAGAAAAACCACCAGGACCAGTGGCAACCAGAAGATTTTGTGAAAAGTGGCGAACCGGAGATGGCGGAGTCATGAGACAATGGCTACATTATGATGGCCACGTAGCGTTGCTGCCTTTCACAGACAACTGTCCCTCGGCATTCTTCAAATATCAAAAAAACGCCCATACTTACGACGCTGTCATCTTTGAGGGATAATAAATGTCCCGAGTGCGAAAGTGTGCATGTGCCGCCGGCAACTTCAGCAGGAGATACGGTGGCTGGTAAGGGTCACCGCGACTACAACGCAGACACAGTAATCCACCGAGAAGATAATATATATTTTTTTTTAAAACAAGACTGTTATTATTATTGTCAACTTTTTTACCGGGGTTTACTGCTACACCGGTTACCGTGACAACCCTAGCCCTGACACTTTCAGATATTCTCATGGTGCAGCTGTATTCTCCAGAGATCAAGGACTAGGACCCAAATGAGGCTGTAATGCTTTGGCACAAAGACGGTGTCAGAAGCAGGAGGCCAGACTTCATGGACAGAGAAAACAAGGAGTCTGACTAGATTTCAATGAAAGAGTTCATAAAAACATCTCTAAAAATAAATAAATAAATAGTAAAAATGACAAAATAGTTGTTTTTCTTATTAATTGATGTTTTAATTATTTTGTCACTCTGTTTGGAATCAACATAATATAGAATAACATGCTTTAGGTAGATCTAAATCATTTAGAATTTTGGCCAGTAAAAAATATGCTTGGCCGGTAGATTTTCATCATCTACCAGCCAACTTGGCCGGTGAGTAAAACATTTAATTTCGGACCCTGGTGACAACTCTATGCAGGAAATGAGGCTAGAAGACTATTTTCATTTTCAGCCTGCATGAAAAACTCAAGAGTGACCAATTATAACCAGAAATAAGATTTCAAAAATGTTTTTTTCAGTTAACCACACCTTTAATAAATGTCATTTTTGGCTTTGAGTATTCACTCTTCCAGACTGCTAATCACTTTCTTATCCTATAACATAATTTTTTTTAAATAAAGAAGAAATACATCCTGGTATACGGACAATCCGACAGTAAAGCTTTACTGTGATTCTCAGAATGAGGACTAAATACCCCTTGCCTCTGTTAACGCACCTCGCCATTACATCTGAATCCATAACGACCGCATGAGCTACATATAAAAAGAATCTGACACACCATACCAGACTGAAAGCAACAGCAGCCATGAATTAATTCAGTCCATTAACTCTAAGGCTTTAAGTGCTGCTCCACCTGAAACCGTACGTCTGCAGTTAAGTTCAGCGCATGAAATTAGAAATCCGAGAAAATGACATAAATTACACAAAAAGGACTGAATTCACCCATTCACATGCAACGATTTTCTTCCCTGTAAAAAAAGACAGACCAGAATAAAAGTAATATTTTTCTGAGCTGAGCATATCTCTCTGTGTGTTTATGACAAACAAGCTTTAACATTTAGTAACTCATTGCTGGAGTGTGTCAGCTGAGCTAGCTGACCCAACCCACCCCAACAGCCAATCATGCCACACATCCTGACCACAACCAGCCAATCACAGTGCCCCATCTCTTCACCTTTGGTTGGGTTTCTAAGACAATCATGATCAACCCTGACAAGACATATTTCAGATTTGTTCAAGCTTCCCTAATGCTAGGATGCTTGCTGCAGCCTGAAAAACTTCCAGTCTGAAAACACAAGCTTTCATCCTCACAGTGTCTAACAGGCCAGTTGAGAAAAACGCGCCCTCACCTGAGAGTGAAAATTGGCCATGGTTGTTGTCTCGATGTCCTTCTTCCCGAGCACTTCCATCTTCACGTGTGTGTTGGGGAACTTGCAGGAGAAGTAGTCTAGGAAGTCTGGGAGGTAGGCTGCTGCTCCGTGGATGATTCCCATCACAAAGCAGGCAGCCTGGGCCTTGTCCTCGCTGAAGGTCAGGGATACAAACTCCTCTGCAAAGCGCTCCATCTCAGCTGGAGACAAAGAGGAAAGTCGCTCGCTATAAGCGTGCACCACCGAGGCCCCACCATTAGCTTGCTGTTCCAAGTGGATAAGATGACCAAACTCCAGCCCCGGCAGAGCAGACGTTGGTGCACAGTGTTGAGAGGAGGAGTAGCTAAACCTGTCCCTGGCCATGGAGGGGGTGGTGCCAGGATCCTGGTGGTGTAGTGGTGTCGTGTGGATGAAGCTGCTGCTGTTGTCCCTGTTGATTCGACCCAGGAACTCCGGCAGACCCAGAGACAAACCTGAGCACAAGGTCTGGCATGAGCGGTGATACATTTTGGGCTGGCCGTGCCGCTCCTTCACCCGCTCTCCATCTTTGTGCTTCTTTTTCTTCTTCTTCTTCAGTTTTTTCAGCATCAAATCCTCTTCTGATCCCGCTTTCAGCTTCTCTTTGGACTCTGTGTACAAGAACACAAATCAGTTTAGATCCAACGTGATGAAATAGTCTCAGCATCTATGGTGAGATCAAGACTTCACGTTTGAATTCAGAGATTTAACATGTTATCCTAATTTCTGTCGTTATTACTAATTAGATATAAAGTTATATCCAGGACTGCTTCAAAGAAACAAGAATATCACAAATTACAAAGTTTTGGTACATTAACAGTTCTTTAAATTAAAAAATGTCCCTGTTGCTTTCTACCTTTCTGTGGAGAAATCACGTCTCCGTTTTCTCTTACAAAGTCATGTACAGGTGGCATTTTGTGATTTTTCCACTCTCTGGTCTTTTCCTTCTTTTGCCTGTCGTTCTCATTCCCACTGTAATCTGAAGGAAAGGAAACAAAATCACAGTGAGGAGAAATGTTGTTTCCCCCAAATTAAACCCCAGAACCGATGAAAAAACATTTCCACGTGTGTAAAGCCACCATATGGGGCTAATAAATATGGAGGCCTGAGGTACCAAAAACTGTGAAATAACATAACAAATCGTTTCCTGTGGCGGTAACTAGGATGTGATTTAGATGGAAGTATAATTTGGTGAAGATAGGTGCTGCGGAGGGACGCCCTGATGTGCTGTCCTACCTCTCTGGAGCGTTTTCACGTCGCCGTTCTCCGTCTTTGTATGGCAGCTAGCAGGGCTCACTTTCTCCACGGCAGCAGTGGAGCTCCGCGGGGCTTCGCTGCTCTTCTCCTTGTGTCGCTTTTCTTTCGACTTTTTCACTTTGTGAGGCGAGGCTAGGAAGTTGCTGATTTTGAAAATTTTCCGGACAGGAGTAGCTGGAACCGTGGAGGCGGTGGAGTGGCTCGCCTTGGCCGGGCCGAAACTCCATTTCGCTGGGCTTCCACAACTCTGCTTCCCGTTGTGTTTTTCCCCTGCGCACACCTCTCCGTTCAGTTTCCTGTGCTTCAGGCCCTTCTCCTCTACCCGGACCTTCTTGGGGGTGGGTGGAAAAATGTCGCTGGAAGACTGCGGACGACTCTCGGGCGGTCGTTTGGCTATCAGGGGTTTGGGGGAATTTGTTTTGCTGTTCGCTGCGAAATGCATGGAGTCCACGGCCTCGGCCATCTTGGAAGTTTCTATTTTTTACGGTCAGACGTAACTGGTGCGTGAGAGACAGTGTGGGGGCGGGGCTTGATGAGTTACGCACGACGTACGGAGGCGGGGCCTTAAATTGTTTACAAGCTGCAGGAACTGTGCAGCGTTCAGTTTTGTTTATGACATGAAGATGCACTGTGCTTCATTTCTCTTTAATCAGACAGAAAACATTTTTTTTGTTTTCATAGCCTTAAACTATGGAAGCCCATTCCCGCCACTCAGATTTAAAAAAATTATCTCATAATTATGACTTAGCTATCTCATAATAATGAGATATTATCTCATAATAATGAGATAGTATCTCATAATTATGACTTAGCTATCTCATTATTATGACATAGGATCTCATTATTATGACTTAGTATCTCATAATTATGACTTAGCTATCTCGTTATTTTTGAGATAGTATCTCATTATTATTATGACTTAGGATCCCATTATTATGTATGGAAGCCCAGTCCCGCCACTCAGATAAAAAAAAATTATCTCATAATTATGACTTAGCTATCTCATTATTATGACTTAGTATCTCATAATTATGACTTAGCTATCTCATTATTATGAGATAGCTAAGTTATAATTATGAGATAATATTTTTTTAAATCTCAGTGGCGGGAATGGGCTTCCATATTAAACTCATATTTATATAAAAGTTAAAATTTTAATTTAACAAAACAACGAATTTATCCTCCAAAGTAACTTAATATTCAAAATAAATTTATATTTTAAGGATGAATATTGTTAAACAAGTTTTTCTTTAAGATAGTGCAAAATCATTATTTGTAAAGTCACCTAAGTGGTTTTTTTTACATTTCTTACACAAAGTCATTTTTATTTAGGGGAGCATTGTTTTTCATTACACCATTTAGTCAATAATGACAATGAGAACTTTGACCATTTTTATCTTCACAATTCATGTAATAGCTAATTGCATTAATTAAACGATATATAATTACGAGCTTTAATTGTGCAGTTTAAAATTTTTTTATTTTTAGGCTGAGGCAGTCGAATTAAATCCTTTAATTGCTTGAGTTCTGCATGCTCAACAGTCTCCCACTAGATGGCAGTAATGTTAAATAAACAAATTCAATGACAATATTCTGTTCTTACGTCATCGTGTACAGTGATTATTTTAATCAAAGTTGGAATGAGTTATCGTACTTTAAATTAAATGTTAAAAAACAAAATCTGGTTGATAATTAGCTTCTTCACACCCAATGTGAATGCTATTAATTTGTGAGGAATTTAATCAAATGTCTAGCAAGCAGCTGTCTCTTGTAATGTGGTTGTGCCGCCCCTTTAAGGCAGACATGTAAATTTAGCTCTGTGTGTGTGTGCGCGCGCATGTGCGTGCGTACGTATGTAATTTGTACCGGTAGACTTGCCATAGTTATTCTCAACTGGAGATGACCGTTAAGCTAACTGTTATATTTTTTGCATATTGGTTCATCTTTTCTTGCTAAGCCTGAAAGAGCACATGCCTGTAAGTCATACATGTTTGTTCCGTTGAGCGTATTTATTATAGTTTTATGTAACAGTTGAGAATCTTGTGTGTGAAAGTTTTTATCTCTAGTAAAAACGGTTGTGATGCTAATGCGTTAGCCCGTCTATGGAATTTTACATATATTCTTAGCATTGAGCTAACCGCTAGGTTCTTGGGGAAAAACTTCTGATTGTGTTATTATATCTTTATGAAATACCCATAAAGTACATGAAAGTTTATTATTAAGTGTTTATTAATACAAAATACATATGAATACATCATAAATGTAACATTATTCATTTATTGTTTTTCTGTATTGCAGTTTTACAGTGCCTTCTACAGTAAATATCTAAAACGTCCCTGCTGACTCCTGGATGTTTATCGTGGACCTGTTAAGCTATCTGCCAAGCTAGAACCCAGCTTCATCCTCTAGTGAGGGCAGAATAGTAAAAAGGCATCTTCCCAACGGGTCGTTTACAGAAAAGTGAATCCCTGTGGAAACAGTTCTTCTGCCATTCAAGCTACAATGAACAGTAATGATGACACGCTTGAGACACGGTCAGTATGCTCCAACATTTCACGTGCCAGTCGACGTTCTTCAGCCAGTGCAATTGCAGCCAGAGCACGTGCAAAAGCAGAGGCTGCACGTGCGCTAGCATTATTTGCACAAAAAGAAGCAGAAATGATGAAAGCACAAGCACATATTGAAGAGGAGCAACAAAAAGCAGTAGCCTCAGCTGCTAGAAAGAAAGCAGAACTGCAAGCTAGTTTGCATACATTGAGACTGGAGAGTGAAGCTGCAGCAGCCATAGCTGAAGCCAATGTTCTAGAAGCAGCTGCTGAGAACGAGGTGGAGGAGTTAAGTCAAGCTAGCCAGAGAAATGAATTTGCTGAGCATAAAATTACTGAGCTTTACCCTGATTCTAGGCTGCATGAGCCCACATCAAAACTCATTTGCCAAATACCAATCGACAATGCTAATACGGCTGAAAACAATATTGAAGAAGGAAAAGAAAAGCTGCAAAAAGGTGGTAACTTTGACTTACCTATCTTACAATCATCCAATCTGAATGAAAATGCTGCTCCATACTACCCTGATACTCACCGCTCACGCAGGACAGGCTTCTTTGAACAGGAACATCAACATGGCTTAAACCCATTCAAAGATTCATGCAGTCATAAAATACAGTCATGTAACAGGAATCAGTTCAACAGCAACTACCAACCCCCTCAGCGTCAAACTGGTACTGTTGCCGGACCTAGTGAGCCCACTTCATCATCTACGACAGACTTGACAAAGTATCTAATTCGTCGGGAGATGATAAGCTCTGGGTTGTTGAGGTTCGATGATCAACCTGAAAATTATTGGGCCTGGAAACAATCTTTCCACAGCTCTACAGAAGACCTAAACCTAACATCAAGAGAGGAGCTTGACCTCTTATGTAAATGGCTAGGACCAAAATCATCCGAGCATGCTAGAAGGATACGAGCAGTTCACATCAATGATGCAACGGCTGGCGTGCACATGATATGGCAAAGATTGGAAGAATGTTATGGATCACCTGAAGCAATTGAAGATGCACTTTTAAAGAAAGTGGATGAATTTCCAAGAATCTCAAGTCGAGAAAATCAAAAGCTGAGAGAACTAGGAGATATTCTCTTGGAGCTTGAGGCTGCCAGAGCAGACGGTTTTTTACCAGGACTCAGTTACCTGGATACGTCTCGAGGCATCACTCCAATTGTCCAGAAGCTGCCATACTCATTGCACGACAAGTGGGTCTCTCTGGCATCTCGTTACAAGGAAACAAACCAGATATCTTATCCCCCATTCTCATTTTTTGCAAAGTTTGTTTGTGATCAAGCCAAAATACTCAACGACCCAAGCTTTGCCTCACTCACAGGTAATTCAAGGTCAGGGAGACCAGAACCCTCCCTTAAACATAACATGAAAATTCCCATCTCTGTCAAAAAGACAGAAATCTCAACACAATTGAACAGCAGTCATAGAAAACCCTCAGAGAAAAGAATGGCTGACCCAGACCAGCAGTGTCCGCTCCACAACAAACCACACCCTCTCAGGAACTGCCGCGGTTTCAGGAACAAACCTTTGGATGAGAGAAAAACTTACCTTAAAGAAAATAATATCTGTTTTAAGTGCTGTGCATCAACCTCTCACCTAGCAAAGGACTGTTCAAAAAACGTACAGTGCAGAGAGTGTAAAAGCGAGAACCACCCTACTGCATTACACCCAGGAGCACCCCCCTGGATTACAGAGACTTCCGGGAGTACAAGAGATCAAGGCGGGGAGCAAGAAGAAGAAACTCCTTCAGCTGTCATATCAAAATGTACTGAAATATGTGGAAGTACACTCAGAGCAAGGTCATGCTCTAAAATTTGTCTTGTCAGACTTTATCCAGCTGGCCAGATGGAGAAAGCGGTTAAGGCTTATGTTGTTCTTGACGAGCAGAGCAATAAGTCCCTGGCAAGATCAGAGTTTTTTGAACTCTTTGGTGTTACAGCGGGCACAGCAGCATACACATTAAAGACTTGCTCAGGAGTTATCGAAACCATGGGGCGACGAGCTAACAATTTTGTAATGGAGTCATTGGATGGACGGAATCAAATTCCACTTCCCACCTTAATTGAATGTGACATGCTCCCTGATGACAGGTCTGAAATCCCCACGCCTGAAATCGCCAAACATTATACACATCTGAAGCGGGTCATGGATAAAATCCCAGCTCTAGACCCCTCAGCAGGCATCCTCATCCTGCTCGGTCGTGACGTACCAAGGGCACACAAGGTTCGGGAGTATTGCAATGGACCTCACAATGCCCCCTATGCACAACGCCTCGACTTGGGATGGGTGATTGTAGGAGAGGTTTGTGTTGGAAGAGCGCACAAACCAGAGCTCGTAAATGTCTACCGCAGCAATGTGCTGAGCAATGGACGTGCATCTCTGTTCGAGCCTTGTTCTAACAGTCTTCACATTAAAGAGAAATTAGACACAGCAATCCATCACATTCATTTTCCTGTAGCTAACCCATCTCAAGACCTGCTTGAAGAGAAAGGTAACATCGGGGAAGGAGTCTTCCATCAAACCCCACATGATGACAAGCCTGCCTTGTCTGTAGAAGACAAAGTTTTTCTAGAAATAATGGATAAGGAGGTCTTCATGGATGATGCAAACAATTGGGTGGCACCATTGCCCTTCAAACAACCAAGGCGCAAACTCCCCAACAACCGTGCACAAGCGGTCAAACGTCTTTCAGCCTTACTACACATGTTCAAAAAAAGGCCAGACCTGAAAATGCATATGATTACCTTCATGCAGGGGATCTTTGAGGCAGGCCATGCTGAACCTGTTTCATCACCCACTGATGGACAAGAGTGCTGGTACCTACCGATCTTTGGGGTTTACCATCCACGTAAACCAGGCCGAGTACGAGCAGTCTTTGACTCCAGCGCTAAACATGAAGGTGTCTCTCTTAACGACATCTTGTTGAGTGG